TATAATTAAAATATAACTAAATAATATTTTTATATTATTTAATTAAAAATAAATTTTAGTTATTCCTATATTACTAGCATTTACTTTTAATTATTTTTTATATAAAATTAAAATAATATAATAATAACGCTTTTATAAAAAATATTTAAAAATATTAAAATATTAATTTTTTATATTTTTAAAATTATAAGGGCCTAATTTTTTTTATATTATATTTTTTATTAAACTAATTAAAGGCAAGGTAATTTATATAAAATTATAAATAAAATAATAATAAAAATTAATAAAACTTAAAAAAAATTACAGGGCTTTATAAAACAAGGTTTTTTTAATAAAATTATAATAATTATTTATTTTAGGTTTATTTTAATATTATTTTAATTAATTATAAAACTTAAAAATTTTAGCTTTATATAATTATTTAAAAACTTACTTAATATACTTAATATATTACTTAAAATTAATAAAAAATAAGAATATTATTAAACTAAATAATATATATTTAGTTTAAAATATTATAATTTATAAAATAAATATAACTTTAAAAAGTAATAAAAGTATTAGTTAAATTAAAAGGTATAATAATATACTTATAATAATTATAATAAGATTAAAAAGTTATTTTTTACTAGTTAACTTTAACTAATTTTAATTTAGTATTATTTTAATATAGCTTTAAAAAAGTTTTATTATACTAAAAGTATATTTTATAAGTATTTTACTATAATTTTTTTAAAAAATTTACCTTAAAAATAACTTTTTTTAGGTTTTTTTACCGCGGGTAAATTTATATTAATTTTTTTTAAAAATTAATAATATTTTTTTATTTTATAGGTTTTAATAATTTATTATAATATAAGGTAATATAAAATTATAAATATAATATATAAAATTAATATTATAAAATAAGTTAAATTAAATATTTTTAATATTTAAAAGTTTTATATTATTAAGGTTATAAATTTTATTTTATAGTAAAGGTAAAAGCTTATTAAAATAATATTATATTTATATTTTTTTATTATTTTTTAAAAAATATTATTTTAAAATAATAAAATAATTAATAAAATTCCTAAAATCTTGGTCCTTTTTTTAATAAGTTAACTTTAATTTAATTATAATATTTAGTAAATTAGTTATTAAACTTTTTAAAATTATATTAATTTATTTTTAAGGTATTTTTAAAAAAGAATTTAATATTTTTTATTTATACCTTTTAATTTATTAATATATTAAATTTAATTACTTTTACATGCTAATTTTATTATAATTCAAGCTTTTAAAATTTATTATTAATTTAATTTATATTTTTTAAGTAAAAGTTTAATTTTAAAATACTAAGCTAGTTAAAATATTATTATAAGTTAAAATTAAAATTATACTTAAGTATATTTTTATTYTTAATTTTATTATAATATTTTAGTAAATTATTTTAATATTAATATTATTTTTAAAATATATTATATTTAGCTTATTAATTTTTTAAAATATTTAATATTTTTTTATTTTATAATTATTAGGTTACTAGTATTTTATAAGTATTTTAATATTTTTAATAATTTTAATAATAGAAAATTATTAAGTATTAAAGGTTTTTTTTTAAAACTATTAAAATAATTTTATTTAAAAATAAAATATAAATATACTAGTAATATAGTATATAATTAATAAGTTAAAAAGTTAAAATTATAAAAACCTTAGGTAAGATATTAATAAGCTATAAATAAGTAATATTATATAAATAATAAAAATATTAATATAATTATTATAATATTATATTATTAATATTAAGTTTTAATAATATTTTATATTTTTTTTATAATTTTTTTATTYTAGTTAATATAGCTAGTATTTTTATTTATTTAAAATTAATTTTAAATTATATTATAATTTTTAGGTTTTAGCTATATATAACTTAAAAAAGTAATATTTTAATAATAATATTTTTAATAATAAAAACTAGGTATAGTAATTTTTTATAATAAAATAATATAAATATTTTTTTAAAACCTAGTTAACTTATTTAAGTTATTTTTTAATTTAAAAATAAAAAATAATTAATAAATATAACTTAATTTTATAATAAAATTATAAATTTTTTTAATATTTATTTATAAAAAAAAGTTTTAAATAAATATAATACCTTTTAAATTAATTATAATTTAAAATTTAATTTTAATAAAAACTTTAGCTAGCTTATAGGCTTAAAATTAATATTAAAATAAAAATAAATTAATATTAATTTTATTTAAAAAAGGTAAAATTATTATATAATATAACTTATTATTATAATATTATAAATAAAAAATTTTTATGCTATAATTTAAACCATAAACCTTTAGTAAAAAATATACTGCTTTATTATTTACCTAGGTTATATATTAATATTAAGTTATATTATTATTAAGGCTTATATAGTTTACTTACAAGGGGCTTACTACTTAACTTTAAGTTAAGTTAATAAAAAACCTAAGTATAGGAAAAATAACATAAATATAAAGCATATGCTTGGCATATATTATTAATAAAAGTTAGGCTAGTAAACACTAAATTTAAAAATAAAAAATAAAAAGTGTAAAGCAGGGAAAAATATACTTTATATATATAAAGTATATATATTATGCTTTATTTTTCTTTTTTTTTTTTATTATTAGTTTTATTAAACTTTTTTTTAGCGCGGGCAGCCTGTACTACTAGTAATTAATATATAATATATATAAGCAGGGTATTAAGTACTTATATTTAGCCTTAAAAAAGCCAGGGGTGTTATTATTTATAATTTATTTATAATATTACTACTTAGTAGGTATTAAAAATACCTTAGGTGTAGTATTAGGACCACGCTATGCATATAATTAGTATAAGTAAAGTATAAGCTAAAAGCAACCTTATAAAGCACTTTTTATAAAAAAATATTATACTTAAAAGCTTAGCCCGGCGGTGGAAATAAGTATTAAAATATTTAGTAAATTTAAAGTTATAGGCTTTATACATGTATTAGGCATAAGTAAAATATATATAAAAAATACTTATATAATATACTTATAGGTAGTAGTATATTAATTAATAAGGCTGTTTTTTAAACCGCGGCCAGGCTTGTTACTAAACTTAATATTAAATTATTTATACTTAAAAATAAACTATTTTAAAGCACTGCATATAGTAAGTATATATAAAAAATATTTAAATAATACTTACTTTTTTTTAATATTATACTTTTTAGCCTTAATATTTACATGGTTAAAAAAATAATTATAATTAATATTAGTATATATATTATATATACTTAGCATAACTATAATATACTTTTAGTAATATATTTTTAAACATGGCGCTAATATAAAAATTCTAAAATATAAACTTTTTTATAAGCTTTACTTTTACTAATTTAAGCCTAGTAGCTATTATTATTAGTATATATAAAGTATATAAATAATATATAAGGCAAATAAATATATAGCTATAAAGTTTTAAAAAGTAAGTTAAATTTTTAATTTTAGTGTAAATACTTAATAAAAATAATAAATAGTTAGTAAATATACTTAGTATATATAAAAATTAAGCTTACTATAGTAAAGGCCCTATTTTAAAAAGTTAATAATATTTAAAATTATATTAATTATAAAATTAAACTTAATTAAGTGCTAATTAATAAAAAAGATAAGTAGGTTAAAGTTACTTTACTATATTATATATATTAAGTAAATATTAAATATAAGTAAAAAAGGTGCAAGAATTAAGCAGGAAAAAGGGAAAAAAAAGTTAAAAATAAAAAATAAAAAAGTTAAAAAAAAAAAACTTAATATTATAAATATAATAAAAATATATTTAGCCTTAATACTAGGGTTACTACGCAGGCTTTTTTTAGTAATAAAAAATTTAAACCTTATTAATTTTTTTTAGCAGTTTTTTACACTAGGCAGTAATTTATAATTATAATAATATTTTTTATAGCTATATAAAGCGTGTAATAATATTAATTTAAGCTTTTATATAAACTATATTTAAATAGTATAGTATAAAAATAAGTTAAGTAATAAAATAGGCTAAGCAAGGCTTAAAAATTCCAGGGGTTAAGCTTAGCTTTTATTTTAACCTTACTAAGGCTTAAAAAATTAAAACCAGCCAAGGCTTAGAATTTTAACCACCCCTTTCTAAGCCTCGCTTGGAACCCGCTGAACCTCTCCGAACAGGGACCCCCATGAACCAGGACAGGTGCGGCTGATCTATACTGTACCACGTGATCGGAAAGTCCGCTCGGAGATAAAAGCATCAAATGCCGGCCGAGACCGTTGTCGACTTGTCCGATATCGAACCGTGGGGCTGCGGTGTATTTCCATCTCAGTGAGAGATTTTCAACATCAACAATCATCCTGATTTCGTGGTTGTTACACCAGCAGGATGGATGACACAATCATGAATCCAACCCCAGGGCCGAAGGGTCCCTGGCTGCGGCGTATGCGTACCTGGGCGTCGGCCTTCCCCGCTGGATAACCGGCACGGCGCCACGCTAAAGTCTAGTCCAGATTTCCCTATGCAGGTGACAGACCTCATAGTCCAAGGTCAACCGAGCTCGGTTCTGATTCTGAAAGAACTGCCGAAGAGTGGCTCTGAACTCTGATATCGAATTTGTCAGAGGTCGCAGCAACCGAATCATGGAGCTAAGATCCGAGCACAGAGCCGTCGGTGGCTCTTGGAAATTTGGCGACGGTTCCAGGTTCACGCCATGGTGGATCTGTCCCCGGCTGTCGGACTCGGCCTCCTATTCCTAAGCTTAGCCTTCGAGGTGGGTCTTTCATGGTTTAAGAGACTTGAAAAGTTCAGATCCTATAAATTTCGTTGCCCCCGCCGCGGTCCTTGATTTCTTCCAGTTTGGGCTCTTTGCGACTTCCAGGTACATTTATACCTGTACTGCGCACCTGGCCTCGGCCTCACGGACGGTCCTCGCTACACGTTACTCGCTGCTACACGCTCGACTCGTATAGGTACCAAGCGTGAGGATGGACGCAAATAGTGACGCCTCAGAAACGACCGTGAACGCCATGGGAGGTGGACAAGATATCGAGAAAACCACTCCGGCGCCGGCGCAAACTATCGAAGACAAGGAAGAACCAACGTTCGACACTGGCTATGCACCTTGGCTGCAAGTTCTGGGTTCCTGGTTCCTCTTCTTTAACTCATGGTGCGTCTTGGGACTGGCAATCTCATTTTGATTGTGAATGTTCTATAAGGCTAACTATCTATAGGGGTGTGGTTAACACATGGGGTGTCTATCAGACGTACTATGAACAGAATCAACTATCCGACATGTCCTCGTCCGACATCGCCTGGGTCGGTTCGCTGCAGTCTTTCCTCCTCATGCTGTTTGGTGTTGTAACGGGGCCGCTCTTCGATGCTGGGTACTTTCGCGCGCTACTAGGGTTCGGCACCGTCATGCTACCGTTTAGTTTCATGATGGTCAGTCTGTCATCGAAGTTCTGGCATTTCATCTTGTGTCAAGGAATCTGCGTCGGTTTAGCCTGCGGGTGCCTGTTCGTCCCGGCCGTCGCAATTCTGCCCCAGTACTTCCGCAGGAGAAAGGGACTCGCCAACGGTATCGCCGCCACGGGAAGCAGCATTGGAGGTGTTATTTACCCAATCATGTTCAACCAGTTGCAGAAAACTGTCGGCTTCCCATGGGCCACGCGCGCAGTAGGCTTTCTCGCCTTCGGCACCTGCCTCATCTCCTTATCCCTCATGCGCGTACGTTTCCTCCCAACCGAAAAGCGGAAGCTCTTCCAGCTCGGCGCCTTCAAGGAGCCCATCTTCGTTCTTTTTTCCGTCGGCATGTTCATGGGCTTCATGGGCTTCTACAACTTCCTTTTCTACGTCCAGTCGTACGCCATTGAGACCGGCATCGTCGATGATAATCTCGGCTTTTATCTTCTGGCAATGCTCAACGCCGGTTCCACATTCGGCCGAATTGCTCCCAATTTCCTTGCTGACCACACGGGACCGTTGAACATGCTCATTCCCGCGGTCTCAATCACTGCCATTCTCTCCTTCGTCTGGATAGGCGTTCACACTGTCCCCGGAATCATCGTTCTGTCGATCCTCTACGGCATGTTTTCTGGCGGCTTTGTCTCCCTTCCGCCTGTCGTCATGGCATCCATCACCAAGGACATGCGTGAGCTCGGGACCCGCTTGGGCATGGTCTTCGCCATCACTTCTTTTGGGCTGCTGATTGGAACCCCGATTGGTGGAGCCATTCTGAATGATACGAATGATTATCTGGGAGTTCAGTTGTTCACCGGATGCGCCATCGCCGTCGCTGCTGCTATATTCATGGGTGTCAGAATATCTCGTACGGGGCTGAAGCTTGCTGTTAAGGCTTAGACCTATCACGCTTGTTTTGATATATGGACACTTGCTGTCTGCTTTCCTAGCATAATCATAAAAGGAGTTTTCAACTTGGGAGACGGACTCAGGTCTTAAAAGTGCATTTTATGGAGCGATCACGGGCATTATCAGATATGATGTATATATATATCTCCACATAGTAGCTAATCCACAATTACCTATCTTCTACAGCCCTGCTACATTTCGCGTCGTAAGGATTCAAAGGTGAAAAAGCTGGCCAGGCCAATCGCAATATATGCATCCATCCGGTATCAACACTCAGTCCAGCAAAGAAACTCCCAAACACCAAAATGCTAACGCCCCACAACCACGACCCCTCATCAAGAAACATGCTCCGGACTAACAGGGAAATTCTCCCCGTTCTCCCTTATATGCTCCAGTTTCTTGTCCCGACTACACGGCTTCCGCATATCGTACGCATCCTCACCCTTCTCCGACATCCCCGTCGGATCATCGCTGTAGTAATTGACCACGCGCCGGAACACCGAGTACCCCATCCCCTTGTACATATCCACCGCAACCTTATTCCCTGCCCGCACATACAAGTCCACGAACCAGGCGTCGTTGATGTCAGACCCCTGCTCTAGCCGCTCAGTCAGACGGCGCGCATGACCCAGACGTCGCCATGCCGGCGCGACGGTAAGCACTGTGATGTGTCCGTGCCATGGGGTGTAGTGCTCAGAGGCTTTGAGGGAGGGGTGTTGTTCTTCAAGTTTGCCCATAACTAGCGCATTGAATTAGCGGAGTTCGACTTGGGTAGGATACAATCGAGACCGAACTAGTTCCGGCAGAGAGAAAGGAAAATCGTACTGTATCCAGCAATTCCTTCGCGGCGGTCCTTCACGCTGCTGAAGAGCGACGGCCATCGCATCAAGTAGTTGAGGTAGAAGCCCAGATCGTAGTTTTCGGTGAGCGGGTCGAGATTTGTCAGGTTGAGGGAGAAGAGGTCCGTCGGGGACATGCGGCGAATGGAAGCCATCGTGCTGGTTGCTTCTGCAGGCGCAATGGAGGTGGGTGTCGTGTTCTGCAGAAGAAGCAAGCTGAAGCGGGGGAAAGCGAGAGATGGGGCTTCGGCGGTCACGGGAGGGAAATTCGGCCGCTGATCAAGTCGACTCCTTGATTGACCGTTACAAGTACAACTCACCAATTCCCCTACGGTAGTCGACTAGTGCTTGGGGTTTGCGTTGCTTTGTTGTACTGGGTGGGTAGGTGTGACTTGTCCAATGCTTGTGTTTGTTAGGCACTGACTCCTCGTTTGTTTGTCTCAGACACTGCAACTGCCCCCCCCGTTTTCGATCTCCGCGTTACCCCTGTCCTCCATCCACCTCTACGACACGATTAAACCCCTGAACGGCTGCTATTTACGTACGGATTAGACACTGCATACATACGAGTATCAAGATTGGAGCTATCCTTGTATAAAGCTAGACATTTGTCCTTTTCCGAGCTGAGGAGCCTTGATTCCTCTCCTGCAATATGCCCGCCAGCCCACCTTCGCCCTTAAGGCTATCACACCGCCACACTCGCAGCCGGTCTTCGAACACAGATATGGAGCCGATGTCGCCAGCCGATTACATGCAGAATGGATACTCTCTCGACTCTCCGCGATCGCCCGCCAGCCCCCGGGCACACTACGCGCAGAGCATGAACGGGTCAGCCAGGATGTCCGGCGACTTTGGAGCAGCCACTGAAGCCAGCGGCGGGCTGGGGAATCTTGCAGATGAATTGGCAGATGCTTGGGAAGACGAAGAGAATGGCTATGGGGGGTATGCGTCCGGGCAAGAAGTCGCGCAAATGGATTCACAGCCGTTGGAACAAGTGAGGACGCGGACGCCTTCGCCGGGATATATGTCAGAGCGCGATTCATTGCAGCTGCCGCGGCCGAAGATGCGAAATGGCTCGAATCGACACCGGAGGCATGAATCGCAGTACGACGGCTCAGATTACGGGCCTGATTCGGATCTGGAGGAAGTTAATATGTCGCCGGGACTAGAGAATCAGTTGGCGGAGATTGAGAGTTTGGCGAGACGTGGACTGGAGAATAATGGGAGCGAAAACGATCATGTCATTGACCGGGCGATTACGGCGCTGCAGGATCTTGGGGCGCAGAGTGGGATTGAGAATAATGCTATGAGGTATGCCCTTCCTTCCACGGCATTGTACGAAAAGCTGCTAATCCTTTGCTAGGCTCATTACCGCCCACTCTTCAATAACCTCCTACCTCACCCACCAGACACGCACCGTCCAGAACCTAACCCATCCCCTCCTCTTTGCCCCCTTCCCCCTCCTCTCCGAAGATGCAATCGACGCTCTCATCCCCCTGATCGACGAAGGCCTCCTCCCTAACCTCCCCTACCCATTCCCAGAGCAAAACCACCATTCCTCCCGACCAAATACTCCTTCATCACACTCCACATCGTCCACTTCCAACCCCCTTACCTCCCTCCAGACCCTGATCTCGCAAACCTCCGACATAACACTCTCCCTTCGCGGCCTGAGCGACACCCTCTACGAATCCCGCCAGCTTCAATCAACAGCCTCTAGGCGTCTTCGCTCTGCCCGCGAACTCGTCGCCGACCTCCGCAGGGAAGAAGAAGGCCGCGAGGAGGGCACAAGGTGGATCGAAAGAGGAGACTGGGACCGGAAGCTCAGGGAACGCGAAGCTGGCCGTGAGTGCGGTGACGTCGTGAGTGGCTTTGAGGCGTTCTGTGGTGAGTGGAGGGAGAAATTGTTTGGCGCCGCTGGTGCGTCCGAGGCTGTTGCTGCATAGGCCTCTCTTTTTTTCTGTTTCTTTTCTTTCCTCTTGGTTCTCTCCTTCTGGTACTCTTCCTGCAACGGACTACTTGCAAGATTTCCTTTTTCTTTTTGCTTAACTGGTGTCATTGGAATCATTTCCTGCTGATATATGGTCTTGGTTGTAGTTGTGGTTTTGTTTTTCTTTCTTTTAGCATACATACCATACCTGCCCTTTCCTTCTTTTGTTTTCCCTGTGTTCTTTATTTTCTGCAGTACATATATAGACTCTTTCTCTTTCCATTACGGGCATCTTCTTTGCCAAGACATTATGTCAATTGTCTCTCTTCTCGTGTCTTCTCTTGATGCATGCACCCTGCAAGGTGCCATCGTCCAAGGGAACCTTTACCAATGGTTTGGGTATGGCCTGTCTAGAGTGTCGAATGTATTCCCTTTCTTTCTGTCCTCAATGCTGGGAATAGGAATGTTCTGGTCGCGGGTCGAGCTAGAGAAAATACCGTCAATGAAAAACACATCATGCATAATTTACACATAAGCTATGTAGATAGATATATATTTGCCTAGGGCTGTGCTAGGCGGTTGCTCTTGCCATATAATAACAAATAACATACGGCATGTGTATCCATTTGCTAGCAGCAGGATTACGCATCAGGTCGTGCTCATGCCAGCACCTAGCATGATATATACAGTATCCAATGATGAACCAAACAGAAAGACGACTCGCACTTGGCAAGCCATTGCATTATTAAATCACCCAACTATATCTACCTGACTGAGATATGAACACGAGAAGAGATCCATGAAAAGAGAAGAAAGACATAATGCATTTCAATCAACATGATCCATCACTGCCCAGGTCATACCAAACCAGGCATGGCATAGATGGAGAAGAGAGACTCTAGCTAATACGTATAGCCCTTCTCAGCTCATAACGTCAAGACATAATCAACGGACAAAACAAAAGAGGGAAGTCGAGTACGGAGAAAAGATGCTGGAGGAATCATGCGGGGAGAGTTAGGTTAGGTAGAAAGTAGCAAAGAAGATAGATTTCCACACGCCCGTTTCGTTTTCAGATACAAAAAGCTTTTTTCTTTTGAGGAGAAAGTGAAACAGCTACATGACTTCCAGAAGATATCCATTGTCATGAACATCTTACTGGTTCTGCTGCTGCCGGAACCGGGGTACCCACTTTCCACTGCCACCGCTGCTAAGCGGCTTGGGTTCTTCGGAAGACTGAGGGGTCTGTGTGCGTGAGGGGGGTTGAGAGGAGCGCTGGGGAGGGACGTAGCGGTTGCCAGCGGGAGGAGGAGCGGCGTCAGAGCCACCGCGGGCGTGAGGGGGAACGTAGCCGGTTCGTCGTGGGGCTTCAGGCTCAGCCTTGGGTGCCTCGGGGGCGGGGGCAGCGCCGCCGGCAGCTTCCTTGGCGGCTGCACGCTCACGCCAGCTGGGGGCACCACCAGTGCGGGGAGCAAGGTTGAGACGGGGTGCGGTACGGACTTCGGGCTCTGCGCGGGGAGGCTCTGGGGCGCCCGTTCGCTTGGCGCGAATGCGGGCCTCTGCTTCCTCCTCACGCTGCCTCTGCTTGGCAGCCATCTCATCCATCTTACTATGATACACGTTAGCAACTTCGGAATAAGCATGTGGCTCGGGGATAACTAACGCTCTCTCTTCCTCGCGCTTGGCCTTCTCCTCGGCCAGAGCGCGACGGCGCTCCTCGTCTTTGGCAGCACGCTCCTCTTCCTCGCGCTGGATGCGCTCTTCTTCCTCACGCTGGGCGCGCTCAGCGTTCTCACGCTCAACCTTCTCGCGGCGGCGGCGTTCCTGGACCTCCTTAACACGCTGCTTCTTCTTGGCCTCAAACTCCCTCTCGGCAGCCTTGCGGCGCTTCTCAAACTCTTCGTGACGCTTCTCGGAAACATCTTTGCGGAAGTTGCTGAACTGAGGCACCAGGCGGCTGAGACGGTGCTTGAGAGCAACAGCCTCCTTGTGCTTGGCCTCGGCCTCAGCGAGAGTCTCGGCCTTCTGGCGCTCGTAAAGCTCCATATCAACCTTCTTCTGGGCTTCGTAGTCTTCAGCGACGTGCTTCAGTTCCTCACGACGGAAGGCACGCTCCAAGTGATCAATACGCTTGCCAGTGGCGCGAACGCGGTCACCAAGTTCGTTCTTCTCCTTCTCCAACTGCGCGAGCTTAATGGCACGGAGGCGGTTGGCATCGAGATCCTCCAGATCCAGTTCGTTGAAATCAATACCCTTGACGCCGCTCTTCAGCTCCTCAATCTGCTTCTTGAGCTCCTGCTGGCGGATGCGCTCCTGCTCATCCTTGATGCGCTTGAGCTCACGCTCGCGCTGCTCTTCAGCAAGACGCTGCTTCTCGGCCTCCTGGAGCTGCTGTGTGCGGATACGCTTGCGGGTCTCCTCTTCCTTCTGCTTGCGCTGCAGAGCATCGGTAGCAGCCTCCTTCTTCTTGTCAATGATGACACGGCGCTCGAGAGTGTCCTCGTGTTCCTTAGAAGCACCGGCGGCGGCGCGCGTGAGGGCGGCCTGCTTAGCCTGGAGACGAGACTCGGTGTATGACGGGTCCACATACACGCATGTGAGGTGGAGGGTCTTGGCAAGACGGGTGAGCTGCAGACGGGCGATTTCCGCGGGGGTGTTCTGGAGACGCTGAACGGAGCCGAGCTCGCTCTCCGCAGATCCGGCAGCACTGCCGGAGTGCAGAGCCTTGGCGGAGGAGAAAACGTCCGTGTCGAAGGTGAGGACGCCCGAGATGTGGTCCACACGAATGGCAAGATCGCCCTTCTTGCAACCGTTCATGATGAACTTCTCGATCATGGAAGGAGTGATCTGGAAGGGGTCGGGGAACTGGGCAAGCTCGTAAACGAACTTGAGCTCGACGGACTCGTAGACCTGGGACAGCTGCTGGAAGAGACGAGTGAGGATGACCTGCTGCAGAGGAACAACGTACTTCTCCATCTCAGGATCATCGCCAATCTTCTTCAGGATGGGGGTGACCTTCTTGCAGATAGACAGAGGGTGGAAGTCGACCTCAAGAATGTTGTAGAGGTCACGGATCTCGGGACGGACACGCTTGAGCAGGCCCTTGCTCATAGCATCTCTGAAGAGAACGGCACGAGTGGGACCCTGCAACATGCCCAGCAGGTTGGTGAGACGGGTGTTCTTGTTTTTGCGGACCTCATCCACGTCGATCAGCGCACCTCGCGAGCGAGAAGTGCTGATAACGGGAATAGAAAGGGCAGAAAGAAGGACAAAGGAAGCGGCCTTGGTCATATCGGCCTCGGTAACTGAAGGGTGGTCCTTCTTGGAGCCCTGGTTGGTGGCAAGGGAAACGGCGGATTGGCGGAGGAGGTTGTAGTAACGGCTCCAGGCAGCGGCGTGGAAAAGGTAGTTTTCGCTAACAAGGAAGATACGGGCAAGCTTCTCGTAGTAGTTGGCCATCATGACGTTCTTCGCGGGGCGCTTGCTGAGGCTGAGAAGTGTGTGGATATCCTCAATGCTGCGGAAGGCCTCCTGCCAGAGCTCCAACTCCACGGCAACGTTCAGCTGCTGGAAACGGGTATCCAAGTGACGCTGCAGGGTATCGGGGTCGCTGAGGTTGATGGCGTGCATCTGAGCGGAGTACTTGGCCGCGTTTTGAACGTGGTTGCGGAGAAGTTCGCAGAGTCTGCGGAACTCGGTCTTGCGGGTGTACTTCAGGCAAAACTGGAAGGCCTGCAGAGCAGTGGTTTGGTACATGATCTCCAGGCGAGCGTTGTTCTTCAGGATCTCCAGAACGGTTCGGTATGTCTCCCACAGAAACTTGAGCCATGGCGTAACAACGGCACGGTCGGTTCGGTCGCGGGACTGCTCACCAGAAACGGTAGCAAGGAGGATGGTCTCGGGGGTCTCGATGGCTTCGAGATCTTCGACGTTGGAGGAGGGGGCGGCTGACTCGAGGGATGACTGGATCTCATCGGCCTTGGTCTGGGCCTCGGTGACCTTCTTTTCCGCGAGTTCGATGAACTTCTTGAGAACAACCTGCCATTATAATTAGACTATCGCTCATTACTGGTACAACCCTGGCTATCACCGATCATACCTCGATAGTGCCGACATTCGAGTTCTGGGCGATGTTCTTGTACTGGTACAGACCATCCTTGGCGGCCTTGCCCTTGCGGAGATCGACGCACAGCTCAACGAAGAGGAGCATAACCGGTTCGAGGGAAGCGATCGGGCTGCTGCGAGTCCGCTTGGAGGTGACATGTTCGTGAAGGACGGTCAGGGCGGCCGGAGCCTGGCCCACGGCGATAAGTTCCTGAGCCCTCTTCAGGCGAAATGCGCGTTAGATCCGACATGCCCATGATTTTGTTCCATCCTATGCTCCAAAGACAACCTACTTTCAGGACATTCTCAGGCTTGATATGCGGTGGAGGCGGCATGGTGGGCGATGTAATAAGCGATGTCTAGTATTATCGATAGGGCACACAAGGTTGAGGCGAGGGTGAGCTCGACGAGGGATGGGCGCAGGTCGAGACAATAATGCGCAACTGGCGGGCAGCGGTTTTGACAGCCAGAAGTCCCTATTTGATGATGCTGCCACGCGACGGTCGGCCTGGACGTGAGAGGGGAGGCGTCGGTGGTTGTGCGAGAGCCAGAAAAAAACCAACCCACGCTTGCCTGCTCCCTCCGATTCGGGTTAAGCGACCGGATCACGTGACGGCTTTATACCAGCGCATAGACATAAAGAACGACGGGCTAATCGATGGCTCATAATTCAGGTAAGTGTTTGAGCAGTTTGCGAGGTTCTGCTATGGTTTTATTTTATTAAGGAGCATCTGTGCTTGAACAGGGGCTGGCCCGACCCTAATCCGTGCACAAGTGAGAACATGCTAGGTGTATTTACTCCGTATACAACCGCCCTATGACTGCCCACCACCATCCTGCTGAACTGACTGCAAGTACACCTCGCCGACAGCGCCGATTGCTTGATCTAACAGCTGCAAGTCACCTAGCTGTATAACAGATTTTACCGGGATGTCGAATTGCAGTTACAAGTCACGTGAGACACCTGAAACGCCCGTCATGTATGGTAAACGGGGCCTCCACCCGACACAGAGCTCAAGCTTCTCCAGAATTTGTAAGGCAATATATCAAAGTCTTCAGGGTCTTGGGGGGAGGCTATCGGGTGATAGTGTGAATACGATCATTCGGATAATAAAAAGAAATGACAAACAACAAAAGCCGATCGTCAGCCGTTGAAGAGCATCCTCGCCGTTGCAGAGGAGAGAGGAGTCCAGGATTCAGGGGCCTGGCAAAGTTAGGCCGGTGGAGGCTAACGCACCTTATTCAGTACTCAGTACCAAAATTACATGCAGAACTGAGCGTCCCCTCCTGTAAAGTTGTAATTGGGCGTATCCTCAGCAGCATCACCACCCTGGTTCATTCATCCGTCCGAGTTGCCAGGCTCTTCCCTCGCTCCTCTTGTCGCTCTCTTGATCTCTTCCTTCGTCTTCATCCTTCCATTATTCTTCTATTCGCTTTCTAGTCGCTTTCTTTACTCACCCTACCTCTACCTTCTTTCCCTTCGCCTCTTCCTCCGAAGAATAATAACGTCCATTCGCTCCCTCCCTGAACATTAATCCTCCACCCACTCTCCTTTCCCCCAGCCTCGCGTCCGACCCGACTTCACCACTCTCCCCTTGCTCCGTCCACACGGAAGCGCGATCGATTGGGACACCTGACGACTTGGAATTTTACAATCAAACAATCGTCGTCGCCCTTACCGCCCGTCGCATACCGATCGAACTCTGCTTGCGACAGCCGACCTCACGACCGACCGCCCACAAAATGCCTGCCTACGAGCTTCGATCTGGAGGGGACGTCAAGAACAAGAAGCAGAGTGTGGCCGACCTCAAGTACCGCCGACTGACAGAGCTCAATGCCCGCCTGAAGGAGGATCTCGACCGCCCCCGCGTCAAGGTGTCAGAGGCTGCCATGTCGTAAGTCCAACACCGCACCCACCACCAATTGGCTGCCGTCGCAGTCGCTGATCGCATTGCTCTTGCAGGCTTATCAACTACTGCAACAACACTCGTGACTTCATGGTACCGTCGGTATGGGGACAGGTATGCATCGCTCCTCATTCTATCCGCAGGAATAATTGTTAACACCGCCCAGGTCGACAAGCGTGAAGACCCTTACGCTCCTCAACAGCAGGGAGGCTGCTGTACGATCATGTAATGGCCTCATGACACTCATACTAGTATGGTCCAAAAGCAGACCTATCGCGTTGATGGGCATTGATACCCCCCGCCGCTATGACCTTACACATTCTATTCTCTAATTCCTATTCCGTGCCTTGGACCTCTGACAACTTCGAATGCGCTGCCTCCTCTCGGCTTGTATTACACGAAACTCGGCAACCGCATTGACATTTTTCGAAGCTCTATAGCCAACCGGATCGCGCGCGCTGGCCTTGCACGCCTTCGGAACTGCTGACGAGCGGAGATTATATGTCGCCTCCTACCCAGTTGGATTACTGTCGATGATTATTGTCCGCAAGATAACCTTGGTCTTATTTCTTCTATTCTGGTCAAAAATTTCCAATTCCCTCTTCGTCGGCTTTTTCCACTTTTTTTTTTCTCTCTTCCACTTTTTCTCTGATTTTGCGATTCCATACGTCGTGGTGGATGGGGTTACGGGTTCCAAAACGAAACAAAACGTACAGCAAGTCTACCAGATGGAGTGGTCGTTCACGGTTTCAGTATCTTGATCTTGATTTTGTTGCAGCCCGCTTGTAAATTAGATTAGCTGCTACTACTTCCTACTGCCCATCTACACTAGTATCTACGAGCTCGGTCATATAATACAGGTACAACCGTAACACATACACAGACAGCACACTTAGACACTCGAGCACCGAACCAAGATATATACCATCGAGAGTAAGAGCAGGTGGGACAACCACCGTCAAATGACCCACGACAACCCTGCGTAGATCTCGCTTGTCTTCGCCATTCGAAGATCTTACTACGAACTGAGGCTCAGATGATCAGAGACATGATTCTCGCTGACATCATCCACCCCACCTCACCACCACGCAAGCCAGGGTTGTATAACTATTCGTCCCAACCGCAGGCAAAACATTATACCATATTCCTGTCTTGCGCTTCCTCACCCGCTTAATAATCCATCCCCTAGGTTCCCTGAGTTGGAAATTGAAGATACTCATCATTGATCGAGATGACCGAACCAACCGCCCCCATCGAGACAAACCCGCCAACCACAACAAACCCACCCTCCACATCCACCTCATACTCCAAGCCAAGGATTACAATCCAGTACTGCACGCAGTGTAAATGGATGCTTAGGGCTGCATACGTACGCCCTCCAATCACCTCCCGCCTCATCTAGCAGCTAACCAGGGTATGCATGCGTGAAGTTCGCGCAAGAACTCCTCTCCACATTCGGCACAGACATCGGCGAGATCGCGCTTGTGCCGAGGACGGGCGGGATATTTACGGTTACGGTCTTCCCTAGCACTAACATCTCAAGCGCTGAAGTCGAAGTCGACGGGTGGAGCAAAGAGGGGAAGATCCTCTGGGATCGGAAGGCTGATGGCGGGTTCCCTGGTATGTTGCACCCTAGCAGCTTACTGTAATGTTGGTTTAACGAAGAGCAGAGGTCAAAGAACTCAAGTCTCGCGTCCGTAACCTCATTGATCCGAACCGGGACCTGGGGCATACGGATCGGGCGTTGAGGAAGGGTGCTCCGTCTACGTCTACGTCTACATCTACGTCTACAGCTACAGACGCCAGCAGCACCTCCAGTACAACGAAGACCGCAACAAAATCTACGTCTACCAGTACGGGTACGGGCACTCCAGACACGGATCTACCCCCGCCCATCGCCGTCCCAGCCTCAGCCTCAGATCCAGCATCAATGTCCGCGCGCGCAAAGGTTGCTGAGTCTGAATCCGCGTCTGGGTCTGGCGAGCGTGCCCCTACCGTCCCATCTTCCGCATCGACATGCCCACCAATCACAGCACCAACGTCCGCCTCAGATCCTGCATCTCTATCAGCCCAGGCTAAAGCCAACGAGTCTGGGTCTGGGTCTGGCGCTCGTCCGGAGCATGGGACAGGAGCTTCAGAGTCAGACACGGCATCCATGGCAGCGCGCGCTCGGGTCGTTGACCATGCTGGTGGGAAGACAGGGGCAGGTGGTGTCACCGGGGCCTCGGCTTCGGGACCTGCATCGCTCTCGGCGCGCGAGAAGATCGTTGATGAGACGGCGGGTGGAACGGTTAGGAAAAGCGACGGGGAGGTTTGTGAGGACTGTTTGTAGTGTAGCTATACTCCGGATGTTGATTGGGGTGCCTAGCTTAGACTGAATAGACTATAGGGGCCTAGCATACATACAATGTTTATGAAATGCAAATAGAGCCTCATACCTATGCTTGATAACTCCAAGTAGCAAGCCATAACCATAACCATAACAACAACCTTGGCCAGAGTATAGAAGGTTGGGGAGAAGAGTGTAGTATATAGCGTTATATAATGTCAAATCAAGTCGAGTCATCATTTCCATCATTGATATCGATACCAAACAAAACACGATAAAAAAAAACCAGCAGCTATGGCAATGACGTTTTGAAGCGAAAGAAAGCACAGCAGGTGCGGATGCGGATGCGGATGCGGATGCACCGGCAAGACAGGGCACGGCTAACAGGAGGCAGGCAACCTTGGAAGGACCTCAGCAAGATAGGTATGCACCTGCAGACAGGTACGTAGGATACACTAGCATACGTGGAACCTCAGGGAGCACTGAAAGACCTCGGCCTCCAGGGAGGTCAATCTCGACCCCGCCTCGAAGAAGCCGATGGCATTGCCATTGTCATGCCATGCCTGCCTCAACCGGACCCAAGCCTAGACTGCCAGTCCAGTAAATGACAAGGCACCTGCAGGCAGCAGATAGAAACAACCAAAACGCCAAACCAACCAAAGCCAGCAGATAAAGACAAAACCAAAGCACGCCCCAACTCTAATTGCCTATCCCAGACCAGCCTCCGTAACAGCAAGGAAATGGTGTAATGTGATGTGATGCGATGTGTGAGATAAGAAAAGATGAGGGTCAAGAAATAAGGTGGGAAAAGATGAGGTAGAAATCAAAGAAGAAAACTGGAGAAAATGAAGCAAAGTAAGAAGTGAAGTGAAAAACACCGCCTCCCACCTGGATATCCGATCCGATTCTGCGCCGGATCCGTTCTGCTTTACTTGCTTGCGTTGCAGGTGCAGTAGCAAGCAGAGAGTGCATAACGTAGTTAAACGGAGGCAAGACCAAAAGCACGATGCGGGTTCACTGCCATGGCAATAATATCAGTGAGTAGGAATATCCATATCCAATCCATATCCATATCCGTAGCCCTGGGCCGATTGCAGGGGCCACGGGCTCAAGAGCCCAAGCTTGAACAGCAAAAAGCCAAGCTTCGCTCGATTTTGTCTATCAACAATTGAGATCGTGAAATCGTACAGTCCGTCGTATATGCAAGTAAATCGATCGTAATGTCAATGTCACCGTCCAAGTATGAGGTCGAGAGTGCTGAGAACAAACATGGTTGAAGTTCAAGTGGAGTGGATGAAGGTGTTTGAGTGGTGGTAAAACGGGGTGAAAAGGTACGAGTGTGGTAATGTTATAAAAGGGGTTAAGGATAGTGGTGATCGGGTTATCGCGACTCCCCAGAAACTTCATGGTTATTCGAATGGTAGTTCTTGCGCTTCCAAAACGCCAGACGAAGGCGGCTGCGCCGCTTCGGCAGCTTGCGCGTGGGCTGTTCCGTCCCAAGCTCATCCCAATGCGGGCTCTGGCCCGTACTGCTCCCTGTACCGATGGAATGCGATGAGCTCCCGTTGCCCGAATGATTCTTATCCGAGCCATCGAAGAGCTGGCTGTGGCCGGAGTGGAGCGTGTTCTCTGAGCCGCGGTCGCCGCCGTGTTTCGGCGACCCTCCGCGCGGGCTGCGATGGTTCCAGTCTGCATAGTCGCTTCGTGGAATCTCGCGGTGGTAGATGTGGTCCTGGTCGTCGCTATCTGCGGAAAGAACGCTTGTTGCGTTTGTTGAGGGAGAAATGGGGGACCTCGTGTTGCTGTGGGTGCTGATGCTGTGGGTGCGGGTGCAGCTATTACGCTGCGAGTTCGAGGGCGCGGATGTGCAGCCTGAAGAGGCGGTGTTGGCGTGATTGCGGTATACGCTCCTTGCTCCGTTTGCCCGTTCTGCGGCTCCATCAACAGCGCTGTCGTAGGTGATTGCACTGCTTGGTGATTGACTGTCGCCGCTGATGGGTGTCTTGGTAGGCATAGGCTCGACAATAGACACGGGGCTCGAATCTGGGACAGCGGACGACGATTTCCGGGACGGCTCGTCCACAGGACGGGAGTCTCCAGTGATGTCCATCGTTGACGGGCCTGGTGTATCTGGCGAAACGACCGGGCTGATCTGGTTCTCGTTGTATGCGCTATCCACAGACGTACGCGCCGATCTTTGAGGACCGAAGTAATCATCTGCTTCGTCGATCCGTTGCTGCTGGGGCTCCTTTGCCGGGAACGATTTGGTGGGTTTTGGGTGACTCGTCACTGGTGTCGGCGGCGTTACCGTCGGCACCTTCGGTGTCGCCTGAGGGTCCCGGAAGCTTGCTGATGGGCTATGCGAGCGAGGCGAGACGTGGCCGTCAGGGGCGGGTTCCACCGTTAGGAAAGGTTTCCCTCGTTCCAGATCCGCGAGGTAGTGCCACCGCGTGTGGTTTCGTCGGATATGGTCAACGGTAAACCTCAAACCAGCAAGAATATCCGAGACGCCTTCGAAGAGCGGGAGCGCAAAGATGGACATGAATCCCATCTGACCAGTCGCAAGCTTGTACACATTGCCAAGCTCAGGCGGACCACCGAAAAGTGCAGTCTCCATCCCAACCTCCTTTTCCATCTCGCCCTGGTTGGCAAACTCCTCTTGCAAGATCTTGGTCCATTTCTCAGCAACTTCCCACGGACGCGCGACGTTACTAATATCCGCACATTTAATCAGCAAGCCACAAACCAACGTCTTGTACATTTCGATATCCTGAGGCTTCCAGCCATCTGTGGACCTGTTGTTTTCCGAGTACTTTTCCTGCAAGGCTCCCAGTCGCTCCATGAACTTCTGATGAACGCCCATATCCGTCGCCAAGATAGAGCTAATAAGCAACTTGCGCAAGGTCTTGTCTTTGAATGCAGCGGGCCAGTAGCGACGCAGAATTTGCGAAAACGCAGCACAGTGGAAAGCTTCCAGCACCGAGTTGTCATTGTACAGCTGAGCCAGAGGCGCGTTCAATTTTACCAGAAAGAAATTGTTGACACCAGGATGACCAACATCGTGGCCAATTGCCGATATCAGTAACGTAAGGGCATCGAATGGTTTGAGCATATTCGCAATCGGACAGTCTTTATCAGCATTATGACCGATTGACCGATAGGGAGGCAATGCGCCGATATGCAGCAAAAAGCAGAAAATGGACTGTAAAACATCGATTGCGTGTCGGAAATTGTGGTAGAGGACAAACGAGTTGTAAGACGCGCGGCAAGCCAGCAGGAATGTCCGGAGCTCGCCGGGCGTCAACTTCCACTCTTCTAGCTCTGGTATTGTGAACGCATGCTGAAGCATCGAATGGGCCGCAAAAACAAGTTCGTCGTCGTCGAACTCATGGGCTTCAAAGTCCCACTGGCCTAGCCGCTGCTTGACGTAGTCCTCGCGTTCTTCGCTGACAAAGTACTCCCCGTCATGTAATTCCTCAACAACATCTTCCGGGTTGCAGATGCCCTTCATGAGTTTTGACACCATCGCTTCCCTCAGGTAGGAATACGGCTGTTCGTCGTGAACGCCGACCCATGAGTGCTTGCGCAGTTTCCTCCTCGACATGAAGCGTGACTGTTCCTTGAGGCCAATCTTCCGCGTCCGGTACGCATGAACAACCAAACTCTGGATTCGAATCTTATCCAAAGGTCCAGTCAAAACATCCACCGCACCGGCGTCCAAGCATCTCGAAATGTGCTGAGGGTGAGGAACGTATGGCTGTTGCTGACCAGGTCCCGCGGAGGTGGGTTCTCGCGATGGCGGACGTAGGATAGCGACGGGAATAACGAGGTTCGGACCATCGTGCACCTGGATATCGGTCGAAAGACCCGAGAGCAGCCTCAGATCGGACGAGCCCTCATTTTGCGACGAGAATGTGAAACCGCGACGGAGCGGTGCAGGAGACGGAGGGCCCTGCCAAGAACCACGGCTGGTACTGCGACGCGATAACGAAGGCGGCTCCTCGGTGTGGAGGTCGATGTCGAGAAAAGCGAAAATCGGCGTACAGCTATTTCCATGACTTTCGCTCAACTCTGCAAGTTTCGTGACGAGCGACGCACCGGCTTGACAAAGGTACACTATCATACAGATTAGCATTAGCATGGTGCTGGGATGATGCAGGCCTGGTATCATGCAGTGCGGACATACTTCGCCGAGAGATACCCAATAAGACATCGATATCCGACCGGAGTGACTCGGGTTCGTCGGAGAATATCAGCGATTCTGGCGGCGAGCCTTGATACACCCATCGCTCTGACTGGATGCGGGGATCGATGTAGATTGCAGCGCAGTCGATGTGATCCATCACGTCGACCGGATCCGGGACGCCCATGGCTCGGGGCCTCGCAAGCCAGGCCAAATCACTCGACAGCAAATATATATACCAACAAAGAGAAGGAGGAACGGCACTCTTCCCGGTCTAGACCCGCCCTCATAGGTCGAGACTTTCAGGTCGTGCAGGGTGTTATGCGATGCGAGACAGAACGAACGGCGGGCGGATACGGGGCGGATACGGTGATAATGCGTAATGATGATGGGGCGAGAAGTAATGATAAGATAGGGCGAAGTGAGACAGGAGAGATGATCGGCTAAAGGAAGGACAGTCGAAGTGAGTGAAGCGACAATTTTAGGAATCTATTGAGTGTCTTGAATTGCGTCAGTGACTTGTTCCAGCCTAGGGTTTTGGTCCGAAGGTACATGCAGGCGGCGCAAGCAGTAGGTAGGGTAGGGGCAGTGGACGAGCAGCAGCCGAGGGAACATTGGCGACGAACTGCAGGCGACAGAAGCGCAGGATGGACAATGAGTTTGTTCGCTGCAGTCGTCCACCAGGATTACAGACGAAGGGGGGAGCGGCGCAGGACAGGCGCAGATGCAGACGCAAAAGTCCCTTTCTGAGACAGTTGCAGGCCGCCCGTGGACCGTCGACCAGTCGAAGCGTGGACAGGACGTGGGCGCGAGGCTCGGGATGACGAGCAGGGTACAAGTCTCACTCACACTGATGGATGATAATCAAGGAGGACAAGTAAGGAAAAAGAGAAATCGGCAAAGGAGAGGCAGGAGTCAGAAGCAATTGCTGGCGTGACTGCTGGGGTGTGTGAGAGTCTTCCCACGGGGCGAAATGCGCCCGATCAATAATCTGCCAGCCAAGGAACCTCGAGTCGCAGACAGTCAACCAACACCAACGCTACAGTACCTGCAGTGTAGGATTGGAGGGAGTGCGATGTCGAACGACAAAGATGAGTCCTAGGGCGTCATGGTGGGCCAGCGATAGGGCCAGAGAGTCCAGACGGAGAAAAAAGCCACGAGACGGAGGGCGAGGGAGGAAGGGCGAGGGCGAGGGTGGAGATGGAGAGGGTGAAGATCGATCGGGAGAAAAGTCGACAAAGTTGCACGATGAGTGTGGAGATGGCAGAGTCAGTCAGTCAGTCGGTCGGTCGAGTGACACCTGGCGACGACTGATGAATGGTATTAAAATAGAACGAAGAAAGGGAGGCAGTCAAGTCACTAGTCTACTAGGCAAGGGAGAGAGAGGGAGACGGGAAGGAGAGCGAAGGGGCAAGGATAAGAGCATAAGACAGCAGTCGTCGTAATAATAACAAGAAGAAGAATAGGAGGCCAGACCAGACCAGGCCAGGGTGGTGGTGGGATTATAGCAGCAGCTGCAGAAGAATCAATGATTGATCGTCTTCTGCTGCGCTTCTTCAGCTTCTGCCAGCCTTCCAGAACTTCCGTGACGGTATCTTACGCTACTTACCGCTCCCGCAGCCGGCCGCGGTGTAAACTACGTAAGCCGGGGTAATGCTGAGTGGGCTGGAATTACTTCTTCTAGCCGGATTCTGGAAGCCTCCAGCCGCGATGATGTAACAGAAGGATTCTACGGAATGCACTCACGAATGCACTCTACGAATGCACTTTACAGAAGTATTCGGATATACAGATATATCAGTATCAAGAGCAAAGTATGGGGTACAAGCATGTAAGTTGAGTGGCAAAACCCCGGATGATGTGATTGTGATTGAATCATTTGCACTGAACCTGGGGAACCGACGTTAAGAACAGGCTGTGGACTCGCTCGCAGCAATGTGGCGGACGCCTCTCGCCACTTCTTCCTCATTCGTCACCACGCATCTATAGCCCTGCCTGCTACTTGTTGCTGTATGTACTCCGAGTACACGCAGAATTATCGGAAGAACAGCGTAGCTGAAGCAACCAGACGGGACGGGACCGAGACCGAGCACTGACCTTGACGCAACAAGAGCCAAGGCTGCCTCAAAACATTAGTCCAGGACCGTCTTGGCGATCCCTCGATCCATCGGCTTTCGATCACCTCACTGTCAGAGACTGACGGTTCACTAGATTAAAAAACAGAGTCCATGAACTGTTTGAAGAATTTATATGAATTTATATTTAGTAGACCTCTACCAGAGGAGCCGTCTCCGATCACTAATGTCTCAACTCCAATACAAATGCACATCCGGGCCAGAACCAAGCAACACGGAAAACAGAAAAAGGAAAAAAAAATGCACAAAAGCCATCAGTACCCTGAACTCTTCTCATGCCCGGACGATAAAAATTCTAGAACCATGCTAAGCAATATCCCAAGTCCCGCTTTTTCCCATGCCAGAAAAAAGAAACCAGAGAGGACAAAACAAAAGAAAGAAAAGAATACAGAGATGCGAAAAGATATCATACACGCCCGGTGGGTTTCTAAAGGATCAAACATATGCGGCCTCAGCCTAGGAAAGGAGGTTCTTTAATGACGGGCTGGCGCTGGCTCCAGAGCTGCCGCTCGTCCCGTTCGTGGTCGGTTGCCGGCCACCGTTCATCATCAACGGATCGTCCAGCCTATTTGGTGGGGTTCGACCCCGGCGGTCGATGTGTGCCTGAGAGACGGGCGGTGACCGCGTTGTGCTCATCACGCGCTCAACTGAATACATTCGAGGCGGAGCGCCGCCGTTCAACGCGCTGAGCGAATGCTGCGGGGAGTGCCTCACCATGGTTGCCGGGGCATCAGGCGGTGACGCGGACGGCGCATACGGACGGACTGCTGGCGCTGCTGGTGGGTGCGGCGACATAGCAACCGGTGCATATGGGCTTTGGTGAACTGGGTAGGGCTGGGCAGCAGTGGGGTGCGCACTGCTGGCGTAATGCGACGCAGCAGGGTGAGGCGCTGGAGGCGCGGGAGGCACGGGGGGCACGGGGGGCTGGTAGCCGTTCAGGACGCGCATCGGCGGTGGTGGTGGCCCACTTCGATATGCAGCGGTCGGGACACCGTTTCCATATTCCCGTTCGTATCCCGGAAACCGCTCGGGGCTTGTGTTAACAGGCGGACCAATGGGCCGGGAAATCCCCGCTGGCTGGGGTGGATGACCATGGGAGGTGCCATAAGGATGGCCGTGATAATCCAGTCGAGGTGTGGGCAGGACGGGTGGTGGTCGTGGGGCCGAATAAGGCGACGGTCGCGGTTCCGGAGACGGTGGTTGGACCTTTGGTTTCCTGATATGGCACTTGTGGCACTCATAAACTTGCGAGACTTCCTTAGGACCGATCGTCTCTGGAGAATTATAATCGCCGTTAAGCACAGGAAGAGACGATTGAGAATGTCCATAAAGATAAGGGGGACTCGCTGCTGACGGTGCAACTCCGTTAATTGGCGGCGTCCTATGGCTAGCGGCTGTCCGACGAGATTCAATAGCCCACCATTTGGGACTAGAATCAGTCGAGCAGGTGACGCATTTTCTGTTCGCATCCGCGCCGCCAACTTTCTGCGAAGGACGAGGCTCCGAGTCGATCTCCATCTCATCGGGGTTGTCTTCAGGTGCGGGTCTCTCTCTTGTCATCACAGGTAGAGTAGCGGTACCGTTGACATTAGACGATCGTCGGTTTCCAGACGTTGTGCTGTGATTGGCGGCAACGGCCTGCTGAAGATAAGCAGCTCTCCGAACAGTTCCCGTTATGCTGAGATCCGCTTGCTTATAAGTCCGGACGTACAGCTGGATCGCGTTGAGGCCGTCTTCCGCTGCTTGACCGGTCTCGTGAATGACTCCTGTGACAGCATGATGAGGGCACCAAATCGCCGCAGTCGCTGTACCAACTTCATCCCCGAGTCGAATGCTCGCTGTGCTATCTCTCCTAGAGTTCTTCACCGGCGTCACATCAAACCCAGTCTTGTACCTCGCCTGGAACGCACAGCCAACGTGGAAGCGGGCGTTGCAACCGCTGAAGTGGCAGGAGACACAAGCGCCATTGTTGGACTTGCAAATCTTGCAAATGTCGCGGTACCGATCAGCAGGAATCAGCCCGAACCCCTCGGCAGCCTCGAGTTCCTTGGCATTGCTGAACTTGATTTCAGGCGTCCATACTGCGCAGGCAACGTGAATCCAGTTATTGCCGGCGGTTCGCTTGAGAGCTTCTCGGGGGCCGACTGGCTTGCCCACCGCTTCCTGCTTTTCCCGGTAGAGTTTGATTGCACCTGCTACCAATCCTCGTTCAAGCCTCTCCTTTTCGCGGTCCCTTTCCGTCTTCTTTTTGTGCGTCGTCTTTGGCGCTTCTATCAGCTCATGCTCGGTCCAAGTCACAGGACACAAGACGCATTCGTAAGACGTGGAAATCAGCGGGCTTCGGTCATTTGAGCACGTATCGCACAGCCATTTGACAGTATTTTGCGTGGGACTGACTCCGTAGCAGTTCCGGTGGACGGTTAGACGGCAATCTTTGCATGATAGGTACTGGTCCCCTGTGGGTTCAATCTTGGCGCAAATGGCGCAAGGAAGTGTCTTGGGCACGGGTGGTTCCGGCTCGATTGGCGTTGGCTCTGATACCTTTTCGTTCACGGCCTTTCTCTTCGTGACAGGCTCCACCGAGGTAGCCGCCGAGGTCGTCGTGCTCTCCTTGTCAACTCGGCCCTTCTTCCTGCCATCGACCTGTACTTGCGAGTTCCCGTTTACAGCAACACCAAGCGAAGCTGCGGTAGCGGCTGTGGAGGTACTGATATTAGCAGGTCCGGCTTCCTCGGAAGCAATTAGTTGGGTCAGAAGTTCCTCGTCGAGGCGACGTCGCCATGATTTGTTACCACTTTGACCGATCTTCTTTGCTACTTCATCCACGTTCTCCCACTGGATGCCGTACTTCCTCCACAGAAGAGCACAACGCAAGCAAAGGGCAACGTTGAGCTGTGGGCCCTTGTCCTTTTTCGACCCAGGCTCGCTGGGAACTGTGGTGCCTGGAGGTACTCCGGGGGCGCGTCTCCATTGTCGTGAGGTTCGCGTCAAGCAGAATTTGCACTGGAAGCCACGCTTCTTCTCAGCGGCTTTGTCATTATCGAATGCCGAATCATCGTGGTCGTCCGCGACATCGTCCACGAGCTTGGCGGCGCTGTTTCGCTTCGCCTCTTTCTTGCCCTTTCGACCGCCGTAGTTGCCCCAAACTTGTCGGCCCCTAGGCGTTTTCTTCCACATGTAGTAGTGCCGTACGATCTGGTAATGCGGCACGGTTCCGACGTGTTTGGTGATGTTGCGCCATTCGGATCCGAACTTTGAGACTGCTTGCTCGAAAGCCTTGGCCTCCTCGGGCTTCAGATGGGGTTCCTTCAGGTCCTTGTACTTGTTTACTTGCTTCAACTTTGCAAGCGCTGCGTCAACGTTGAAGCTTTGCGCGTACAGGAGCTCCAAGGCTTTATCGAGAAAATTTGTCGAATGCTTCTCAACACCTAAATCGGGAGCCAACTGTTTCGCGCGCTCCATGTATTCGTCGATAAACTTTTCCCGATCCGCTTGGCTGATATCTGCCCCAGGCCCATCGTCTTCTCCTCTGCTGGGCATTTGTTCTGCAGTAGGCATCTTGAACAGCGTCTCTGTAGTGCGCACTTGTTTTCCGGCTATTAAGACTGGTTCATCTTCGCCTCGGCGGATGAATCCGGCAGGCTCATCGAGTACCCATGTTGGTCGAGCAGCCCGTTCCTTCTTCGCAGCTTCAATGGCAGCAATAGTTTCCTTTGTAAGCCTATTGTCCCTGCGACCTCCAGAGCTCTTCATGTATTTCTTCTTGATTTCGACCGGCTTGACGTATTCCACCGGACGTCCGGGCCACGGGTTCACGATAGCCTGATGCCGAGGTCCCAATCGCGAACTAGCCCGAGGATAAATGCGGTCATCGTAATCAAGCGCATCTTCAACTCGGCAGTGGATCCCCAAGTAGCGATATGGCCACATCCTAGCTTGCGCAATCTGTTCTTCCGTGGCTGGTCGAGGCGCTTCTTCCTCGATCGGTGCGGGGGTACTGCCTGTAGTGCCATTGGGGGCGCCGTTCGCATGTTCTTCTTCCTCCTCTTCAACCATTTCCTCGTCTGCTTCCGGTGCTTCTGAGGCTCCGTCGCCAAGCATGGGCGTGTGTCGAGCCTCGAGTTTCCGCTCCTGCGCTCGGCTACAGGCGGCGCAAGCCCAGGCGAACCCTCGAGCCGGTTTCTTCGTCAACGCTGGTCGGACGCAGTACATGTGATATGTGTTGTGACATACAGCACAATCCACAGAGTCGGTGCTAATCAAACATGTCAATAATCGCTTCTCGTTACGCGCCGAGTGTTAGTCATACTTAGCAGCATATAAACCGCATCGCTTACACGTCTTGACCGCGCTCGTCAGTTCTTTTCGTTTCCCAACTTCGACAAGAACAAATCGCCACCGTTCGTCGAGAACCTTTTTGACGTTTCCGGGGACATTGATTACTTTGCTCGTAGGAATAACTTCGTAGTAGCGGTGGATATACCGGTCAAACATCTTGTCGTACCAGAAACAATCTCGCGTTTTTCGGTAGTCTTCGAGATCTTTAATTTCGGAGGCATGTTTGATCTGACATTTACCACGTAACGACGTAAGCGGACATGTGTCGGAGTGCATCGAGGCGAAGACCAGTCTCGTATCAGCAGCGTTTCGCTGGATGTCACGTGGTCTGTAGTACCAATTGACGCGGAGCGCCTCAATCGGGCCAGATGGCGAATTTTTGTTTGGGAGAAACTCCATTATCCGCGCCAAGTAATAAGGCTCCCCTGGCGGTTCGCAAATCAGATAGACATGTTCTACGCCGCATCAGTGCCGAACTCGAAAATAAAATAAAGGAAATAAAGACAAAGAGTCAAAAGCAAAAAAAAAAATAGGGGAAAAAGCAAACTGACCGTTGATTGAAAATGTAGTGCCATCATCGGCTGTGATTTTACCATTCTTCAAGTGGGAACCCCCATTGTCGAAAGTGACCATGTTCGATTCACCTTGACCTGCAATGACGCCGGGGGCGGCGGTGAAGACTTTCTTGGGGGCATTCTCGTTGGTAGCGTTGGTGGTGGAGCTCGCAGGCTGCTTTCGCTTTCGTGAAGAATTTGATGACGGAGCAGGCTCATCTAGTTTTGCGTGAAAGGACGATGTGCCGGGGATACCGTCTTTGGCAGCCGTGGAGTTGGACCCGTTGGCGGCCGTTAGGCTTTTTCGAGAGCCAGACTTTTCTCCCTCGGGTTTGGTGCCGTTAGTCAGATTAGTGGGAGCACCGCCGCGTTTGTTAGATTTTGAGGCGGGGTTGTGAACCTCCAGGTCGACATCAAGGTCACGGTCCTCGGCGTAGTTGGGCCGGGGAGCAGCATTGCGCCCTCGTGAGCGCGTGCCGTAAGGCGCTGGGGTGGCGGATGTGCTGGGCGGCTCCGTGGCGGTAGCTTCAGAGGGGGATGCGCTAGCCGTCATCGGCCCCGATAGTGAATCATTAACATCGGCAGGAACTTGGAGGGTGGAAGAATCCACAGACCCCCTCCGAGATAACTGGCCAGGGGTAGGCATGCGACGGCTGCCTGCGGCGGGAGGTGCACTGGTGGAGGGAGAGTCGGGCCTCACGTGCGGTTGCTGAGACGGCGATTGAGACTGGGACCGAAAGTGAGACTTTCGGAGCGGTGACCTATCCGAGGACATGGCCAGCCCTCAGACGCGACAAGTAGCGAGAGGCGGTGGGTGACGCTCCTCAGTGCTGCGTTGGTGGTTGACGGGGCACAAGAGATGCAGAAATTCAGCAACGGGCCGTGACGGGGAGACGATCCCTCATCAGATGCAAGTTCACGGGCGATGGGTGGACCGGGAGGTAGTGGACGGCATGGGCCGAGTATCAAGGGGGAAGGGAAAGCGAAAATGAAAAGGAACGTAATGAGTAGAAGAAAAATAAAAGTCACCGCGAAGAGACTGGTGGGAGTACTCAAAACACGAAGGTTGAAGAAGGAAGAAGTGGAAGGTGGATGAGATCCCCGGGGTGGTCCAGTCCAGCAAGGGCGTTGGAGGGATGCCGATGGTGGCTATTGGAAACCCAACCCACCAAGAGATGAGGATATCAAGTTGACAATCACAACCTTAGACTTCCAACAACCACCTGCTCGGGACGGAGATGTGGATGTGGCAATGTGGAGACGCGACGGGGGAGATATGTGAGAGGGAAGTGGGAGGGAGAGGGAGGGAGGGAGGGATAAGTGAGGTCGAAAGAGAGAAGAGAGGAAGGAAAGAAGAAGTGGATGGCGAGAGTCTAGAAGGTGAACAGTAGGTAGGGAATTGGACTAGCGGCGGTGGAAGCCAAACAAGAGGAACGGGCTCTCGTGGGGGGGAGTCGATAAGAATAATAATAAGAATGTGAGTAACCCAGTGATCGTCTCGAGTGCAATGCAGCAACAGTTGATACTAGAACACTCTATCTAGCACTCTAGTCTACCCAACGAACTGACGGGGATTGGGTGGTAGACTGGCGAATGTGATGGGCAGGCCGAGGATGATGCAGATGCAGAGCGGAAGAGAAAGAAGAGCAGAAAGAGAAAGATAGAAGAAGTGGGAGTGGAAATGGAAATGGAAGCGGAAGAAGAATCAGTAGAGCCGTCCAGGATCCCGACCACTCCACGGCCTCGCCCCTAGTCCCAATAAGTTAATATGACGGATCCTCCATCCACTGCACTGGATGATGATTCTCTCCTTGCGATCCTCGAGACTCGGGTCAAGCGTCCCAACTGTCTGGCTGGGCCCGCCGGGAGTGCTAGTAGTCTGTCTTATGTACCCTAGGGCAGCCGGCCAGTATTGGGTCTGAACAAGGTATGAACTATGAAGCCTTGCTCGTCAAACGGCTGGGAGATCTACGTGTACGACTGTGACCAGAACAAAACAATCAGGGATTGGAGGGATGGGATATTGGTGGTTCTGCGAGGGAGCGAGAGTGTGTGGGCCGAGCCACCCGATGTGAGAACGAACTGAAGAATGGTGATGATGCCGGGGATCCCAGAGGCTGCCGACTGAGTCTGCCGCTGCCGTGCTATGCTAAACCGAACAGAAAGGATTTGCCTGCCAAAGGACTGGAGTCTGAACGCAGAATCGGCAGAGCAGTGGAATGGAACGCATGTTGGCCGGTGGCGCATCGTGTTTGGGGGACAATGGAAGGGTGTCGGATGCCAAGTCTATATATGCGCTGCCCAGGGTCGCTGACTCGGGGACCAGCCTATCGCCAGATTGGGACTACTCCCGCTCTTGATTTGTTGTTGCAGCTCTAGCGGGATGGTCTGTCTTGACTCCGATTTGCGAGTCGATCCAGGCCAGCTGCGTCTGTACTTTGTCGCAGCTGGTCGCAGGTAGACTATATGATGACCCCATATCGCGAGCCCAAGACGAAGCTGAGGCAGCGCAGTCCGTTTAGCAATGGTACCTTTCGGCAATGTGTCATCATCATTACGCTACGAGTCCATAAAAGGAGCACCAGCGACACAGATGCCAGGAGGGGTCCGGTGCTCTTGTGCGACTGCAAAGCTGACTATAGGGAACTGCAGCCAATATCCCCGAGAGCGATGCCGATTTGCCAGTCGTTGCCAGTCTCGCGATGGTTCATGTCTCAAGCATAAGACTAAAGAGCCTCGATATTATTTTTGTAGTTGTGCAGGTTCCATCTGAGAGTGTGCCGTAGGCTAAATATATGAACGTGCGAACCCACCGGGACAAGAAGCCGACCTATATTCTCTAGAGACGAGTTTATCATCTTCTATATAGATAGCAACCCAGATCTACTCTTGTGTTGAATCGCATCCAAAGAACAAAGATGGTCACACCGCTAGGAACAACAATGCAAGCCGTGGCTAGGTTCTGGCTTCCTCGACCGGTCGAGGTTGACAGAAGGGTTGGTGGACATTCCCCGCGAACCGGGTCCGTCTTGGCTCACCGTTTAGCGGGTGAGACCGTGAGAGTGATATCGGCACATTCTTCCTTGTTAACAACTTACCAGGGGAAATAATAAACGGCAGTACCATATCGACTCAAGACACACTCTTGAAGTGCTGTTCCGTTTGCCCGGTCGGTGATGCTCCGTAGGACTGGTAGCGCGTCACGGACGGGAGTAAGTGTGGTTCCATCCAACCCCTTTATTCAATAGGGCATTTTGAAGAATAATCCGGCGGACGTTGATTTGACGGCGTCTTGTGTCTCACTCTCTCTTCGCCGTATTTGGTTAAAGGGTGCCGGATCCGCGATTAGATCGACCGGTGCCGCCGATTGCTGAGCTTTTCAGAATGGAGCATGGGAGGGATGCTAGGCTAGAGGGGAAAAACGGTTGAGCTGAGTTTTAAAACGGACTGCGACAAGAGTTCTCTGACATCCAAGCGAGACTATGTATTATAAGCGTTGCACAGGATGGGATCTCAGGATGTTTGCTGCTGCTCTGCCTCGTGGCAGATTTACGCGCGGCAGATCACCGCTGTTCTCCCCGAGTCCGAGACACCCGTGGCTGAAGGCTTGAAACTCACTCGGTGGATTGAATCAGTATCATCTCGCTTCTCTCGCCTCATCGGAGCCCAAATAAGCCAAAAGCATGACTGCAGTGCGCCGAGCTGTAAGCGAGGGAGATAAGATAGACGTTCTGCATCAAGGGGCACTGGGCAGTCCGTAACCTTGGAAGAACTGGCGAACGCTGCATTAGTGCAGATCAGAGCGGCCATCATGTGATTGGACCAAGTTCGTCTAGCATTGACAAGGATTGCGACAGTCCTAGGCCATTGTGTATCCTTGAGCCTTGACCGAGTTTTCTCTCGTCAAATTGTCAGATAGATACCAGCTGCAGCCTTCCGCCTCGTCGATGTTTGCTGGAGGTTGGTGCAGAGTCAGTGACGACTACTGTGGTGGGGCTGGGAGGGTCCCAATGGATCGGTGGATCGCCGCCGCTTTGCTTCAGGCGCAGGTTGAAGCCTCAAGGATCAGGCAGCAAGGCTTCTGCGATCAGGAACGCCCGCATTGCGCACGGAAGCTGGGAAAAAGCAATTCTACCAATATTACTGGACTGCGCTTACATGATGCAGCGGTCTAGATCGATCAGGCTAGTGCATCTGGTGGTGATTGGCCAAGGCCGAGATTACGCCGTGGCGTCTAAAAGCCTAGAGTTATTGCCTTGTGATTCAGGCAGAAGTGGCTCCTTTGCCGAGCCCGCGTGGCTGCCGCCCATAACATAACATTACTACCCAGACTGCTCTTGCTATGAACATCTATGCTTTTATTTATCTCCACGTACAACTCGTCGTCGGCCATGATTTAACTGACAATTCGATGCTGCCCATGAATGGGCAAGTCGCACTTTTGCCTGGAGGCTCGTTGACCAGCCGCAGCAGCCACAGCCATAATACGTATGTCTGCTCACGGACAACCATCACTTGAAACAAGTGGCTTTCAAACATCTCTCAATATCGCCCGTCAGCAGCCTACGTCGTAGTCCCGTTGGCTGGCCAGAAACAGCTCCCTAGCGGTTCTTGAAAAGTTGAAATGAGGATACAAACGGCCCCAGCTCTCATATCAATGGGATCTCACGTCAGAACGGCCCCAACGCTCAAGCAGTGGATTCTGTTTAGCCTCAGTTGCATCTCCCAGGAGCCGCCTGATCATTAACGAGATACGCATGACAAGAAACAAAGGTTAGATTCTTCCTCGCAGTCGGCTCAAGGCCCTCTCCATTCATTGGATCATCCGAACTGCGGACTGCCTGCCCGGTTCTCCTATGGCCAATTTTGCTGCTGGCGTCATCAGCAATCGCCAATGGCAGAAATCATGCCTGTTCGGCAAGGGCCTCCCTCGAAGGGAAGTGTCACTTGATTTACACTGCACCTGTTGGAGATGGAAATCTCTTGTGGCCGATGCCCTCATGCTGAAGCGTATCATCGAGGATTCACGCACAAGGCAATTCTGATTCTTTTATGTGTCGCTTTGATGCAAGAGGAACTCGGGAGAGTTGTTGATGCCGGACGCCAGCCATCATCATTGAGGAAAGATGCAAAAGATTATTCATGTTTCTCACTTCTTCGGTGGAAGCCTGATTACCGTTTCTTGTACCGATACAGATATTGCGTACTACACTCGGAGAGAGCCCTACCATCTCGACGAGTATCATCCTCGATCAGCCGCCCAATATCTAATAACTTCAGCATACCGAATTGTGGACAGAGTGTGGCAACTACAGACTTCTGTCAACCTACCACCCGGTCATCGTGGACAAGTATCTTGTTTATGATAATGCGATGGTACCTGGCAGCAACATCAAGGCAAATGTTCCAAAAAATCCTGAAGCTGACAGCCTCTGGAGGATCTTCCTAAATGAAGCTATACCTCCCCAGTTCACACTCAGAGCTGAGCTTCGACATCTAAGCAACTGACAAACGCGACGTTGAATGAAACGATAACCATGGCCGATTGCCACGGCCACTGCAGTGTACGTTGACTTGGTCTTTCGTGGCAGTAGAATGGCTTTCAAGTCAACGCTGCGCTACTTGCGAGGTAATCCCCGGTCCAGCGACTCTTAGGGCGAGGGTCCTGGTAGGCGTCTTGACCTTCTGACAGAGCTCCGCCCGAGATTCGGCCATTCGGTCACGATGGCTTGACGCACGGTGTGCGCATCTGGGTTCCAGCTTTCAGCTTCCCAGCTTTCCAGTGGTGGACTGGAGTTCACGAAGTCAGAGAGATTGCGGTCGCGGTGGTGTTGTGCTCGGTTAGGTGGTTGGGCGATGAGCTTTGTGCTGCGGGACGATGGGAGGTTTACACGAGGACATGTTGACTGGTAATGGTAAGGCTCTATGTAGATGTGACGATGAATAGAGACGATACTGAGATTAAGTTGAAGGGCGGACGGGGCAGACTCCTATATCCTGGCGCGGCGCAACCACTCTGACACTCTGATCCTGTCTACTCGCCCACCTGCATAACTACTAAAAATGCCCTGGACAATGAGACTAGATACCAGGTGGGAAGAGACGGACGGTTTCAGCCACTGTTGGATGTATAGATGGTCGGCTAGACCGCGTTTTATTTCCGAGAGCGAGAGCAGAGGCCTACCCTACCCAATACCGAGCCCTAACTACAGGCCAGGGACGCTACAAGCGCAAAGCCATTCTCCCTTCTTGCTATATGTCCTTGCATTTTACCCCTATGGCGATCATGTTCGTGGACAGAGTAATGTTCGCATACCGCTAGGAATGAGTGTGATGGATGGTAGGCCAGCCATCCATTCAGTACAGCCCCATCCTCATCCCTCACTTAGAACTTCTCCTCTGTATAAAAGGTGCTCATCCGGTACTTGGTCTCTCCCTCATACCTCTCCAGATCAGAGAGCGCCTGTTTCCCCTCCCGTTCAATCGAATTCTTGATCTCCTCGCTCCGCGGCGTAATCCTGCATTCGAAGGGACTAGGACGCATATTGAGGCCGTTGCTGTCAGGGCCCAAGTCAGTCACCACTAACTCCCATCCGGAAAAAGGGTGAAAATACATACGTATAATCGAAAATATCAACCTGGACTTCTTGCCCTTTCTCGTCTAGCGCTTTCTCAAACCGAAACCCCCAGAGCAATCGTGCAATCGTAATGAACGTCCCTTGCTCTGCGAGACCCTGGCCACTACACACTCTTCTCCCCCAGCCGAAGGTCATATACCCCTTCTCAGAGGGGAAGGGTCTAGCGTCAGGACTGTCGGGTAGAAAGCGTGATAGTTTGAACCGGTCCGGTTCGGGAAATTCGCGACTATGGTGGTGGATCGCCCAGATGTTGCCTTGGATCCAGGTATGCGCTGGGATGTGATACCCCTGAAGTAATGTAATGAGTTAGAGGGACGCAGGCGGACGAGGTAAAGCAGGAATAAGGAGTCAAGCGCACCTTATAGATGTCATCCTTGACAGGCGCATGAGGCTGGCCTCCAATAACAGCAACGCTCCTCCACCTCAGGACCTCTTTCACAAATGCCTTGACGTAGGGGAGATCCCTTTCATCCTCGAAGTCTGGACTGCGATGCGGTCCAACAACACGGTCAAGTTCCTCCCACGCAGGCGGCAAGGTTTCCGGGAATGCAACGCACGCGAGCACGAACGTCACGAGCGTCGAGGACGAGGTGTCACTTCCGGCGCCGAAGAGGTTTCCGGCTAGTGAGGAGATCTCGAGTTTGGACAGGTTGTGCTTTGGCGCGTGGGTAAAGAGCGTTGTAGCATAGCATTCTGTGTCAGGCGTTGATTTTGCCGTGGGATTGTCCGCGGCTTCCTGGGCGAGTGCGTAGAAGAAGGGTCTGCCACGGCCGTCGCTTCTGCCCAGTCCCTTTTTATAGGGAGCTATGGCGTTGGGGAATTTGGCAAGCCCTATTCCAGTCAGACAAACACTTCTCAAGCCGGAGAAACCAAGAGCAACAGGTAGACGTACAAGGAAAACTCTCCATCAGCATCGGAAATTCCTTCCCTGGCACATTTAACTCCGCAGCCCTCTGCATCACAGCAATAACTTCTGTTATGATCGGATCGTCTGAGCGGGCGACCCTCCTCCCAAACCCAATGATGGAGACAACGCTCGTCGCATACCGTTCGAAATGCTTGACATAGTCTTTGGGCGTCGATAACAAGTCCCGTGCGATGACTTTGCTCTCGTCATTCTGGAACCCCCGGTATTTGCGGACTTGCTGCAGTCCCACCCCAATATGCGTAAGCTTTCTATGCAATCGCCACCGATCTCCGTAGTACATGTTTACCATGTTGGACTGGCCAGCCCCGAGCTCGGCGAATACGACCATCCGGGGGCGAGAGGAGTATATTGCGGCGCGCTTGTCGAGGATCTCATGGGCTGTCCAAGCGTCGTTGAGCCAGATTGTGGGGCGGCGGCCGGTCCAGAAAGTTATCAATGGACTGCCATATTCCTCTGAGAGATGTTCGAAGTATATCCAGGGTTTATTAGATGGGAGGAGGTGCGTGTTGCCAATGAGAGGGAGGGGAAAAGGGCCGGGAGGCTGAATTGACGTTAGGATTGAAATCATGATTTGGTTAGGAGAGTCAAGAAGGACTTGCCATTCTAGAACGCAGGTATAGCATATACCCATAGTCTACTAAGACGGCTAGGCCGACAAGGAAGAGCAGCGAAGGCAGAGCAGCGGTTAGGGTTTTGTTCCATGCCGGGTGGCTGAGGATGCGCTGGCCTTGGATAAGGGCAGCAAGCTGCTCAAGAGTCTCGACAATCATCTTCAATTCTCTCTGAACACGACTGTCTTCCCAGTGACCGGAGTTTCGTCAATATAAAAGGCTTCCCGCATGCACGCCTCGGCTAAACTGCCACCGAATGGCTGCTAACCCCGAGGGGTATCTCCATAGATAGAGACAATAGGCCGCTCTATACGTCCTCCTGTTCATCGGGGCAGCCCCACATCATGTTTTCTTTGTTCTGCAGTGATAGCGTACTCTCCTTGGGATGAGAGATCACGGCTATGGCGGGTAAATCTGATAGCCCCCGCAGCCCCAGACTCGAAGGATGCGCGGGGGTTGTGGGGGATCGACGCTAATATGGACGTAGCAGGAGCAGCGCATTTGATTGAGTCATGCACCTTGCATTTCACAGCCTTCACTGACAGCTTTGCGAATCAAAGGCTGGTGGGGATACCCTTTCACAGAGCCACCGGCATATTCTCTGATCCCTTGATAGCCGGCGGTGTGGAGATGTCTGAGGTAGAAGTACCTGCACCCTGCCCTACCAACCCCATACTATCTATGAACTATTCGACTCCGTCCAAGGCTCTGTCCTATCGACAGCTCTGAAGCCATCATGGCAGACAACATCAACTCGACAACGTTGTGGCAAAACCGCAAATGCCTCTTCCTATGCTGTCTAGTCTCAATGGCGAACCTGCAGTATGGGCTCGATCTTGCCGCCGTCGGAGCCTTGCAGGCCATGCCCGGTTTTCTCAAGGTCTTTGGGTACCCTGATCCCGCAGCTGAGGGGGGTTACGCTATTGACGTAAGTCGCACGTTCTGACATCTAATCGCACTCCGTTATAGGTGTATCTAAGCAGGGTCAATGCTGATATGCCTGCAGAGCACCGTCCAACAACTGATAACGTCCCTTCTAACCCTCGGCTCATTCGTATCATCCCTTGTGGCTGGTGCATTCTCCTCGTACCTCGGACGCAAACAAGCCTTATGGCTCGCGTGCATCGTAAACGCAGTCGCCTGTGGGATCCAGATCGGAGCACCATCCGCAGGCGTACTCTATGTCGGCCGTCTTTTGCTGGGGTTTGCAAACGGGTTCCTGGTAACATTCTCCAACATCTATACAGCCGAAGCGTCGCCGGCTCATATGCGCGGCGTTATGGTGGCCCTGTTCGCATACTGGGTCAACATAGGAAGTATCATCGGTGCAGCTGTTGACAACAAGACCAAAGAGAGGATAGACAAGCTCTCGTACAGAATCCCGCTCGCCTGTCTGTATATTGTTCCCGCGTTCCTGTTTGTGGCGTTGTTCTTTGTGCCGGAGAGTCCGAGGTGGTTGCTTGTGAGAGGGAGGGAAACGGACGCAAGGAAGGCGCTTGAACAGCTGCGAGGGAAGAGTTATGCTGCGCTGCGAGCCGAGTCCTCATCAACGTCCGAGAACAAAAATAACAGTGAAATAGCCCCGACATTCCTGGAGATGGAATGGGCCGAGATGGTCCAAGGTGTCGAAGAAGAGAAACGGGAGCGGGGCAGTGTCGCGGCACTGGACATGTTCCAAGGTGCCTCTTTCCCTTTTCGTCTCTTGCTTCCGGTAGGGTCCTCTGCTGACCTTCACTTGCCAGGAGTCGATCTCCGCCGCACCCTCCTCTGCTACAGCATGATAGCCTGCCAAACCGCCTCAGGCGTGTGGTTCCTAATCGGTTATCAGACATATTTCTTCACTGTAACCGGTATTACAAAGCCATTTGAGTACTCAATAATGAATACCTGGTTTGGCTTCCTGGGCTGCAACATTGGCATCTATGCAATCCGGTCACTGGTCGGCCGGCGCGCAATCCTCATTATCGGCGCAGTAGGCTGCGGACTCTGCCAGCTGGCCAGCGCGATTGCGGGATCAATCGATCCCAATTCACTATCAACGGGACGAGTTCTTGTCGCCTTTACGGCCCTATTCATGTTCTTCTATAATGGCTGCGTCGGGGCCGCGAGTTACCCTGTTGCAACGGAGCTGGTGAGCTCGAGACTCCGCGCTTGGACGGTTGGCACAGCGACAAGTTTGGGTTATCTGCTGGCTTGGTTGACGAACTTTTGCACGCCATATTTCATTAATCCAGAGCATCTGGACTGGGTAAGCCGTCCTCGCCTTTGCTTTGCTAAGGCGTCGGTAGTTTCAGCTAACGTCGGTATAGGGCGCCAAGTATGGCTATATCTGGGCTGGATCGAATCTCGCCAGCGTGATCTTTTTCTACTTCTCCATTCCGGAGATGAAAGGCCGCTCATTGGAGGAGTTAGACGAAATCTTTGCAGCGAGGGTGCCAGCGAGGAAGTTCAGAGGGTACCAGTGTCTCATCACAGAGACAGCAAGGATAAAGGCTGTCAATACGGAGGCGAAGGGGTTGAGTAGAGAGCCAGATTGGGTAAAAAAGGAAAGTGTGGTGCATGTGGAATAGCTCTTGGCCTTGCTCGATTTGATGTTGTATATCCGTCAGGATAATAGCTCTAGAGACCCCTTGACGGCGGATTTCGATCACCTAACAGAAAATCAAGCCTTCTAGACTAGAGACGCGGACCAAACTGCAAGCTCCGGTACGGGCAACTTCTCAGTGTCAGCCTCGGACACCGGACTCTCACTCCTCACCCGCAATCCCGGTTTCTGACCCAAGGACAAGTACATGCTAAGAAAGTAACTCCCTCCCTCTTTCAAATACGTCTCGCCCTGCGGCTCCCCCGCCAGAACGAGCCTTTCCAGTCCACAAAACTCCTCCGAGTACCAGAGCGGATGACCCTCAGGGTCAGTCCCGTAGTCGGTATTCCATTTAGAACCTGGACCATCCCAAGGGCCTGCTGCTGTATCGCCACCATGCTGTCTATGGTAGGCATGAAAGTTGAACCCGTTGCAAATGGCGCTGGGGACGTGCAGGACATTTTCGAGCACAATTGTTCTGGTCAGCGCCCCTCTCCTCGGAATAGACCGCACCTGCAGCTTGACAGTGCCGATACCCGCGACGTAGGTTGAGCCACCGAAAATATCGCAGGGTACTTCCCTGCCGATTCGGCGGTACGTCGAGAAAGAAGAGCGGTTCTTCGCGTAGTGGCATGTGCCACTGACGAGCATCCAGTCGTAGCAGCGGCGACGGGGTGCAGGGTTTGGGCGTGGGCTCTCTTGGCCGCGCTGCGTTTTCTCTTGTTCGCGTTGCAATTTCTCTTGCTGGCGTTGTTTCTTCAGCGCTTTCATTTGCTTTGAGAATTCGCCGATTTCGCCCATGTTGTTGGTTGGTTTGGTATAGTGTTAATGGCGATGTAAGGGGAGATTTTTGCGCGTTTTGGTCACTCGTTCGAAGTCCGGTTATAGGGTAGAGCAGATTCCGACGAGCGTTGAATGTGAACGCAAAAGACGCAGGATTGGTTTTTGGAGGAGGTCGGGGTGACTATAAATTTAATGGATGTATGTTGCCGCCTGGTGGAGAACGCAGTCTTTTTTCTGGCCACTCGGACCCTTCATCGAACTACGGGTTGAATGAAAATGTCATAGGGTTTGATGATTGATCATGATTCATGAAAGAACTAGGATGATCCCTGATGGGATTTAACTATTAATACTAAGCAATCAAACGGCCATAGAAAGCACTAGTAACTCTGATTCCTAGCCATGGCGGGGTCGACAAACAGAGGGACCTTGCACCTCCGAAGGCCTTCTGGCTATCGACACCTTCCCGGGCCAGTTGCCCTCCGATTTTCGCTTTTGGAGGTACATAGATGATAGGTATGTTGTTGTATGAGTTCTCATATTTGAGTTCTCGTATCAATCCACATGTCGCGCAATGCTTCACTATTCCGGTGAAGGAATTCGGCTTTGCAATGTTTCGAGAAGCTCGGAATGTCTATATAAACCCCTAGTTAGCTCTAGCTTTTGAAGAACATCTCGCTCCTTCCTCATTCTACTCCCTAGCATTCGATCGACATCATTCCTGGTCAGTACGGTATTTGAAGAGCCACATATGCAGTGACACAAAGAGTCAGACAACCGGCCGGAGTGATGTAGGTAGAGGCTCCAGAGTCCAGACGTCTATCACTATCATCTCTTTGGTAAGATACCAAACCAAGTGGATCATTCTTTGATGGCCAACATACTTAGTTCTAGTTCCTCAATCCATCATTCACAGTCGTAGTAACGTACGATACGGCATTGACCGCGTCTAGCAACCTTGGAAGTTGCGAGCTAGTACAATCTCGCGTCGGCTGGACAGAAATCTGTCAAGCCATACAGATGGAAGATATCGGAATCGGGCCCTTGACTTAGCGAATGATCGAACCCTGGGTTTGTGCCATAATAGTCTCAATCTCCAGTTTGGTATCGTACAAAAGCAACCTTTTGAGCTGCGGTTGTTAAGTATTCACGCTTTCCCTTGGGTCAATGTGGCGTATAATCGTTAGGTATGTAGACTCGAACGTAGAAGGAGACCTTGCAGCATATTATTCTAAGACAATTGCTTGAACACTGAAACACCAGTCAGCTTGACACTTTGAAGGTGGAGGCCATCTATTTCTCACTTCACTCCCTCTTACTTGTCGTAGCGGATTCCTCCTCCGGCGCATGCATTGCAGCAATACGCTACTCATCGCTGAAATAATGTTCCAACGGGTACAATTGGCCCCATCGCGTAGATGACCTTTTTCTGCACTGACGACCCTTCGGATCCATCCCAATTCTCATCCTCCGACACATCCGCATTGCCGTACTGCTCGTTGCGTTTTCGAGTCTCCACCTCTTGGATGATATCATCGAGCGGCAAGTGCATACTAACTGAGAAAGATCCTCCCTCAGGCAGGTACGATTCGCCCTGCGGATTCCCCGCTAGGACCAACCGGAACATCCCACGAAACTTCCTCGAGCACCAAAGAGGGTCGCCATTCTGGTCAAATCCACAGTCCATGAATCCTCCACCGGGCCTTCCAGTCTTCTTCAGGTACGTGGGGTAGTTGAAGCCGTTGCAGAGAGCATCTGGGATATGCAAGACATTGTCCAGTCTAACCTCATGAGATGGCGCGTTCTTTTCCAGACTCGATCGAAGTTTTAAGAACACAGTTCCGATTCCTGCGACGTACGTACCTGGCCCTGACGGGTCGGCTTCGTTGTAGTATCGTTTGCCGACTCTCTCATATGTTCTGAAGGACGAGCGGTTCTTGGCGTAGTGGCAGGTTCCCATGACGATGATCCAATCATGAGAGCGGCGGGGTGGAGGTGGATTCTCCTCTCTTTGCCGCTTTTTGCGCTCTCTCATGTCCCTGCAAAATTCACCGTAGTCGCTCACCATGATGGTCAAGTCTTGGTCTATGAATCGGTTTAGCCCTGGTCTCTTTGTTTGAGTTTTGGTCCGCTAACTATGGCGGTGGGAGAGCAACTGGAGCTGTGTGCCAATCTGAGTAGGTGAATGGGATTGAGACCAGAATTCAAGCGCTATAGACAAATGGAAGGTGTTGCAGGTTGCAAGTTCAATTGGAGTGGAGACAACCTTAAATCCGTTACCTAGGTACCAGGATGAGTAAGCACCTATTTAACTCGTCCAGTCCGAGGAGTTACACCTCAACAACTACGACCTGTTCGTGAAGACACTGTTTTCTCATCCGAGATGCTTGAATGAAGTCACAGGAAGACGGAGTATGCTGGAAGCAATTGAGGGACCTCAAGGGAGCCAGCCACCTTTGACGGGCGCCCCAGCCACATCGTCGAAGATCTCATATCCATGGACCACCTCTTTGTTTGTCATGCTGTTACCTCAGCCTTCAACACTCGATTTCAGGAAATCACAGATGGAGGTCATTTTCGACGGCTGCTCATGGTTTGAAAGGCTAGACGAAAGTTGGGCGGAATGGATAAGCCTTATAAAGCCACGCATCATCTCAATACTGGCTGAATCAACCAAGTTCATGGAGAAAGCATTCATTAACCATCTAATGGCTTAGCACAGATACAACATACCAAAGAACCAGGTCTCCATGTTTATACGAGACCGTGCATATAGCACACCCCTGTCTCTCTCAGGAAGCCCCTTGTGCCCACCAGACCCTTTCGAGCCTGATGCAGATAGCGATGTTGTCCTAGGCCATGGCCGCCGCTGAAAATGTTCACTCTTTCTCATAATACTCATACTCTTGACCACTATATGGCGAGGGCAGAGCCAGAATGTCGGCACGCATACAATCCTCCTCGGGAAATTCATTACTTCGACTTTGTACTCGAAGACGGGCGCTCGGGTCCGCGGGCGTTAAACGTCAGACACCCAAAGCAACAAGCAGCCGATATCAGATGATGAGAATAATATTACCCCTTCAACGGCATTTACGCTCTAGCTGAGCCCTCGCCCACACCATGGCTGTCTCCGATCTGATTTCACGAACTAGCGAGACATTCTACACGGCCATCTAGTTTCCTTCAGAAGTGCTATCGACATGGTTCTGTCAGCAATGGTCAAGGTGACCTCGGAAGGGGCCTTGAACTTGCTATTGCGCATCCGCCAAAAAGAGAAGCCTACAATCCGAGCATAGACCCAGAGAAATTTATCGAGAATCAACCTACAATGGTCCCTCACACAGAGGCAGAGCAAGATGATAGCTCTCCACCATGTTTCTGTCAAAAAGTGATCGTGTAACAGCCCCCGCCTCGAACACACCTTTCTCATGTGCGGACCCCGAACCTCAATCCCAGTTGCCCAACCTTCACCTTTAGTTTGTTGATTGGGTGGAAGTCACTAGCATCATCCCTGCTCTCACCCCTGTCCTTGGCTGATGGATGCAGTGAAGCCCTTGAGAGGGCTGTTTGCTCTTTTTTCTTATTAAGGTTGTTCCCGCCCTACAGGTGCCCATTCTACATTCCCGTGTCCACCTTTCTCTACCAGCACCTCACTCCTCTCTTGCGAGCGAACGACCTTTGCAAACATGGAGGATTCAGTCGTCGATGCTAGCCGGGCACAGTATCCCCTACTCTTGCTCGCGCACTATCCCATACTTATTTCCGCTATATTTGCCATCTATAGCGCCTGGCTTGTTATTTATCGCCTCTACCTCCATCCGCTCGCTCGATTTCCCGGGCCCAGGCTGGCTGCTGCTACTGGATGGTACGAGTTCTATTATGATGCCCTCAAGGGAGGCACATATATCCATGAGATTGAGAGGATGCATATAAAATACGGTACAGTATAACGTCTGACCTGCATTGTCTGTCTAACCTCACTTCCTCAGGTCCCATTGTCCGCATCAACCCGCACGAGCTTGTGGTTAATGACCCAGACTTCTACAACACCGTTTATGTTGCCGCCAGCACGCGCCGCACAGATAAGTGGAGTGCTATAGATGGCCTTGGAACCGAGGGCAAGGCGACCATGTCCCGCCTCTGCCGTCCTCTGTGACGGCTATGGTACCGTTTAGCTAACAGAGGCACACCTAGGCGCGTTGGGCAGCACACACGGCCATGATCTACACCGTCACCGCCGCAAGCGCGTGGATTCTTTCTTCTCCCGCCTTGGTATTAGCCGGATTGAACCGTTAATCGTCGAGGAAGCCAGACTTCTCTCCCAGCGACTTGAACTACTCAGGAACTCTGGCACCATTGTTTCCTTCCAGCACGTCATGGCTGCGTATTCTGGGGATGTTATAACAAGGCTCTGCTCCGAGAGATCGCCCGATATGATCAGAAAACCAGAATTTGGCAGAGACTGGTGGGTTCACCCTATTGAAAGATGGGCTCAACGTAGCATAGCGGCTGCTTGCTTATTCTATATAAATCTCACCATAGGATCCTCGCGTTCCACGCTATGAAACGACACGTACATGTTATGCTGCAGTTTCCTCTACTTTTCACGTGGGTCGAACATCTAAAATCAATCCATCCATCCTCTGACCAAGCTGCCGCTACTAAAACACATCTAGAATCCTCCAGTTGGTACCAACTGCCATCGTGGAACGCTTATTTCCAACCAGTGCGGCAATTGAGGGTTTACGCCAGGCACGTACTGCAATGAAGTTACCTGCCTTCATTTATTTGCGCTTGCACTTGACGCTTACTCACTAACGCTGCGCTTTTTCCGTGTTTAGCACTCAACCAACCACATTAATAGCGCAAAGATGGAGATGCTGAGCGCAGCCCAAGTCGAGAAAAATATACTAAATAGCTCCCTGTTTCGCCATCTCCTGGCTAGTGAGATGCCGGACTCGGAACGTAAAACTGAGCGCCTTGCTAATCACGCCCTGGAGCTCTTTACCGCGGGTACGGTCACGCTGACGGACTTTTTCACTGTAACGCTCTACCATGTTCTTTGCGATAGGTCTCTCGCAGACCGTCTCTCCGCTGAGCTTGCAGATATTATGGCTGGCTATCCAGCCAGCCTTCCCACGTGGCAGGATCTCGAGCGATTGCCGTTTTTGCATGCCACAGTTAAGGAGGGTCTGAGGTAAGTATCTTTCTATCCTCTCTTCAGCTCCTTGCCTTGCACAGATTCAGTGGTGGCCCACTCACTTGTTATGGCTAAATCACCTTATCCCAACTCCTACTCACCATATCACCTAGGTTAAGCTACGGCCTCACGCACCCCCTCCCGCGCATTTCTCCAGACTCCGACCTCCACTTCAACCAGTGGACAATCCCCGCCGGCATCCCAGTCGGCATGTCAGCATACAGCCTCCACCGAGACGCGACAACGTACCCAGATCCGCTCGAATTCCAGCCCGACCGATGGCTCGCGGCCGGGCCTGCGAGCACGAAGATGCATCGAAACTGGGTACCTTTCAGTCGGGGATCGAGGAACTGCTTGGGCATGAAGTGCGTCTCTTTCTCTTATTAACTCATGCGTACATCACATCCCTAGGACAGGGCCCAAGTCTAGTCCAGTCTAGTCTATGGTACCGTACAGCACCTACTAACGGACACGGACTTTACTGTACCATTGTCTTGTCTTGGCAGCTAGGTATGCTATGCTAACGCAGGCTCCACAACCCTGCTTATAGTCTCGCGTACGCAGAAATGTACTGGGCGCTGGCTGTGCTGTTTCGTCCGGGTGCGCCGAGGCTCGAGCTCTTCGAGACGGACGCTTCAGATGTCACTATGGTACTGGACTTTGTTCTCCCGAGTCCTAAGCTGGAGAGTAGGGGGTTGCGGGTTACGGTGTCTTAGGGGAGCCGTCGTGACACTGGGACATGGACGCAGACACCGCTGTTGATTTTGATCCTCTTATCTCGTTCGCGGGCTTCTTTCAATTCAACTATTCTATCTGATTTAGCTAGTTAACCCGCTAGGCCTGTCTAATAAGGCAATATGAACTTGTAGTGATGGATTCATAGTGCTTTCAGTAGGACCAATACTGTGCAGAGTACATAATAGATGACTAGTACTCCGTCGTTCCTTCCGGCCAAGTTGGCCATTCTCACCAGTCACCAGTCACGAGTCTCACGACTCATCAGCCACTCGATTACTGTACAAGGCTGTAGGCATGTCCGCCAAAGGGAAGATGATCGAGATACACGAGAAGTTGAAAGCAAAATCCATGGAAGTCTTCAGACAAAAGCAGGGGCCACTTGTGACTGAACAGACCCTGAATCTCATTGAGGAAACCTTCACCGAAATTGCTCCTCAAAAACCATCAACTGAAGATCTCCCTCAGTTGCCAGCGTCCAAGGTAACTGAAAAGGATTTGAAAGCCATCTTCGGTCTAGAATTCGTCGACAGACCCTTCTTTAAGCTCCGACAAGAAGACCTGATAGAGGTGCCTCCCGAGCTGGGTAAGCTATCTTGCTCTCATTTCCATAGCACTGCTAATTACTCATTAGAGAAAAGGATACGCCGTTGGGGAAGGCTCTTAGATCAGGGTTTCGACACTGGGTCGGAGTGCCGCCTACTAATCAACGAATTCCTCGGGAATGCTCTCGAACTGGAAAGAGATATCCTCGAAGAAGAGAGCCCAGAGGCATCCTACCTCCCGCGAATGCGGCTTGAGACGCTTCTCAGTTTTCCGATAATACACCAAGGCACTCGGAAGTTACTTGTTGGTAACGCTGACTACACGGTCAACTATACCAGTGACACAATGGCCACAAGCCTGGTAATACTTCCAGAAGCCAAACACCACTCTACCAGAAGTTGCGGCAGGACCCAATGTCTTACCTATATGGGTAAGTTATTTTTACAGCTCTAGATTGCGTTGCTATATTCTCCTGCTAACTGTCTACAAGCAATGGTGCATGAGATCCGCAAAGCACAGGGTTATGTCAACACTGTGGTCTATGGGATTGTCTCCGATGGTTCCAGCTTCGAGTTTCTCAGAATCGATAACGACACCAAAGTATTATTTTCAAGCTGATTTTGGTGTTGTTGTCCTTGAGTCATAAAGCTGATACTGCCTTCTCCTTCTAGTGGTCTGAATGGGCTCCACCGACGAGGTGGACGGAATCAACAAAAAAGAGAATATACACTGTCCTTCGGTTAGTGGTACGGAATGCCCTACGGACTTCACCCCAGGTCTCTGCACAACCAGTCCTAGGATTAAGTCCAGGTCAACACCCAGCGGCCGAACCCCTCAACTATCACCTCCGTACACCAAGCCTTGAAGATAGATACGACTTCGAGGATGATTTTGGCATGGACACGGATCAATAGAGACTTTGCCCGGTCAGAAATGGGAGGGAGGACAGGAAACTTGATTGAATTCCTTGGCCAGCCTCGGTGTTCTCTGTTCTTTTTCCCTACACATCGGCACGGCCTTGTCACGGCTTATTCTTGGGTAACATTGACGCTATCCATCTCTTCCGGTTGTTCTTCAGGTACTTGCTCGCGGCACATTTACTACGTCTAATACTTGTTACGTCAAGAAAGTCACTCGAGGCTGTTACAGAATGCCGGTGAAAGGAGCGTAGGATGCCACATGGCCCACCAGGCGACAGTCCACGAGGCTTTGTGCACCAGCCAGAAGGGCCAGGTTATTGCTTGTCGGTGTATAAGGACTGGCGTACTGCTGATTCCCTGTAGAGCGTCTAGCGGACATGCTAGCATGCTGATGCATTGGCTAGTTCAATTCATATATTCCATGTACTATGGGCACATCTGCTATGTGGCCAACACTATGGCATCGTAGATACAATGCAGACCCAATTGGCCTCGATCATTCATTTACTGTACAAGGACATCACAATCCATCACACAACCCATCACGAATCAACAACCAAATTCCTCCTCGGCACCGTCCCATTCACAAGAAACGCATCAATAACCGCACTCGCCTCCCCACCAAGACTATAACTCGTATGCCCACTTCCATCCCTCGTCACCAACACCCCAGACGGAATCTGCTCGAGCAGACTATTCGCCCAGACATAGCTGGTCTCGGGGTCATGGTACGCATTGACCATGAGGATGGGCGGGGCTTTCGCCATGCTCGTCTGGTTCAGGCGGTGCGGCGGGTTCGACAGCGGCGCGGGCCAGCCGATGCACGAGACCTGGTACCGGTAGGACTGCGTGGCGCCTTGGGTGTGTGGCGCTAGGTAAGTGGCGAGTTGCGACTTGTAGAGGAGGTCTGAGAGGTAGGTCGAGTCATGGCGCCAGTCCAGGCAGCCGATTGCGATGTCCGGGTAGGAGGGGTCGTCGGAGGATGTGGCGAGGCTCGAGGAGAGGCCCGTTGCGTCGCCGGCGATCGTCTCGTTGAGGTATTGCGCTAGGGTTGCCCAGTTGGAGGTGGGGCGCTTGGATTGGGATTCCTTGAAGACGAGGTACGGCTGGGTGTTGAGGCGGATGTCTTCGCCAGTCACTGGGGTGCGGCAGCTTGTGGTGTTTATACAGCCGGACGCTTCGATGGGGGTTTCGTCTGCTGCTGCAACGAGGTCGTCGAAGATCTGGGGCAGGTTCTGGTCTTTGAATGGGCATTCGTCGGATGTGGTTGTGTTGCACCAGGCGAAGAATTGGTTCAGCGTGTCTTCGTAGGTTGAGACTTCGGTTCTGAGGACGTCTGTCTCACCCTGTGAGTGGTCTAGGTTTCCGTCTAAGACCATGCGGCCGACGTGCTCTGGGTATAGCTCGGCGTAGGCGCCGCCGAGCTGTGTTCCGTATGAGAGACCGATCCAGTTGAGTTTTTCCTCGCGGAGAGCGATGCGGACGGCCTCGATGTCCTTTGCAGCCTGGGTGGTGTCGAGATGGTAGAAGAGCTCTCCGGTCATGTTGCGGCAGCTCTCGCCCAGGGCTCGGTTCTTTGCAACCAGGTCGTGGAATTCTTCGTTGGTGGTTGGGAACAGTGTTACTTGGTCGTTGTACAGGTCCGGATCACACTTGACGCGCGTACTCAACCCGATCCCTCGTGGGTCAAGGCCAATGACGTCGTAGTAGTCGACAGTGCCTTTCGTGTACGAAGGAACACCGATAGCCTGGCCCAGAGCTGATGTCGAGCCCGGTCCTCCCGGTCCTCCAGGGTTGTAGATTATACTGCCCAGGCGCTTCCCAGGCAAAGCAGCCCTGTACCGGGCCATGCCCAGGGTGATCTTCTCTCCATGCGGCCTGTCCCAGTCCAGCGGCACCTGGAGTTCGCCGCAGTCGAGATGCGATGCGTTTCCGAGCTGGCTGAGGTACCCGCCTACGCTGGGGAGACTGGCCAGGGCAGGGAAGTTGTCGACGGTACAGTTCTTCCAGGAGATGCAAGCCGCACTGGCAACGGAAAGAAGAGACAACAGTAACAAGGGAAGCATTTTTGATGTTTGGCCGAGCATGTTGGAGGATGAGGGGGAAGTGAGAGCGCTCTTAAGAGGACGATCCGGCTGCCGATCACAACACTCGCTAAAATCTGACTGCACCATGACGAAACGGCGGACACAGCTGGGCTTGGACAAGCTGCTCAGCCCAGCGAGCTAAGTCTAGCTAAGGCGCAAGGCTGAATCCGATAGATTGACGATACTGTGCAGTGTATTCCGTACGGACTAGGCATCACCACGAGAAATGAGCCTCGTCAGACGACTCCAAATCCTCAGCCCCAGCCATACATAAATGTCATTGGCAGTCCACTCCGCTATAATCAATTCCTTTATCTAGTGTATCCATCGAAAATGATAGCGGCTGAACCAGGCTACAGAATATCAATCTCACCAACCACGACGCACCCCGGCAGCCCGGCAGCCTCAGCACGAATAAGCCACAAGCACTCCAGAATAAAGCCCTTATTGATTATTGAATCCTTTAGCTCTGGATCAAGATCCAGCGATACAATCCGGGTCGACCATGGGACCGTGGTCCTTTGTGCACCAGCCTTGTCCTTGCCATTCTGGTAAGTGGCTTGGTACTGCCTCATACAGACAAGACAGCCCATGGGTCGCTCATCCACAGACTACAATGTCTTACCCAGGCTAAATGCGCGGTCTCCGTCTCTCCATGTCTATGGCGAGGAGACCTCTACGGAGAATTGAGTACAGACTGAGTAAGGATTCAGTGAGAGCCAGCTGTGCAACGGGCGGACTATCCACCAGGTCCATGGCCCCCGTCGAAATACGGCATACATCAAGCAAATATCCCAAAAGCATCGATATTGTTCTAATCTAACCCTTCTATCCAAAATAACTCTCTCTACCCCGCCGCATACGTACTCTTCTTCCTAAGCAGCGCCCCAAACTTCCACAAGAAAATCGGCGCCGGAATGCCCAATCCCAAACTAATGAACCCCAACAGACTATTCCCCCACCCGTAATGCAGCGCATCATACATATACGGGGCGAACAGCGGGAACGCGAACCCACAAATGGATCGCAGAAACGCACTTGCTGCCAGCGCGCTCGCCGCGAACCGCGTATAGCTGTCGATCATGTACGTCTGGGCACATTGGAATGTTACGATCGTGCCCATGCCGAAGAGGGCTGCGCCAATGTTCGGCGCGATCCAGTGGGTCTTGTATTGGCCTGTCCAGCCGTAGATGAAGAGGCCGGCGGGCGTGAGGAAGGCGGGGACGCAGAGGAGGGGGATGCGGAATTCGGGTTTGCCGACGCCGCTATTCTTGCTCTTTAAGTGCCGGTAGATACGATCGTTAAGCGGAGCGCAGATTTGCGAGCCGAGCCAGAAGCCGATGCCTAGGGAGATGTAGTTTAGGCCGCCGATTCCGATGGACTCGTTGTAGTAGTCTGCGCCGGTCCAGAGGGTTGGGAAGGTTGAGAGGACCAGGTACATGACGCCGTAGGTGTAGGCGAGGTAGCCGGCGACGGCTTGAACGATGGGTTGAGTAAGGAGAAGGCGGAATGGACGGATGAGGGCTGAGCGGATGGTTTCGCCGAGAGTCTTGTTCTGGCGCTCGACTTCGGTTTGGTAGGAGGAATCGCCCGTCTCCTTACGCAGCTTCTTTGCGCGGGTTCGAAGGATCATTGGGGCGTAGGTTTCTTTCAGGAAGAAGAGGCCTGCTATTTGGATGATGCCGTCGGCGATGGTGGTTGCGTAGAACACCCAGCGCCAGGTCGTGTTTTCGGCGATGAACCCGCCGGCTATAGGGCCGACTGCTGGGCCAAGGAGGGGAGCGAGACTGTAGATGGCAACACTCTTGCCTCGTTCTTCGGGTTTGAAGCAGTCTGATAGCACGCCACCGCCAATCTGCGACAGTCAGAATCAACATTGGTATAAAGGTCAGAGAAGACATACCGCCAACGGAGCACTCCCGCCCAACCCAGCAAAGAACCGAAAGACAATCATCTGCGCCTTGGTCTGCGCAACACCACACGCAATATTAAACACCAGGTAAAACAAGTTGGCCAGCTGCAGAACAATCACACGCCCATAAATCTCTGACAGGGGACCGAGGAAGAGCGGCCCAAAAGCGTACGCCAGCACAAAGATAGACAGCGTAAGCTGGGACTCAATCGCATCCGTAATGCCCAGATCCTTCGCAAGAGTCGTCAGGGCCGGCGCAACCATGGACGACGAAACCGGCGAGATAAACGTAAAGCACGAGACCGTCACCACAATCGCCCACTTCTTCTTCATGGGCCAATTTTTGGGGTTCTCGGGGTCGTCTGGGCCGTTCCACGTTACCTGCGACCAGCATTAGTACACCCATCCAAATAGATACATAACGAGGTGCAAATGCGACAACTTACAAGCTTAGAATCAGAACCCTGCTCCGAACGCTGTGTCCTCGACTTCTCCATCTCAGCCGTCGGACTTTGCCGATTTGCCTCCAGATCTCGATCCCGTTCTGTGACAATCCCATTGTCAACCTCGAGCTCTGGCACATCCTTCTCATTCCCATCTGTCGAGCCATCATGGTCGTCCTCGCCATGGTACACAGAGTGGTCATCAAGATGCACGCCAGAGTAAATGCGACTGATATCTGCAGGTCGTGAACCCGATCTCGTCGTGCGCAGTGTACTAGCCGTAGACCCCTGTCTCCGTCGAGGCCGCGAATCTAAAGAGCCCGAGTCCGAGTCTGAACTCGACAGAGAGGGTTCATATCTGGCTTCGACCTCGCGCTGCGCATGCACATGTTCATGTTCGTGCTCATGGCGGTCTGCGTCTGCCATCTCGGAAAAAAATCCCGGGCCTTTTCTCGGTCAAAAAACAAGCAACCCGGATATCGATTCGTAGAGCGGGGGCCCGGTCCAGGTCTTATATGATAACAGGGTATGATGTAAATCCAGTCTCCCCGTAAAAACTAGAACGAGCCCGGTGATAGAAGCACCTTAACACCGGGGGGAGGGTCTGCACCATGGTGGCGATTGGCCATGGCGAAAGCTTGACAAGCGAAGGGCCCATATTTCACGCCTTTCTCCACGTCTGGACACTCTGGAACCGGCGATAAGCCGTCAAGAGGGAAAATTTTTGCTGGCGGGAGAAGCCGTCGCAAGGAACGAACTCGGGTGCCTTGGGCAGGGCTCCATCTGAAGTGTATCAACTGCAGTCTCATTGGTTGTGTCGAGGAAAAATGTCGGATCTCGGCACGATAACTTCGTCGATAAGAACGGTCCTGCTTATCGATAAGCTCTTATCGCAGAATAATGCAGGGATCTATCTGTCGGCACAGATGTCCTCCGTATACTTGAGCATAACTTTACCAGCTCGACCATGAACACCACTTGCGTGCCGATATCCGGTCTATTATTGTTCAATGGTATCTTGAACACGGAGTTAAGAGTTTTATGCCTGATGTTTGCCCAAGTAAAACAGTATCGTTGCATTTGTTACAGAATCGAGTCATCCAGCGCAGCACGCGACAACAGGACCAGGGCCGAGGCGTTGACTACAGATCCAGATCTCAGATCTCAGATCTGTATATTTAGTCAAGGAACCCAGCAAGTCAAATTAATCCATACTCCCGTTCCCACCAAGCACAGAAAAAAACGAAACCATGCTCATATCAAAACAGAAAGGAGACGGCCCAAGGTCGACATTACGCAGTCGGCCACAGTAATCAACCCCAAATAGATATTGGCAATCACTAAGACGCATAAAAGACGGCCGTAGATGGATCAGGATACGTATGAAAACAGGCCGAAGAATCAATTTTACCCCCATAAAACAACCAAACCAGTGCTCGCTCGAAACGGGAAGAAAGTCGAATATTGAAGCAAGCGCACTCGTGCGTTGAAAGTAGCCTAGTTGACGCGGAATGAATCGAGAATTACTATAGATGGTTAGCATACTCGAGTCTCGTCGAGACGCCGAAAATGGTAACTGACTTTCTTGACCCCTACGGCAGCCGCTGGCAACCCACATCAGTGTGTTGAGGAAGGTATAGCGGTCATCGCCAGTCTCCATAGATAGGTTAACGCGGTACTTGTACGAATTGGCGTTGATGCCGTCCGCCAGCTGCGGGTTGTTGAGCTTATCCAGCACATCTTTCGCGCCTGTTAACCATCCATTGGTCTTGACGACAATGAACGCGGGGGGGTCGTCGGCGGTCTGGAGGAGGAAGTTCGCTCGAAGACTCGTAGACTCCTTGGCCATGACCTGGCAATCTTGTCCGCCGGGCTACTGCGGTTAGCAAGGACACTACAAAGCGGTTGCCGGCAGACGTACCACAACCACTCCCTTACCCCATCGCCCAGCCCACTGACCACCGACAAACGTAACCCAGTCCCGGGTGCCCCAGATACCAGGGCCGACTCCAACCTTGGGGTTGACCTTCAGGCTCAGACGGAAATCGAGCTCGAGTGTGGGCGCAGGGAGCTGCAGGGACCGAGCAACTTCGCCTTCGGGGAATGTGTGGAGGAGGTTGTTCGCGGGGATCGAGTCTTTCATGACGCTGAGGTAGGTCGGGCATTCTAGCAGATGCTGGCGCTGTCGACTAGTATTCTTCGCGCGAACCTGCTGGCAGTAGATGCACTGCACGGAGAGACACTGTTCCTCGTCAGGACCGGGTTCGCTTTCTTCTGCGTTGAACGGGCCCAATAAGCCAAGCGCGCTTACCTTATCTTCCTCTTTCGCGCGGAACTCAACAAACGCAGCGTGAACATCGTCGAGAGGCGGGGCAGGGAGGCTTGACGTCGAGGCTTTCGGCTTCGCTTTAGGCGTCGCGCGAGGAGGCTGCGGAGGCGCGCCGGTTGAAGGGCCAGCGACGGGGCCGGTAGCCGGCAGGGAGGGACGTCCAGCGAGGTTCTGCATCGGCGTCTGCATGGGAGTCGCATGGGGACCGACGCCATTGGGCATCATGCCGGCACCGGGGGTCGAAAGCCCAGCGTGGCCCGGCGCGGGGCCCGGCGCAGTCGCGGCTGCAGCGTTAGGATTTGGAGGGTATCCATTAGTAGCGGTGATGCCATTGGGAGCGGCCTGGGTAGGCTGGGTCTGAGGTTGAGCCTGGGCGCCGCGAAGGCCAGGGCATTCGAGCAGATGCTGCTTCTGGCGCGAGGTGTTCTTTGCGCGGATCTGCTGGCAGTAGATGCACTGGACCGAGAGACACTGGATGACGATGACGTCCTGTCAGTTTGCTGAAAGCGAGCGAGCGGTTTCGCTGGTATATTACGGGGAGGGAAATACAGCAGTCACGCACCTTATCGTCTTCCTTGGCGCGGAACTCGACAAACGCCGCGTGAACTTCCTGGTCGACGGTCCGACCCATGTCCACGACGAGGGGGGTGAAAGGATCGATGGTGAAGGAATTGCAGCGTGCGCCGGGCTTGATTACAAGATGAAAACGCGCGTGAAAGTGGCAGAGGAGATGGAAGTCGAGGGCGCTGGGCAGGAGGCAGACACGCTGGAACGAGGAAAGAAAGGGAAAGACGGAACGGAGACGAGACGAAGACGAGACGGGCACAAAACAGTCTAGTGGCGGTTAACTTACGCGAGTCTTACCCGCCCACACTCGGTCCTCAGCCAAGGCCCAACTCTATACTATCACCCAGGATATATCCTCGATTCTGGGCTTGAGAGTGGTTTGTCTCTTCGCTATTGAAAATAAAACTGGTGTTCTCGTTGTCCTCGTTGTCGGTTGACCAAACCAGCAGGTAAGCAGCATCGGCGTCCTGACTCGACCCTCTCACCGTGGGCGTCCCTCCATTCGCTGCTATTCTAGGACACGCCAATAGAAGGCATCCAGGGGTAAGGAGGGGTGCAACTGCCTATTCACTTATATCAGTTGCTCCAGGATGATGCTAGATATAAGCTCACTTCTATAGATGCTCTTCGCTTCAGATCATATAGTTCTTCGAGAGGTAATACCCTACCATACCCGTATGTGTACGCGTACGGGGTACGAACCCGGCGCATTTACGCTCTGAATTTACCGAGCAACGGTCGTGGTATTTCGATCGGACATCGTCCCATCGTGTACACGTCTGTAGTCTCTGTACACTTATCCTGCTCCTTAATCGATTCTACCCCGTATAGAGTAGGTCTGTACTCTTTTACTCCAAGATATGTGGAGTAAACGTTGACTCTGATCGTGAGACCTGCGAACGCCATGCCAATTATTGGCACAGCCACAGCCACAGTCAAGAACGCGAGAATTCCCGCTGAGCAATCCCGTGCCAGTGGTCAAGAGGAGGGGTAAGAGCTACAATAATAGGCGATAGTAGTCATCATATAGATCCCTGAATGATTGCGGGGACAGATATATTTGAGGATAATATTATGGTTCTTGCGCATAGCGATGAAGTATATCTGGTAATTTCGCCGGCGTTATTCAACACCATACATACTGTACATACCTGAGTTACCAGTTGTATCTAAACCAAAAACAAAACTAGTGTCGTGGAACAGAGCCCGAAATATATATCGGATACCATTTCATATTCATAACGAATCTGCTAGTGTACTTTATGATATATGCTTAGGCTGGTTCATATACCACGAGCTAAATGTATGAGTGAACTTTGCGACTCTGACAGTTGATGCGAAAGCCCGAATAAGTGGGAGAAAATATGGCAGTAACATGCATTTGCCGAAGACCGATTCGAAAAGATAAAGCATATATCGCGAGTACCCAGTATGCCGTATAAATGACTGGGACCATGAAGCAGGGAAAAAAAAGTCAGGTCATGTAACAATGCATAATGCCAACCTACACCTCGACTAGACGCACGAAGATCTCCCCATACTCATAACGGACGCCTTCGTCCACACTGCTTTGATCTTGGTACGCATCCTGGCGCACTCTGAGAAAGCCCTTGGTAGCAAGCGCAAGGATATGCATGAGGCCTTGGGTAGCGACCGCGGCGGTGGTCTTTTGAGGAGGTAAGAGGGTCGAGAAGGTGATTTCGGCGTTGTCGGAGGCATTTGCAGTTGACTCCTCCGCTGGCTTCTGCGAGTCTATCTTCGTGGCTAGGAAATCCAGGAAGTTGAGACCCTCCTGGTCCATGACTGACTCGGTGAGGCTGTTCTGCAGCTGCTGACTTCTTTGCGATGGGCGCACGGGTTCTGCGGTAGAGTTGCTATCACCAGCGGCATTGTCGTCAAGATAATTGGTTAGGTCAAACCCCTCCAGCTTGTCGAGGTCGTCATCGAGGTTACCGGGAATTGACAGATTGTCCAAGTCGTATGGAAACCCGCGTCCAGCAAGAGGGCTTGCGCTGGTTAAGCGGTTGCGCCGTCCGATACCCGAGGGACCGGCGCTCGCAGCTCTGCCAAAGGAGGCAACTGATTCAGCGATGCCGCGAGATGAAAAGTCACTCACACTTCCTAAGCCCCCGAATATGTTGGCTGCGGGTGCGCCGTGGCGGGAGCTTTGCACAGAGGCGGTTATGTTCCAGGGCATCTGCGAGGAATTGTCATCGTGGAGATCCGGTGACTGGTGTCGGCCAAGTTCAACATCCTGGAGAAGTTAGAGTTTGTACTGGGAGGAGATTAGCAGGCGATACATACCTCGTTCCAGAGGTCAATTTCATCCACCAGGTCAATCCTACCCTGCTCATCGTCCTCTCTTGCGCGGACTCGCCGTTCCTCAGCCTCTGGGTCATCTTCTAGAGGGCGTTTGCGGACGAGCTCATATAAGTTCTCTCCGGAGAAGAAATGCAGCGGGTGCATAACTTGGGTAGACCCAACACCAGCTCCAACGGAGCCGATTCCTAGACCAAATACCCAGTACTCGGCGTTCTTTTTCGCCTGCGTTGATACCTTGTTCTGGCGTTTGTGCTTACTGGCGACGGCCATGTTATGCAAGTATTCATCGTTCATGGCAGCTAGTTCAGCATTGCGCAGCGCCGTCTGTCCGTCTGAAGCAAGGAGCTTAGGAGCCCTCTGCCTCTGTGGCGCCCTCACCTCGGTTGGCTCTGTTTCCGCAGCTTCACGCGGAGCATCGTCGCCCACGTCAGAGAATATGACTGGGCGAGCCGGCCGAGCTGGTTCATTAGTTATTGCCATCTCGATGTCTTCGTCGACGAGTAGAGGCTGTACAGTCAGTAGGCTCTGATGCAAGAGTCAGCCGTGAGCTTACCTGGTCGTCAAATGCGAACTCATTGGCTCCGTTCTCTCTAGCCTCGCTGACAGGCCTGGCTCTCACTTCACTCTCGTTTCTCATCCCTAGCTCGACTATATTGCCGTCCTCGTCGAATTCGAAGTCCGGTTGGAGAAGCACACCTGCCTCGTCGAGGGACGAAGCAATCATTCCTCCCAAATCAACACCACCTTGTACAGAGCTGGCAGGGCCCGCTTCAGAGCTGAATCCACCCAGGTCTCTCAGAATATTCTCGTCGGAAGGAAGATTCAAGCCCAAGATCGAGCTGCTAGACAGAGCCGATTGACTAAGGTTTGGAGTCTGGGGCATCAAAACGCTAGATTGCTGACTTGCATCAATCTCGAGCAGTCTATTCAATTTCGACAGATCTAGACCGAGCCCTGGGAGGTTGTTCTCGGGTAAGAAGGAGGGATCATATGGCAGGACGAGTTGATCGGGTCTGCCGTTCCTATTAGTGAACATTCCCAAAGGTTTGGAGGAGACAAACCTGGCCTTTCCAGCAGACGGATCCAATCCTCCAGCAGGAACTGATCTAAGCATCTGCCTCATCTTATCATGCATTGCTTGGACATCTAGCAAAGTATATCCGCACTGCTGACTGTACACCCTTGAGACCCCGTACCTAAAAAAAAGGACTGATTAGCGTGCAGAACTTTTGGAAGACCAAGAAGACCTACAAAAGATTGCTCTGTAGTCTGAGCGCCATCGGAGCCACTGGATCGATGATGACGTTGCAAGCCTTGGGAACATCCACATTTTGTATGGTCTGCCGATTCAGTCTCCTGGAGATGGATCTTGCGCCCAGCGTTGCAACCAACCTATGCGGACAGCCTCATAAGTCCGAAGGTTTCATGGATATGGCGGTGATTCGAGAACGGGAGCGAAGGACAGCGACGTACCAAACCGTGGCCACTCCATGCTCAGGAGAGGTAAGTACTAAACGAAGGAAAAACGGTTAGCATGATCCTGCTGACGGTGTTTTAAGACCAGAATAGACGCACTTTCGTGACTGTAAAACATCTCGACTGTTTCAGCACTCAGTCACGCATCTGGAATTGGTCTTTCGACTTCACATGAGCGAGAGTTAGCCATCAAATCGATAAGAAGCACAAGAGATTCTACAGAGCGACTAGCGCAATATATTGGGTCCATCACTTACCAGGTCCGAATCATTCCAGGCCTACACAGGCTCCCGAAAACGCAGGCCAACGGCAGCGGAGGGCTATCGGGGTATGCACCGAGCCCTGCCCGAAGAATAAGGAGAGTGTCTGGAATCAAAGGACGCTGAAAATTGTCGGAGTCTGCGGAAACTAGTTTCAAGGAGTCACAGGGAGAAGAAAGAAAAGAGAAGAGAGAAGAGCAAAAGAATTGGAAGCTAGACGCAGCCTTGTAGGAGAATGAGCGCATTTCCAAATCTGCTCGGGACAGGACATCGGGACGCGCCTCGCGACTACCAGTTTTGGACCAGAAGAAGCCTAGACTCATCGTTCCCCATTATCATCAGTGACGATTATTTTATCCAATGGACCAAGACCATAACACAGCGCATCCAAGCCCTGCTTTTCATGGCTATGGCGGGAGTAATGACAGCCGTCAAGAAAATAACAAGGGCCCAAGACGACGGACATGAAAAATAGAGACGGTTTTCTTTATACTTAAGGCGAAATGGAGAACGTTTTTCAAGCAGAAGGAAACCATAGACTTTTCACTCCCTTCTACAAAGGAATGAAGCTAGCTATAAGTCAGTACAAATAGCTGTAGAAATGCACAGTTTGACGAGGATACCGGAAACCAACAGGCCAAATTAAGGCATGAACGGAGAAAGAATGAGTATGATGGATACGAGACGTGACCTATGGACCTCATACAATAAGAGCCAGGAGAAAGAAAAGAACCTTACCAGCAACCCATCTTAACCCACAGTAGATACGATGCAGACAGGGTATGAATGAAAAACAGAGACAGAGACTAGGAAGAGATACACAAGATGGAAACCAGGTTCGAATTATTTCACATACATACCCTACCAACCAAGGAGGTAGATCAAATTGATTTTTATACGACACAGGGTAGATTTATAACAAGCAAGCAGCGCTAAATGTCTATTCAAGAGGAATACCCTCGTACTCGCTGTATCCGAGGGCGAGGTTCATGTTTTCTATAAGCACGTTAGTATTGCACTACACTAGGACAAGGGAAGCGGAAACTTACGCAGGCACTGGGTGGCAGCACCCTTGAGAAGGTTGTCAATGGTGGCGCAAACAACGACGCGGTTCTCCTTAGAGTGAACGGCGAAGCCACCGACTTCAACGCCGTGTCGGCCTGCAATGTTCTTGACGACTGGGGGCTCGCCAATGATCTTGACAAGCTTCTCACCAGCGTAGCGGTCCTGGTAGATGTTGCGAATGTCGCGAGAGGACATGGCCTCCTTGAGAGGAATGTTAATGGTGAGGTGGATACCCTGGAACCAAACAGCGACGTGAGGAGAGAAGGCGATGGGAGTACCGAGCTGAGCGCTGATCTCACGCTCGTGGATGTGGTCGGTCAAAGAGTAAGGGATGATGTTGTTGGTGAGGTTCTGGACGTCGTTCTTGGGGCTGGGCTTGGTACCAGCGCCAGAGTAACCGGACACACCGAAAACGGTGGGCTGGCCACCGAGATGAGGAACAATAGGAGCAATGGCGAGCTGGGTACCGGTGGCGTAGCAGCCAGGGTTGGCAATGCGAGTGGCCTGGGCGATCTTGGAGCGGCTGACCAGCTCGGGAAGGCCGTAGGTCCACTTCTCGTCGAAGCGGTAGTCGGCGCTGAGGTCGATGATGACGTTTCCATCCTGGGCACCCTGGTCGACGGCGTCGACGAAAGGCTTGCAGACACCGTTGGGAAGGGCCATAACCCAGCAGTCGACGTCACCGTTGGATGACATGCGCTTGACATCCTCGGGGCTCAGGTTCTCGTAAATGACCTCGCGCTTGTCGTAGCCCTGCAGTTTCTTGCCAGCCAGCTCGCGAGAAGAAACATGGCGCAGGTCCATGTGAGGGTGGGCGTTGATAAGGTTGATCAGAGCCTGTCCAGTGTAGCCACGGGCACCAATGAGAGCAACCTTGGAGGGCTTGGGGTTTGAGTTGTTCTTCTCACCGAGGGGAGGGTTAGGGTTGGTGGTGGCGTAGGTGCGGATGGTCTGGACGGGGGCCGAAGGGCGTCCGAAGCGGGCAGCGCGGAGAGCGTTGCTGGTGGTGGAGAAGGTACGCTTCTGTCCAGCAGCAGCGCCCAGGGGCTTACCAATGTTGGCAGCCGCGTGGGCAGCGCGTTGAAGTCGGGACTCGAGGTTGATGTCACCGAACATCTGACGGCCGTGCTGAGAGAATTCCTGAACCAAAAGCTTCACTTCATCGCCGCTCTCAACGCCGTACCAGAAAAGAACCTCGCCATCTCGGCTCAGACTACCATCAGCCTTGTCAAAGAACCAGGTGAGGTTCTCGTCATCCTCCTTGACAGTCCAGACAAGCTTGGGGTGGTCCTTCTTGATGGCAGCAAAGACATTGTCAGCCACATTGGTCAGCCACCCAGACTTGGTGATGGTGAATGTAGCAAGGTGAGACGCGGAGGAAACGGCATCCTTGGTCTGGGGCAGAACAACGGCGAGGGCCTCCATGGGCTCGTCGTAGTAAGCCTTGAACTCACGCTCCTTCAGACCCTCGACGTAACGGTCGACGGTCGCGCGAGCGTCAAGACCTTCCCGGTCACGAACAAGAACCTCCTTGAGCTGGGCCAAGTCTTCAAACTCGGAAAGAGAAGTCTTGGTGTGGACCTTGTTACCCCGTCGGATAAGAGTTCCAGCACCGGAGTCAGTGAAGAGCTCCTTTTGCAGGTCGGCAGGGTGGATGATAGCAACGCTAGAGGTACGAGGAAGATCGCTGAGCAGCTCCTTCATCTCCTTAATCTTCAGACGAGTGCCGTGACGCACCCACCACTGTGTCATGAGGTGGTCGTATTCCTCATCGAGGTTGATGCTGGAGATCTTCTCACCAGTATCACCGTTAAACAGACCGCCCTTCTCGGCGAGGTAGACGATCTTGAGGGGCTGAAGGGAGCGCGCCAGCTCACCAGCAGCGACATCGGCGTTGACGTTGAGCACCTGTCCATCGGGGGTCTCGGCCATGGAAGTCAGGATGGGAAGGCAGCCGGCCTCAATGGCAGACTCAATAGGCTTCTTGTTAACGCCGTTGATCTTACCGACAAGGTTATACTTCTCCTTGTCAAGGTAGTCGGCCTGGAAGACACCAGCAGTAAGAGGACGAGCGCGCACACCCATGCGCTCCAGCTCCTCAACCAGCTTCAGGTTCTCCTCCAGGAAGAGCTTGCGGGCCAGAGCCAATGTCTTGCCGTCTGTAACTCGGATACCATCCTCGAACTGGGGCTCGACACCGGCATCCTCGAGCATGCGGTTCAGCTGGGGGCCGGCGCCGTGGACGACGATAGGGTACAGACCGACATGGTTAAGGAAGGCGAGGGCGGACGAGAGGGTCTCGAGGTGTTCTGTGATGATTGCACCGCCGACCTTGATGACCGCGAACTGCTGGGAGGAGACCGAGGTAAAGTGCGAAAGGTACTGCTGGACCTCGCGCTTCGAGCCGATGTTGCTCAGCAGCTGGACGACGGTGGTCCGGGTAGAGGAAAGCTGAGAATCGGAGGCGCGGGAGTACTGACGGCTCTGCAGCAACGGCACCGCAGAAGCCTTCAGCGCAGCGCGGGCTGTGGGAGAGGAAAGTCTGGCAGAGGCGTGCGGTGCGGAGAGCGCGCGGAGGGGCTTAGTGGTGGAAGCTCTCCGCACAGCGGTGCGAAGGGAGAACATCCTGCCAACCAGCATGCGGCAGCTTCTTCAGGCTAGTTGGACAGAAGGTCTGGAGAGCGAGAGAGAAGGGTCAGAGAGGAAGCAGATCGGGTATAAGAATGCGAACGGAAGAGGAGTCACAAGTCAAGGACAATGAGGGAAAAAAGGTTGTGCGGAGTCTGCGGGCTCGGCCGTAGTGAGTCTAGGGACGATTAGGACGAATTTGCCGCCGCCTCCTAACAAAAGACATGGAACCACCCCCAGGCACCGCTCGCCTTGCAGCGCGAATTTCCTTTCCTTTTTTTCTCGCCCTCCGGTGTCGTAATTGCGCAGAACAAAAAATTGGGACAAAGATCCAATTGGGGGCTCATCACTTACTCCAGGTCTTACCCAAGGTTCTCTTGGCCTGAGTACCCAATGCGGCAACGGAATGGAAGAGCGCGAGGCTGAGCTGGGAGCTTGGAGCTGAGGGATTTACACGAAGCTCGAGCTCGAGCGATCAGCGATGCCTTATACCTGGACTACCGTAGGCACGTATGAGACACTTAACAACCCAACGGTCTTCGTGCAGGAGATCAGAGGAAGAAGAAATTGCACAGTCCGTGGGCAACAAGTGCGAGGATCGGAGGCCGAAATAGACAGACCGCCCGTGACTCAGACCACCAAGCAACCAAGCCTCTGACCACCTTGTTGACCAAGGAATATATCCCATCCGGTGGGTTTCTGCATGCTCATTCCAGCCATTTGGTTATCAGATTAGATCTTGTCCCCTCGACAACCCCCCTCTAACCCCCATACTAGGCCAATCCAGCGAATAGAGGCGAGCCTTCGCTCCCGTGTGGATGGAGCCCAAGAGCCCAGATGCACCTCCCATGCTGCGGGCCCCTTTATTATCTGATCTTTTAGCTAATGCAATCTCTCCTCGTGGGAATTCTTTAGTCAACGTTGGCATCTGTCATGTTTTTTATGGTCCACTGCTTCCATGCATCCCGCGACCTTTCTTCTACCTCCTCGGCTGAGGCTCGGGGGTGCTGATAAGGATTTTTCACTGGGGGTGTGACGAGCGGTCAAGCGGTCAAGCGGTCAAAGCTAGATGGTAAGAGACAGATATGATACGTTCATTATAGAATGCTAGACGAACAACACAGTAGCACATGAGAAGGGAAAGTCGGCAAGAACAGACTCAAAAGCAAAAAACACCAGAGTATCATTTACATCTTCGCCGTCGACGAGTCGTATGGCATAGCCCTCATTCGAAAGAACCAAATCAATTCATCGCGTCCAAGGCCTGCTAAAATAAGGCTTATTCGTGACAACAGCAGGAATTGACGCCCAATAAAAAGCACAGAGGTATTAGAGGCTGAAAACAAAGCTGCAACGGTTTCCGCATAGATCCCGGGTCGGGTTGAATAACATGACCGTCATTGACTGCTCGTAGCTTAGCGCGTAGTTGTGACAACTGGAAGCGATATAGCCGTTAGCACTTTCAACCTTGCAGCATTCCAGTAGCGCGGAACTCCGGGTGGGTCTTACCAGCAGGGACGATGATCACTACGAGCAGGAGGATGATGCAAATAATCAAGCACACACGCATCTTCATGTCCTTCCACCACATCTGCTTCCGCACGCGGTTGGCGCCTCTGCGGAACCCTTGGGCTGACACCGCCAGGTTGTCGGTCTTGTCCTGCAGCGAATCTAGCCGCTCACCACGCTCGGAGACCTTGAAGATATTCGACCGCATGGTATCGACGGTTTCTTGAATTTTCTATCGCAGAAGGAGAATTAGCAATTGTTGCTGCGATAGAAAGCGGGGATGTGACGAGCGTAAGCAGAGCAACACAGCAACATCTAATACCCCAAGCATCGCCGAATTGTTGGCACATGTGGCTCGAAAACAAAGACATGTCGATCCATGTGCCTGGAGACGACGTATACCAATGCAACTCCTCCAAGAAAAATGCTTAGGGATCAAAGTCAAAGACTCACCCGGTCGATTTCCCGTGTCCGGTTGTCGCCATTTTGCGCAGTGCTGCCGCTGGCAGCGTTGTTCGAGCCAGAAGGAATGTAAGGATCGTACGGTTGCTCAGACATGATGCTGTATGCGAAGAGTTCGAAATGGAACGAGAATGCTAAGTCGTAGCGCGGGAAGGATCACAAGACCACGTCGTCGCAAATTATCGGGATCAAAAGTCCGCTGGCGGGCTGGGCGTAACAGGGAGAAAGCGTCGCGGAAGGTTAGAGAGGGCGAGACGGGAAGAGATATTCAGAGAACGTAAGTCACGGATCGTGGAGTGAGGTGCGTATGGCGATAAGATGTGAGTGGAAAACAGATGGGAATAATGGGAGGCTGACGAGGAGAGGATGGCTTGGTGGTTGCTGGAGATGACAGGCGGTTCCAATCGTTTCGGGCGATTCGTCGTCGGGGTGGCAACACGTGACGCTTGGGCCACGGCCACAGCGCAGTTATTCTTGGGATAGGCAGCGATCAATAATTCTTCTTGCTGAGCCAATCACAGCTGGCTTTACAAATAGGACAAAGGATGCATTGTCAATAGACGGTTCTAGAGCTGATGACAGCTTTACTGAAGTGACCAGCTTGTGGAAAGGGGCGGGGTCTCAGGCGCCCTGTTCATTGTTTGAATCCGAGTCCAGCCGTGTTACATCTTTCGAACATCCATGCCCCAGCTGCTTGCCAGGTGTTACGGTTACGGAACCTTGTAATGTGAACCGTCCAGTCATAGCCAGGTGGAATATACCGTACAACCTTGTCAGTTGTTCACCCAATAATTGTACCTGGCATTAGGCGCCGTACCTTTAATGGTTCATCGACATGTACTCTACGAACAATATGACGAGTCAAAAGCTTGCATTTTGGTTGTAGATCCTGCAACAGATAGATTGGCTGGACCCTTGAAGGCCATCACCGTTATTTCCCCCCGATATTATCGTGGGGCTTAGTAGACGCTATTTACCTTTGATTCTATATATATGGCTCACTTAAGGGGGAGGGGGTAGTTTCAGTTACCCTTTCGAAAAGCCTGGGAAGAAGAGTGAGAGCAAAAAGGATAATAATCCCATGACAAAATCCAAGAGCTATTGCAGAATTGTTTCACCAATCGCGTAAATAGTCTTGCAGCCTGGGAGATTGTCATGAGTTAGTTTCAGTGACGAGTTGATGATGCCCGTGCACGGTTACAGGGGAAGAGGCTAGGTTGAATAAGATGCGGCGATACCGGGGATACTCACAGAGCCGGACAGTCGGATAGTGCTTGGATGGATCAGTTATCGTGAGAATGCCGGGGTTTTCTAGGTAAGAGCAGCCAGAGACCAGCAATAGTGGCAAGGAGGGCCAACGCGAAAGGCTGCAGGCTTGAGACACCATGTGGCTGTGCAATAGCACCGGCGACGAACGGTAGTCTAACAAAACAAATAAGTCAGTGGCCTCGGGGGGATGCGCATGAGCCTGGTTTGAAAGAAGAGCTTACATAGCACCACCACTACCCCCGAAAGCAGAGACGAGGCCGATACTCGGCGTGTGTAGGTGCTTCGGAAGCAACTTAGCAGCGACCGTGACCGCGGCGGGGAAGAGAGGTCCTGTAAAGAATCCCATTAAGGACACTGCGACGGCAGAAACAATGAAGTGTGGGACGAGCCAGAACACAAGTTCGAGGGCGATAGCTAAAGCCAAGTATATGATCACGGCAAGTCGCTCGCCAATAGCCTCATTCGCAAACCCAAGTACAATTCGGCCGACTGTGATGCCAGCCCAAAACCCTGTAGGAACAAGACCAGACGCTACGGCGCCACCGTCGCGAACCTGCATCATGAACTCGACAATCCAGCCCCCGATCGATACTATAAATATCTGATCAGCACTAGTGCTTTGGCTCAACTGATTGCACTATATATACCTTCAACTCCCATATAAGCAAATAGGAAGAATGCTAGAATCCAGGTGACACGGTTCTTGACGGCTTCAGTCGTTCGAGAGTCCCCTGTCGAGCCCGACATTTTAGGGTTATTGATCCTAAATCGCTCGCCATTCTCAGGCCAGAACAGAGGCCCACAGGTAATGAGCTCCAGGGCAGATCCGCCAACCAAAGTGAAGTAGAACGTAGACCACTTCAGGCCATGGTCGACCATCGCCGTTGCGATAGCTGGACTCACAGTCGCGCTGGTTGCATATGTATATCAGCGACTTGACAACCACTCAGGCATGACGACACATACCCTAGTCCGTAACATGCATGCATGAGCCCCATAAGTGTACTGGCGCTAACCATGTCCCCAACCCATGCGTTCCAACCTGCGTCGATAAGCCCATTACCAAGCCCGACGAAGGCATAAGCAACCAGCAGAACCGGGAAGCGTGGATAGGACGCCATGACGACGAAAGGAATTAAGTGACATAGCGGCGCAATGATCGCAATTCCGCGCTGGCCCCAGGTCATATGGATTTTGTTCACTGCGATAGAAGCCAACGTATAACCAGCAAACGGGGTCACGAAGATCAGAGACACCACAGTGGTGGACAGATTGAAGTCCTCGCGTATCTAAAGAGACAATTAATCAATATGAACTCCCAAAGTCCTTGAAAAGGACCGTAATCTGAGGCAAAACGCTGGGCATCCGTACGTATGGAACCAAAGCCTACAGCAACGTCAGTGGACCACGTCAACAGGCAAATTCATTTTTGTATAATCTGGAACTCACACCGTATACACCATCACTAGCGCCCACAACTGCAAAACTGGCAAAAGCTGCTGCTATACGCCATTTATTGATGGAAGGCTCGTTCCACTTCTGCTTGACCCGAGCAACATGGACGTCCGGATCGGGTCCATACGCCTGCTCAGGCTCTTCTGGCGAATTCCGCCGTTCTTCGCGAGCGGGCAGCTCCAAGGTCACCGTTGTCGACATACTTGCGGTGGACTGGCGAGCGGGGGTGAAGGGAATTGATCGATTTATAAAGCCCTCGAGCCATTGTTTGTGGCATGACGTAGGGAATCATGTTGGAGACGCGGGGAAACTTCGGGCCAAAGATGATGCGGGGTCTGCCAACATATCCTTCGACTGCGCCCATTCATAAATGAATTGAATATGTTGGCATCGGTGCTCAGACGTATTTAATATAAACAAGTGATGATAAGTGTGTGGTCAGGTGAGGTTTGGATCTAAGCTGTACAACCTCAACCTTAACAGCCCGATCCTATAGATGGTCAGCGCTAACGCTGTGAGGGGCCAAGTAAGGAGCGGGTGTTTCAATCGGATCTGCCACTTCATTCGCGAAAGAAGCATTTCGAATCATCCCGGAACGTCGGTTAGGCACAGACAAGTGGCTTCGGGCAGTGACAGCCATGCCCGAACCGGCAGCGCTGGAGCATCCCACGCAGCCATAATTCATGCCCCAGAGTATGATTTCATCGTCGAAATCGACCATAAATCTTAACCAACGCCAGTGTGCTGCCTTTTGGCACAATTGCTTCCCCTGTTCAGACTCTCCAGAGAGCCAGTGACGGGTACACACGTGGCGAGCTCTAGTGCGGTCCTCACACGATCTTTGTCGTTTTTTCGAGTTTCGTCACAAGCGCGGCTGCTGATCCTCCGAGTCCGAGTGTGGGATCAAATCAAGAAGAATCATAGAACGAAGGATAGAACAGAGTTTGGGAGACACACACGCTAGGCAATTTTATTTCTAGCAAGGGGAAGACTGAATTGGCTCAGCCTGTTCTGGACCTCGAATGTCGGCCTGCATGTATTTCGATTTCAATTCCTCCTAGGACGACTCTTTTCTTCCATCGACCGCGAGCGCACACGACGAGCACGAGCCATGGCGTCTGAAGCCGCACCACCCACCCCGAGCAAGATGGAGGTAGCCCTCTTCTTAGCTGCTAGCCAGGGTTACGACACAATTGTCAAGTTATTATTGACCACACCCGGCGTGAACTTGAATTGCACGGATGAAGACAATCGTACGCCTATCGCTTGGGCTGCGGATAAGGGGCATGAGAGTGTGGTCCAACTTTTGCTGGAAACAGGTTCTATCGAGCTCAATTCCCAAGAATCTAAGGAAGGGTTAACCGCAATATGCTCAGCTGCCAAGAAGGGACATACCGGGGTTGTACGTCGCCTGTTAGAGGCTGGTGTGGACGTTAACATTCCTGACTCTAGGGGCCAAACCCCTCTGTCATGGGCGGTGGAGAATGGTCATGAAGCAATAGTGCAGCAGCTCATAGGCCATGGCAGTAACCCGAACACCCCCGATCCGAATGGACAGACACCGTTATGCTGCGCTGTGGCGAAAGGATGCCAAGCGATTGTCAAGCTTCTGCTGACGAACGGTGATTTGGACTGCAATACTCCCCACCCTAATGGACTTACCCCTCTATGCTGGGCCGTGAACGAAGGTCATGAAGAAATCGTGCAGCTGCTTCTCGAGCGCAGTGACGTTAACCCTAACACGCCGGATACCGACGGATACACGCCATTGTCTCGAGCAATTGAGAAGAACTCTCTAGGGATGGTGCAGGCGCTGCTCAAACGCGGCGACGTCGACCCCAACATCCTAAGTCCCGAAGAAGAGACGCCCTTGTCGCGAGCTGTGGATAAAGAGCATGAGGAGATAGTGAAGTTGCTTATTGGTCGCCCTGACCTTGACCCAAACACCGCGGACTCAAGCGGACAAACACCCCTGTTCAGCGCTGTAGAAATGGCCCATCACGTAATGGTTCAAATTATTCTAGCGCATAGTAACATCGACCCAGACATCCCAGACGCCAATGAACAAACGCCACTATCCTGTGCTGTCGAACGAGAGGAGCCTGAGATTGTAAAGATGCTGCTGAGAGCAGGTGCTGACCCAAGTGTTGTTGACAAAAAGGGCAGAATGCCACTTTCACGCGCTGCCGAAAAGGAGAACCCGGAGATGACACGACTGTTGCTTAGGGCCAGAGCGGACCCGGATGCTGCCGATGTGACTGGAAGGACTCCCATTTCTTATGCCATCGAGAGTGGTCACATTGAGATAGTCAGGTTCTTAATCAAGGCCAAAGCCAATCCGGATCTGGCAGACAAGGATGGGAAGCTACCGTTGTCTTTCGCCGTGGAGAAGGGAGACGAGGAGATTGTTCACATGCTGCTGAAAGCCAGAGCCAACCCTGACCTCGCTGATCGCAGCGGAAGGGTGCCGTTATCGCTTGCCGCAGAAAAGGGCAACCATGAGATAGTACAGCTGCTGTTGAAAGCAAAGGCGAAACCCGACGTCAAGGACAAACGAGGACGGACACCACTTTTGTGGGCAGCCGATAAAGGACACACAGACGTGGCATGGTTTCTGCTTGCCACCGAGAAAGTCAACGTCAATTCGGGGGATGAGACTGGCTGCACACCACTGTGGTGGGCAGCTCGGCATGGACATTTGTTGGTTGTGAAATTGCTCATCCGAAATGGGGCGGAGGTCGACATACAACCCGAGATTGAGGAGGGGAGCAGATTTGGGAGTCCCTTGTTCCAAGCTGGTCGAAAGGGCCATCTGGATGTCGTGAAATATCTGTTGAAAAAGGGTGCTGATATCAACGCAACCAATGGCCATCAGGAGATTTCATTGCTGCTAGCACTGCTGAATGATCGAACCAAGCACGCGAGGGATGTCATAGCCTTGATATTGCAGAAAGGAGCGGATGTCAACGCGGCGGATAAGTCTGGACAGACGCCCCTCGACATAGCGACTAAGCAGAACGACCTGGAATTAATGAACGCGCTAATGGATCATGGAGCCGAGATTGACTCCGTTACAGAGGAAGGAGCAACCCCGCTGCACCAAGCGATAATCAACGAGCGCGAAGATATAGCGGAAGTGCTACTCGACCACGGTGCAGACCCCGAGGCGCAAGACTCAAACGGTGATGCCCCCCTTCATTTCGCGGCAGCTAGTGGTCGTCGCAAGATGGTGGAGTTGCTTCTGGACAAGGATGTAGATATCGACATTACCAACTACACCGGGGACACACCTCTCCACAAGGCCGCCAGCAACGGGCATAGAAAAATGGTGGAATTTCTCCTCCAAAAAGGAGCCGACCTTGAGATACGGAACGACTATCGGCAAACGCCGTTGCACAAGGCGGTTGGAGCTAAGCACCATATTCTGAGGCTATTGGTCAACCGAGACGCCGATGTACTTGCCAAAGACATGTATGGCAAGTCAGCGTTGCACCTAGCTGCGGAAGCCGGCTTGAAGGAGGATGTGCACTTTTTGATGGGCCATGGAGCTGCAACGGACGGGAGAGATGGGAATGGACGAACAGCACAGGATCTGGCTCGAGTCGAGGGCCACGACGAGGTCGCAGAGCTGTTTAACAAGATGGCATTGGTTCTCGCGGACCAATCTGGGTCTGATTAACGGTCGGTGGCGTTTGGAATTGCATTGGACATCCTAGACTGTACTATCTATCAGTATGATCACGAATGTAATGAAGAGTTTGCATCCGGAAGTACACAGGAAGCAATCAGCGAGGAAGTGTAAAGTTGAGTTGGAAGTCGAGCGTTGAAATGAGCGGGCTTCAGTGTAGGCAGTAGCTGACGGCCAGTCACCTGGCTTCCTGTCTAAGAGCCAGTCCACAAAAACACATGCTTGATAAAATGAGCTGGGATATTTTACACTAGCTATGAATACGTATAGGATATAATACAACTGTACACTTACCAAGTAAACCATGCCAACGCCGTAGACTCCATGATTCCAACTACATATCTTATGCGAGGCTTGTCGCAGCTTTCTTCTCTCATGTTCGCGTTTGTCCAGCCTGACTTCGAAAGTTGGCCCGAGCAGGAGGTCAGTGGAAAACTCCTATTTCTCACCCATCAATTCCTTTCGCATCTCCTCCCTCTGGATCCTGGCCTGGTCCTTGGCCTGGCTCTGCTGTTCCTGTTGCTCAGCAAGCTTCTTCTCCTCCATCTCCTTCGCCGCAAACCAAACTACATTCGCGCAACGTCAGCCGCACACCGATCCAGCTCATAAAACGGAGACGCACTCGACTTATCCGACTTGGACCACTCCTTCAGTTTGGTAACGTAATCGTCGAACTCTTGCGCGCGTCGGTCACCTTCTCGCAGACTACGCTCTCGGAGCTCCGGATTGTATCGCTTGACGAGTTCTGCGTCTGTGGGGCGGAGTTTCTCGACGAGGGCAGGGCCGCCAACGCAAATGACGATGCCGCTAGATTGATCAACCGCAACGTTAGCTTGCTCTATACGGAGAGGCAATTCAAGCCTTACACGCCGGCCATCTTGAGCCATGTTCCCGCTCGTGACATAATGCTGATCCTTTTGTTTCTCGTGAACGAGTTGAAGTGAGACAATGATGTCAGAGCACGGATGCAAAATTCCGTCCTTTGCTGCGACTCCGGCTTCTGAAGAAAAGATGTATGTGGATAGTCGTACCTTTGAAGCGCTGAGCAGAGATGCGATCATTTGGCTCAGTTTGCCGATCCTGTGGCACTCTGTGGCTTGTACTATGGCGCAGCGCCTAGCTGTGGCTGGTGTATGTGGCCGTGCGGGTCCTTATAGCCAATGAGAGCTCCTTATTACGAAAGTCGCAAAAGCCCCGGACTTGGACCAGGGTTCGGCTTGACCCTTTTCTTGCAATTGTACTCTAAAATAGAATCATGACGATAGGAACTCGCCTCATGCGCTGTGATATACCTACTATGCCGATATTGCCGAGCATAGTCGGCTGCCCCGACATTGCCCGTCTGTACTTCTACGAACGGCAACACCTCGGGCAGTGTCTGATGGAGAAGAATCTGAGACATGATTGTCGGTTGAACTCAACTCGAACTCTTTCCCTATATCCCAACTTGCCAAGCGTCTACCACTCTACCTACGGAGTAACTTATGGCCTGTAACGATCGGACAACACCGCCAAGCGTGCTCCGTACTCCGTAGCAAACAAGAAGGGCCTGTTCCCTCGCTCTGGTTTCCTAGGGCGGAGCGGTCTATTGTGACACTGCAAATCTTGATGCAGCCAATAGCTTGCAGCGGTATCTGTACGTTATTAGAAAAGCGCTACGCTGGTCGACTGAAGAATTGCGCCGTATTCGTGTTTTCCTTGGGAGAGAAGTTAGAACTGAAGAAGACCATTGATTGCCCGGAGGTGGATTTAGTGCCGTACTGCCGTAGGGCCAATCCACAACGGTTGATCAGATAAGGCCAATAAGCGTCAAGCATGATGTCGTTTCCCCTGCGTTTCAAGCGGAAATTGGCCTCGAATCGGACGCTCCCGTGCACCTAATGTAGGTACAAGAGCGACCTATCACCAGCCCTTTTCGTAGGTTGTGCAGCAGATTGCTACACTGTACAGTCCTGTCAGCGCAAATCTGGGACGTCAAACGGGTCGCCTCAAGCCCATGCCTGACACCTGTGGCCCTGTGCTCCAGCATGACTGGGGCTGGTTTCGGTGGTGAAGCTGTGAGTGGAAAAACGGCCTTGGGAGGATCCAATTTCGACCCGCAGAAACACCGTCCCTGGCTCGGGCTGACAGGATGGAGAACGTTGTCCTCCTTGATGGTTCTGATAAGGAATCAGACTGGTTTCGCGTGGGTCAGGGACTCGGAGAACGGATGTTGAAGTTGCAACCGTGAAGAAGAGGAAAGTGGGGAGAAGAAAAGAAGAATCATCGTAATGGAAAAGTAGACTCCTGCGCATAGTTATAGGTAGGAATACGGAGTATAAAGAAGACGGCTGATGATTGTTATCCCTCCTCTCCTCATAATTTCTCCAAGTGGTTCCTGTTGATTAATGCCCGATTTGTCTCACAAACCTCACCTCCTGCAGAAAACTCGTCTTCGCCCTCTTTCATCTCAGCCTCCACGCTCTCTTAGACTAGGAAGTCTTCTTCCTTTCTGTCGCTATCCCTGAAAAATTCTGCTCTTTGTCGCTCCTTCATTCCTCCCGCCAGCATTCTCCGCCCGGGAGCGTGTCATTTGCCTAGGCGTCCCGATTTCAGCGCATCCGGCTTCTCAGTGCTTGATCCGCCCACCCAAGACTGCCCGCTGACCTGTCCTTCCTTCCCCTCTTCACAAGGATCTGGCGCGATCGCGTGCATGATTCTTGTGCGCATGCTGGATCTTGCGCACGTTAGTACTGCCTCTGCCTGTTGTGCCCTTCTTGCTGTCCACTTTGGGCTATATTCCAGCGGGGAATAGCCGCCCGCCTCCGCACTGTCCCTTGTTCCAGAATATTCACTAACACTGTTCTCTATTATGTAGTGAAACGTGTGTTCGGACTTCCTGTTGAATAACCACAGGCGACCAGATCAAGTCGAGCGAGACGGTCGTGTTTGCGGTTCGCCGATTATCCACTCGCTTTCACTTTCGCGCCTTCTCACCTAGATCATGGCCTACCCGCAGCAGAGAGCTCCTCCAGTGAGGAATTATGGTCCTCCTCGAGGAGCCGCCCCTCCGAGAGATCCGTCATTCGATTCCGGTTACCAGGATTATGGTTATGACAACCAATATCCGGGTCCCGGCGCTGGGGGATACAATGATCCCAGATATGGCTATCCCGACCAGGCGGCTCCGAGATCGCAAGGCCCTCCACGAGGTGCACCTCGGCCTTCGCGGGGAGGATATCCGCCGAATGCGCGGGCTCCCCCGAGAGGCTACGATGGCCGAGGAGACAGGCGCCCGCCTCCGCCGCAAGACCGGATGAGACGTGAGTATCCGGAGCGAAAACACCAAGTCGCGCGCTGACATGTTTCTAGCTCCACAGAATGGTCCGATGTCACCGGATAAAATGGGGTTTGACAACACTTTTTCGTCTATGCCTCCTGGGAACAGACGTCCGTCTAGAGGACTAGAAGGAGACATGGCGGCAATGAGCCTGAACGGACCAGCACCGCCGCGCCCCCACACCTCTAATTCGAACAGACGCCCTGCAGATATGCGGCCGCCCAGGCCCGGATCGCCTCCCCGTGGCCGTCCCAATCCATCAGCCTACCCTCCCAGATCGGCCAGCGCAAACCGTCCGCGCATTGAGCCACCTGTCGACCCTCGCGGCCCCCCACCGATGCCGCAAATCAGCCGGAGTGCAACGATGCCTACTCCAGCTGGTGGGCTTTATCCTGGCCAGTCAAGTTATCAAGACCCAAGGGAGAGTACATACGGAGGTCTACTGGACAGCTACTATACCTCGGCTCCCGATGATCCAGATATGCCGAATTTCGATGCCATGCCAAACTTTGACAACAGCAAAGGCCCAATCGACGAAGCTCTACCAGGACTAGAACAGCCTAAGTCGAAGCCCACTTCTCCTGGTGCATCTGGGCCACCGCAGGGGCAGTACAAAGCCTTCAATCCCGCTATGCATACTCCGCCGGATAGTGGCACCCCTACGGGAGCCAACCAATTTGCCAACGCTGGATTCCAGTTCGACCTGCCTGCCGAACCCCATGTTGGTAGCCCGCCTCGCAACGGAATGAATCATTACGATCCATACGAAGAACACCTGCAATCGCAGTACTCACCTCAGTACTCACCACAGCACGCACCAACGGGTCAGCCGATACCAGCCTATAGTCAACCGGAAGCAGTAGATCCTCAGCAGAATCCTGATGCACTTCCACACCACCCTATGCCCTACCGCCCAGGCCACGATTCAGGTGGACCACCACCTCCCGTGCGCCAGTACAACGGCGCGATGAACACTCAACCACAAGCTGCGCCTCCACAAGCCCTTCCCGAGGGCCCGGCACCACCAGAACCAATCACGCATGCTGAACTCGAGCGTCTTCAGCAGCAAGCACGGAGTAATCCTTCGGACCACAAACTTCAACTCACTCTTGCGCAGAAGCTCGTCGAAGCCTCGATAGTCCTGGTGGATGCAAGCAGACTCGACCCGAAATCAAAGGCCAAAGCCCGAGAGAAATACAACATCGACGCTCACAAGATCCTCAAAAAGCTAGTTTCCGCCGGCTACCCTGACGCGCAATTCTACATGGCCGACTGCTATGGACAAGGCCTCTTAGGCCTTCAAAACGACCCGAAGGAAGCGTTCTCTCTTTACCACTCCGCAGCCAAGCACAACCACGCTCAGGCAGCCTACCGCGTCGCAGTGTGCTGTGAGATTGGCCAGGAAGATGGTGGCGGTACGAAACGTGACCCCTTCAAAGCCGTTCAATGGTACAAGCGCGCCGCCTCCCTGGGCGACCCTCCCGCAATGTACAAAATGGGCATGATTCTCCTTAAAGGCCTCTTAGGACAAGCCCGCAACCCGCGCGAGGGTATCTCGTGGCTCAAGCGCGCCGCGGAGCGCGCTGATGAAGAAAACCCACATGCTCTTCACGAACTCGCCCTTCTTTACGCCTCCGCTTCAGAAAACGACATTGTCATCCGCGACGAAGCCTACGCTTCTCAACTCCTCCATCAGGCCTCCGAACTCGGCTACAAGTTCTCCCAATTCCGGCTTGGGCAGGCTTACGAATATGGCCAGTTAGGGTGTCCCGTTGATGCTAGACAGAGCATCATGCTCTACAGCGCCGCCGCATCACAGGGCGAACACCAGTCCGAACTTGCCCTTAGCGGTTGGTACCTTACCGGTGCTGAAGGGATCCTGCAGCAAAGCGACACGGAGGCGTACCTGTGGGCTCGCAAGGCGGCGGCCTCGGGTCTCGCCAAGGCCGAGTATGCTATGGGTTACTTTACTGAGACGGGGATTGGGGTCACGGCGCACCTGGAAGATGCGAAGAGGTGGTACTGGCGTGCTGCTGGTTAGTAAAGCCCATGTTATCATTTAATTTACTATCTACTGACTTACTTCTCCAGCCCAAGGATTCCCCAAAGCCCGCGAGCGTCTCGAGGAACTCAAGTCGGGGGGTGCCCGGATGCAGAAAACTCGGCTCTCTCGATCGGCCGTGAACCAGCAGAAGCCTAATGACGGGGACTGTGTCCTTATGTGATGCCGATGCAATGTGACCTGACCTTACCTGACCTGACGCCAACGCTTTATGTATTACAGCCTCTACATGCCCGTCTTCTTCTTCACTTCTAGGAGGCTTTCTCCCCTTTTGCCCAGTTTCTTTCGTGATACCTCAAGTCTATACCATACTACTTAATACTTACCCCCTACTCTTCCCCACGTTCATCATAATAGCGACTGCGGTTACATTTACATTTTGATACATAGAGCTTATACATTTTATGAGGCATCAGACGATTTGATAACATGTCACAACTGCCCTGGTGCAGTATCTTTACCATCTGCCTAATCTATGTATAATTAGACATCAAAGCTCACTTCTGCTAAAACCTAATCAAGATTCATCCGTTCTTCCTGCAGCGCACAACGCAATCGTTGTTTCCAGCTTTCCCAATGCATGCCGCCAACGTTGTATCAGCGTACGGGCGGCGCCTGGGAGGACATGCTACAGGTGAGACAGGCGTTGTTCAATGCCAGAAACCACCTAACGCAGCATCAATCCCCGTTCATTCTACCTGTTCTACTCCGTACTCCATTCTCCGTAGAAATTGACGATGGCCCACACCATGACTAATCCGCGCGCAATTCCGCGCTCCCCCCTTGTTGTTCCGCCCTTGACAAATGTGAAGCAATTTGCAAAGGGCAAATGGTATGATGACAGGGTCTGCTTACATGAGTGCCGAAATAGAGCTATGCTGAGCCGAACCGTATATCCGAATCGTATATATGGTTCTTGTCGCCTTCCAGGACATCATAAGTTTCTTCATTCGTGTACTCAACCTTGAGGCTGAGCTGAGCTACGTTGAGCTGGGCCGCACGATTATATATATCCGCCATTACCTATATGTCTTCCGCAGCACCTGCGCAGAGGAACACGTCTGAGAGATACAACATATCGACCATATCGCTCATTACAGTCGCAGTTGCAGTTTTGATTGCAGTGGTTTTCGCGCCCGCCAACGTGTTCGGTCTTCGACGCTTCGCGCAGTCGTCTTGGGCGGCTATTGGATCTCGAGGTCGGGCGTTGAGTTCCGCGTCTCCTGCTGTAGCGGCGAGTCAGAGTTCTGCTCTCGAGGGCGACAAGATGAGGACGCCGATTTACTTTCTGAGCCATGGGGGTGTAAGTTTCTAGAGTCGAGTTCAGGCTGGAGAACGGCGCGCTAACAAGGCACCATAGCCGAATATCATGTACGATTACGACCACCCAGCATACAAGGAATTGAGCCGGATAGGCAAGGAGATTACGACCAAGGTTAAGCCGCGCGCGGTTGTGGTGTTCTCGGCGCATTGGCAGGCGGGCGTTGATACGGTGCAGGTGAATACGGCTGAGATGACGGAGTTGATTTATGAGTATGTGCGCCAGCGCTTTTCTTGATGCGCGGTTGGCTGACTGGTCTCTGCAGCTTCTATGGCTTCCCTAGCCACTACTACAAGGAGAAATATCCCAACGTCGGTAGCAGGGAGATTGCGAACAAAGTGCTTGATGCGTTCAAGCAGGCGGGCATCAAGGCCGAGGGTGTCAAGAGGGGCTTGGATCATGGTGTCTGGGCGAGCTTCAAGTGCGGTATGCGCGAAATTCTAGTCGATGCGCGATTCGAGGCTAATAGGCGTGCAGCATTCGATCCGGAGAAGAACCCTCTGAATGTGCCCATTGTCCAGGTGTCTCTGTTCAATACCGAAGATCCCATGCAGCATTACCGGCTCGGTGAAGCTGTGTCGAAGCTCCGCGAGGAAAATATCCTGATTATCGTATCCGGAATGGCCGTCCACAACCTGCGAGATATGCAATTCACATTCGGCAACCCCCGCCCTTTGCCGTATACTGCCAGCTTTGACGAGGCGCTCAAAGACGCGGCCACTAAGCCGCCGGCGGAAAGACCTCAGGCGATGGTAGACCTGCTGAAGCGAGGAGACGCCCGACAAGCGCACCCGTCTTTCGACCACCTTCTTCCGATCCACGTGGGCGCCGGAGCTGCGGGAGACGATCGGGGTAAGAGGCTGTGGACTTTGAAGGAGGGAAGCTTGAGTTGGGCGCAGTATAGATTTGGTGCAGTGAACAATGCGAGTAGCGCGCTGTAGCGATTAGCAGATAGATATAATAGAGCAATTCCCCGACAAGTTGAGTGAAGCCTTCGCAAGTCAACGGTTCATTCGGATATAGATACAATGTTGACAGCCGAAATGCAGTACATGAGATAAAACGACGCGTCAGATTCTATGAGGATGCCTTCACCAGTTGCGTAACCTTTTCTTCGATCTGCTGGTCGGACAGGCCTGGTTCGATTAGCGATGCCCATAGCTTAGATGGAGGGGTATCATACCCTTCAGCGATTCCACCGTCTCCTTGCCAAGTGCTGCATGCGCAAATTTCACGAATTAGTCTTGCGACCCCCAACAATATTCCATTCAAACGTACCGTATCGAGCGTAGACCCGGGGCAGAGTGCCGGCAGCCTCGCGGATGAGGATGGGAGTGTGCGGGTTGTGCTTCTTCATGGTGGGATAGGCGCGATTGATGAACAGCCTGCGGAACGGCCGGTCAATTCGCATTCTCTTCCAAGGATCCAATCGAAGTCAACTCACCTTGTCGCAGCGCTCTGCTCGGAGGTCTGGCACAGAAGGAACCGCAGCTCCTTGAGACCCTTTGTGAAGACGTACTTGGAGGACATTGTGGCGTGTGGCGGGAGGTCGGGTATGACGGAGCAGAGAGAGTCCGAATGAACAGCCGCAATCAATGCCAGTCACCAGCACTGCAATTGAGGAGCTATTATCGTCGAGATGAGGTCGCCGGCGATGTCGTTTTGCAGTGGACCAATCTGGTCAAGCGGGATGGTCACACCGCTTACCTCAGCCGGACGCAAGCAGCGGACCAACGTGACTTGACTCTGGGCCGACGTCGGCTCTGACTGATAAAGAGAAAGACTCGTTGCTACAGCTCAACCTCCTCTCCACTCTTTATACACAATGTCATCGTCTCGCGTTGGTTTTCGCTTCTTTGAGAGCTCCCGCGCGGCCTTCCGCGCCGCGTTTCGCCGGCCTGGTGCCCAGGGACGCCGCTTCCAGAGTTCCGATGCTGCGTCGCAGCAACAGAGCACCTTTCAGCGTATGTGGAACAGCCCTGTTGGTGTCAAGACGGTGCACTTCTGGTATGCTTAGCTTCTCTGGAATTGGATGTTCTAAGTTGGATTTGTACTGATGTTTCTCGTTACAGGGCCCCCGTTATGAAGGTACGATAAACCGCCCGTTTCCCGATCATCCCGAATCGATAAAGCGTGGACTCGATGCGGAACACTCTTTGCAATGCCAATCTTGAAAATGTACAACAAGAATACTGATCAGCGTCTATAACAGTGGGCTCTCGTCATTGCCGGTATCTCCGACTTCCAGCGTCCCGCTGAGAAGCTCTCCCTCACCCAGAACGGCGCCCTCACAGCCACCGGTGCTATCTGGACCCGCTGGTGCTTGATTATCAAACCCAAGAACTACCTGTATGTCGCCTTTCGCCGATACTGAAAGATAACTGCGACTAACCAGACTAGGCTCGCTGCCGTCAACTTCTTCCTCGGATGTGTCGGTGTTGTCCAGGTCACCCGTATCTTCAACTACCGCCGCAGCTTGGACGGCTCCTCACAAGCGGCCGTGAAGGATATGGAGCAGGAGGTTGCTGGTGAGGCCAAGGCTGTTGCCCACGAGGTCTCCAACGCTGTGAAGAAGTCTACTTGAACTGCTATATAGATAGGTAGGATGCGAGACCGCCGAGCGGGCGCATCGACCACAATGAAACCATGCAAACATCGTTGTATATTGAGCGAGTGTTTTGTCCCAACATTGACCCTCATCTACCGGGGCAGCTTCCAGGGCGGGCCATTAATAGTAGAGTCCTCATACTCCGAACAGAGCCGGATACTAACGCCAGGCCATAGGGTTGGCCCCGCCATTTAATATAAAAATGCCAACCACCGGCTACAATTATACTCCCTTTGTATATGAAACGGAGATTCCAGCGACGATCAAGCGTGCTAGCGCACCTTTAGGAATTCTCCGCCACTCGGCGTATTGGAGCTGCAGCTAAACACCAAATTATCCCTCCTATCACAGCACCTCTTCACACCAACCAAGCTGCCACTCCTTCATCGACTTCTTGACACCCAATCCAAGCTTCAGCACAGAGCTTAGTTCCCCACAACTCCCCCTAGCTTCTGGATATACCCCCGGATAAAATGATTACGTCTGAGGGGTTGAGATTGATTTCTCCGCAGGGCTGCCGGTGGGGAGACTTGCAGGGATAAGGACAAGCCCGCAGCAGAGGCAGCAGCAAAACAAAAGAAAGACACAGAAAATTGGTATAAAGCCTGCAGCTTCCCCTTGCTGCATGATGCTGGCTGCACACTCAATTCCCCCTGCAAACTACGAGCTACTTTTCTCTAAGGGTTATCCTTGCCACCTGAGAGAATGAAGCTCTCCCACCTTCTCACCTCGGCCGTGAGTCTTCTCTCCCTAGGCCTCGAAGTCGAGGGCTTCTCACGCTCTCGCAACGACGCCGTTGGCCCAAAGCGCCCCTTCAAACCCCTTCCCCACAGCCATCCGCGCAAGAAAGTCTGCCATGTGCGCAGCCACGGCGACGGCACCGACGATTCGGACTTCATCCTCTCAGCCCTGAACCACTGCAACCACGGCGGCAAGGTCGTGTTCGCGGCAGACAAGGAGTATACCGTTGGCACGGCGCTGGATCTGACGTTCCTGAAGCATATTGATCTTGGTGCGCACCCAATGCCTCCCAATGCATTCCACCTAGCGAGCTATATACTGATACACGTGCAGAAATCCTCGGCCGCATCCAATTCACCAACGACACAGACTACTGGCAAGCGAATTCCTTCAAGCACACGTTCCAGAACGCCACGACCTTCTTCCAGCTCGGCGGCGAGGACGTAAACGTCTACGGGGGCGGCACGCTCGACGGCAACGGACAGATCTGGTACGACCTCTTTGCCGAGGACGCGCTGATCCTGCGCCCTATTCTCTTCGGCGTGATCGGTCTGCATGGTGGTACCATTGGGCCCCTGAAGCTCCGCTACTCCCCGCAGTGGTACCAGCTTGTTGCGAACAGCTCGGATGTCCTCTTCGACGGCATCGATATCTCGGGATATAGTTCCAGCGAGAACGAGGCGAAGAACACGGATGGCTGGGATACGTACCGCTCGAAGAACATCGTTATCCAGAACTCGGTCATTAATAATGGGGATGGTGAGCACACGCGCCCCCCCCCACATTTAACGTTCCTTGCACGGCTGCAATGCTAACGAGCCAGACTGCGTCTCCTTCAAACCAAACAGCACGGACATCCTCGTCCAGAACTTGTACTGCAACGGCTCGCACGGTATCTCCGTTGGTTCGCTCGGCCAGTACCCCGGCGAAGTGGACATCGTGAAGAACGTACTCGTGTACAATATATCCATGTACAATGCTTCCGACATGGCCCGCATCAAGGTCTGGCCGGGCGTTGCCTCCGCCATGTCCGAGGATCTCCAGGGCGGTGGTGGTCTCGGCGCCGTGTCAAACATCACATACGAGGACATGTACATTGAGAATGTCGACTGGGCCATTGAGATCACGCAGTGCTATGGGCAGAAGAATCTGACGCTTTGCAATCAGTACCCGGTAAGCTAAGCATTTGCCGTCATCTGTCATTGGCGTGGTTGGGTTTATGGAGTGGGTTGTGCTAATACGGTTGTTATTGTGTGTGCAGAGTAACCTGACGATCTCGGACATCCACATCAGCAACATGTACGGGACGACTTCGGGCGCGAGGGACCCGAACGTTGGGACGATTGTGTGCTCGAGTCCGGATGTGTGCTCGGATATCTATGTTGATGATATTGATGTTGTGAGTCCGATTGGGACGAACGATTTTGTTTGCACCAATGTAAGTGCTCGACATACCTCGGTGCATTCTAGTGAGACGAATACGTGCTAACGAGCCTAGGTCGATGAGAGTCTCTTGCAGGTTAACTGTACCTCTGGGTAGATTCTTTGAGACAGTCCTGACGACTGGTGGATGCGTTGTATATAGCTATCGTGCTTGGTGTATATGACTAGCTGGAATTGATTGACGTTGGCACTGCAATGCTCATGTTGAAATGTATTAGATGTATACCCGACATACGCTTACTATTCCCCCGAGCCCTAAGCCTAGACAAGCCTGTCTACCCGCTAACCCTTAAACAACTGACCCGAATCCCAAAAATGTTGAAATAAGCCTCCAAATTGATCGAACTTTGCTACCCTGACCGTAGCCCTAACTCAGCGAGCAGAGACAGGAAGGCTACAGCCTTTCCGCAATCCGATGCCGATGCACCCAACTCCTCGCCCTCTTGCCGTACACATACATCGGTACAGTGAGCAACGTAACGCCGATCGTAATGCCACCAATGGTAAAGAACACATCTCTCACGCCCTGGCTATCAATCCAGCCATTCACATAGAACGTAAGTCCAAACGAGAAAAGGTTCTTGACAAAGTTCATCGTCGCGAACGCCTCGCTCGCCTTTTCTCGATGGCAGTCGACCACGTATGTCACGACACCAGTTGTTCCCAGCTGGACTCCTAGGTTGATGAGGCCCAGACACACGATTACGGGGATGGGCCAGGGATCGGTGTTGGCGAGAGATGCGCCCCAGGCGAAGAAGCCTGTTGCCGTGAAGAGGAGGTATGTTACCATGATTGGGAGGCGGAATTCGGGTTCTGGATGGTGTTAGTGGGGTTATTGCGCTGAAGATTAGGATGGAAAAAGTACCGAAGATTCCCTTGTTCATCTTCGACAGCCTGCTGGCGACGCCATCGACTAGGGGCCCTGCAACGACTGTGCCGATAAGAGATGCAACGAAAGAAGAGACGTTTGTAGCGCCGACTGCGCCAACGGAGAAATTGTACGGCGGTGCAGAGAAGATCTGCGAGATTGTGAGGGAGATGAGGACGAGCCAAGAGATGCATGTTGTGAAGAGGATGACGGCCCAGACGACGGCCGGTGAGGCGAGGAGGTAAACGGGGCGAATGAGGGTATTCCAGAAGGAGACGTGGTTGACGTAGCCGTTGTAGGGAAGTAGTTCGCGCATGTAGGGGATGCGTGGTTCGTCGGATGTTGATACCGGGACCGCGATCGTTTCACCTGTGGCTTCGAGGTGCTTGGTGCTTGTTTTGCCTTCGAGTGCACTCTGTGTAACTGTGTGTCAGAGGGCATTAGGGTTACGGTAGTGGGGGTTGCAAGCATACCAGGTCATGGCCAGTATCGATGTCCAGTGCACCTGTTCGTACGTACGCCGTTTCTGGCATCCAGAGGAAGACCATGATAAGAGTTAGGGCAAAAGCACCGCCCATGCCGTTGAGGCATACTTGGTAGTCACTATACTCAATGACGGCCCCAGCTGCCAAGGTTAGCCTGAACAGTCTAGAGTCGATGAAGATACATACCGATCGGAGTCGCAAGGTTGATGCCACCCAGCACACCAAGGTTGAAAATAGCTGTACGCAGACCACGTTCGTGAACAAACCAAACATCTGCTATTGAGGCTGGAACTAAGGCCTCGAACGGCCCCATGCAAAAACCACTGAGGACACGCGCTGCCACTAGCGATGCGAAGCTCTTGGCCGCGGCCCCCCAAAAGCATGCCACCATCATTCCGATTGTTGATATTAAGTAGACCGGACGTTTGCCATACTTCACCGCGACACAATTGAGAACCAGGCTCCCCACAGCAACAGCGGCGATTGTGCCACCCTGCACACCGGACACGAACGTATTAAGAGGGAGACCGAATTCCTTGGCCAGTGGGTCAAATGCCGCTCCTAGGAGAGGCCCGACGGCTGCACAAGAGGACGTTAGCATAAAGTGTGACGTGCAGGTCCAAATGCAATGACCTACCTCCTGTACAACCGCATCCCCAGCCGAAAGTAATGGTGAAGAGCTCCTTTTTCCAGCGCGGCCAGTTGTAGGGGTCATTTGGCGAGTCTGATGGTTGAGGGACGAGCACAATCTCGCCGGTCTTGTCATGTTTAAGGAGTGAAGGATCGATGCCGGTGTAGGCATTGTTGTTGCCGAGCTCGTTTAGGGGCGCAGTGCCCGGCACATTCTCGAGCTTGATATCTTCTAAGATTCCCAGAGGCATTTTGCGTTTGGAACAACAAGAGAACAGGGGAAGGCTCCAACTGGAGAAGATTCAGAATGACAGCTGGGGTGTGGAGGATAAAAGTAAGATCGGCGGGCCAGCTGGGCCAGGTCCTGGGTTGGGGCCGAGCTGGAGTCAGGGCTTCCCCAGACCTTTTTGGCGATTTGGCTCTCCCCGGCTAGCCCTGTCCAGCCATCGGTGACCACTGATACGCGGCCTCTATGTCAGACAGCTCGAGACGAGACAGGATTAGGAACTGCGGAGAAGAGAACCGGGGTTCCCGAATCCCCACGGGGTGGAGGTTTTCCGGGGTTGTGGGAGAAGCCAGAAACCAGCAAAACACAAGGTTTGCTTCATCTTCCATATTCCGAGCCTTCGCTTATCTCGACCAGGCGCGGATTTTGCAATCTGACTGCCATGACTGACTCGCAGCGCTCACAGGATGCGAAAACGTGCATTTGTACCCACCAGACCCAGAGTAAGCCCTCATCTCCCCGGACTACTGCAGATTCCCCCCCACAGACCCAGTCAGCCCGCGAAACAGAGACGAGATCATCAAAGCGGGCAAAGGAGTCAATCCAGCCAAAAGACGCGAACGTCTCCTCCACAAATCCTTGCTGCAAATCCGCTGAGTTAACCAGTCGTCAACCGCGCCAATTGCTGACCATCATCGATTCATCATCGTCAATCCTGAATCCTTCGGCCTCACCTCCAAATCGGGATTCCCCCATCCCACATTCTGCATAGTGAAGAGGGACCGGACAACTTCCGCGCTGGCCGCTGCACATAATATCATAGCTTAACAATTGGCATCCGACCAGTATCGAAACCACTCAAGACGCTGCAAGAATCAGTATCAGATCGATCACAATGTCTCCCAAGCGAAGCATCATCGTAACCGGTAAGTTCTCAGATACGAATTATCGTGCCCCAACTAACAATCGAACAGGCGGCGCCTCAGGTATTGGCCTAGGGATCACACGCCAATTCGCCCCGCAGCCAAACACCCACATCACAATCTTCGACATCAACGCCACAACAGGCGCGACCGTGCTCGAGCAGCTGCGCTCCGAGTTCCCCTCATCCAGCTTCAGCTTTGAGCGCGTCGACGTGTCCAGCTGGGAGAGTCAAGCTGCGGCTTTCGAGAACGTTATCGCGCATCAAGGTCGTGTGGACGTTGTATTTGCGAATGCGGGGATCACGGAGAGGGGGTCCCTCCTGCCGGAGAAGGATGGGAAGCTGACGAAGCCGGAGCTTGCGACGATTGATGTCAACTTCGTGGGTGTTTTGTATAGTAAGTCTACGTATGCGGGTTAATGAGTGTCGATGGGGCTGGGAAAGGGATGGCTAACGAATCCGCGAAGGCGTCAAACTTGCGCTCCATTATATCTCCAAGAACGAAGCCGTCCATGGCTCAAAGGGGAGCGTTATCTGCACTGCCTCGAATGCAGGCTTATATCCCTTCCCCATGGCGCCGTTATACTCGGCCACGAAGCACGCTGTTGTCGGACTGGTAAGATCACTTGCGAGGCCGCTGGAGAGGGAGCAGATCCAGATCAACGGGTTCGCGCCGGCAGTTATTGGTAGGTCCTCTCCGCTTGTTTCTTTAGTGTATAGATGCTGACTGGGTTAGAAACAAACATTGCACCGAGCTCAGATTTGTTCAAGACGATGATTCTGACTCCCATGTCGACCGCTCAACGGGCTGCTGAGCAGTTTGTGAGTGACCCTTCGCTTACGGGCAAGATTGCGGAGTTACACGGCGAGCATGTGACCTTTGCCGAGCCCCCTGCGTATGTGGACGAGGACACGGGCAAGAATATCGAGAACTTCTGGTCTCTTGGGTATGCCTAGAGTAATAGAATGGATAATAAGTAGATGTGTTGCTTCCAACGCCTGATAGCTCTCTATGTGACCCTCTATATATAGCAACCAAACACCAAGCGCTCCAAAGTAAAGACAGGAAACAAAGAGATAAACAACCATTACCATATCAATCATTCTCATCCTGTAGGAGGACCTTGAGCTTCTCCAACTTATCCTCACAGCGTACTTCCATCTTCATTATCACGTCGACGCTCTCCTTTTTGGTGATCAAGAGTTGCGATACGAGCCAGAAGTTGTAACCATTCTTGTAGAAGCCCATAGAGGCCCATTCGTGACTGCTCACCGTGTTGCGGAGGCCCAGCCAATGATCCCGCCATCGCATCAAAGCCATGCGAATAGGCATCAAAGTCGGGTCTTCTTGGGCAACAGCCTGGCGTTTCTTTCCGAAACTAGGCGTACCGAGCTGGCTAATTGTGGGATTATGGGTGAATCGCATGAGAGGAGCTAGGCAAGTCATGTGGGTATTGATGAAAGCATACAAAACTGAAGTCGTCAGAACACCTCCTTGAGAAAAAGCGGGTAAGAAGCATACCGTGAATTAAGACCCACATGTCTAGTGCTGTCAGGCTTGCAAGCGCACCTGGCAGAGGAGACGGAGAAGCGGTGTCATGCCCTCCGGCATCTTCGAATAAGGCGTCGAACGCATCACGAATGGTGATTCGTCGTGAGACTTGAAATTTCGGATCTGCAGATGGATGCACGGAGGCAAATACCGAGTCAAAACACGGAAATTCCCATCGTAGTTCAGTATGGGTGAGTCGGCACGGGTAATTCTGATAAAATGAAAAGGCGCAGTCGAGAGTAGATATAATGTTCATGGTACTGCCGGAGATCAGCTACATTGATCAAAGAGAGCCAGAGGGCCTACCGGATGCGGGACTCGTTTTGGATCCATATTTGTTCATCGATCCCATCTTCAGGTGTGTGGTGGGAACTGACGAGGCCTATTCGCCGTGCAATCTAGAGTTGTGTTAACTCTGTTAACATGTCGACACAGGCTATCATACCTTGATAAGCTCACTAAATCGATTCTCCATGGCACGACTGCCAGATACAGGCCCTCCCGCCCAGTACTGTGCCACCACCATCAGAAAGCCGGCCTGGAGATTCTGGAACTGAATCCAACCATGGGCTTCGCTTTCGGCATGTCGATTGCCGCAAATTGTTGCGGCCACTTCATACTCGCTAGAGTAAATGTCACTGGAAAAGACATAGAGCTCCGCAAAATCAAGGAGTCTCTTCGCCACATAGCGCTCTCGTTCATCCTTCGTGTACATTGCGCCCATGAAGACAACAGACGTGAGAAGGGGCAACGCAGCAGAATCAAGATTAAATGACGGAGCATGTAGGAATGTGCAGTTCGCATGCCAGTATTTGAAGTATAGACCAACGAATTTCTGAATGCGCGCTGTCGTCAGAAGAAAGGTCAGGCTTGTCGATATCTCCTCGTGTATTTTTGCATCGAGCGGCACCGACCACGCCCGTGACACGATTGCTTGTATCATGGCAGTTGCGTATGGTCTCTCAGGCTCGAATGGCTGCTGACTGGGGAATGTCAAGTTAGGGTCTTGATTAGAAGGAATGACGGGGTAGTCTATCATGCCCCCGGCGTATGGATCGGTCATTGACTTGTGCATTTCTCCGAATGGTCCGTTGAAAAAGTCGAGGAAAGAGTCTTGGAAGAAAGACAGACTATTGGGATCCAAGTCGACAAATGCTGGCGCAAACTCGGTAGTATCTTGTTTTGTATCGAAGGCGAGCATCGAGCTCTCCGCTTCCTCTTTCTGGTGATGATACTCAAGTCCGCGAGTCCGATCGCTGCGCGGTGGGAGGAGGAACTCCTCTGTGAAACTGTCTGTTCCCCCATTGAGGAGAAACTTGATAGACCCTCGTTCCGATGGTCGCTCATGCTCTTCTGGTCTAATAGAAGGTGTATCTGATACAGTCAGACCAAGTCCACATGACACATAATCAGACGTACCTGAACTAGCCCCCGGGCTGTCGGTTTGGTTCTTGCGTTCTTTGTTACATTCAAGGTTTCTCTTGACACAAGAGCCACATGGATTTTGTCCATCGCAGCGAAGTTTCATCGCTGTGCACTGCACGTGTCAGCTGGCTAATCTGCGATGAGGGGTTGAGGTTGAGTTACAGATTGACATGCATGTCGCCTTCGGCCTCGCTGACCCGTTTCTGGAATCTCCCGGTCGCCACGTTTTGCGCAGTCTGCGTAGTGATCGCGCAAATTATCGCTGGACTTGTCGTCAGCAAAGAAGGATTATCGCAAGAACCAACAAAACATACCACCGGGCGAACGACTCGCTGCAAAAAATACAAGAATACGGCTTCAGGCCAGAGTCTACCGGGATTCCCTGGTTAGTTTGCGCAAACAGCGAGATAAGCGGTAAGCCAGCCACATACGACGCAAGTGATGTCGTTTCAGATGATCGATGCGTGTGAAACCCCGCTGGCAAATGGTGCAGCAGAAATGCTTGGTCGGCTTCATGGCGAATGTTTGGGATGCATCGGGGAGGAGCTTGGGGGAGGAAATTCTGGGGTAACGAAGGGGCCTCGAGACTCGAGAGGGGAAGTTAATTAAGACTGAGATCTGGACGAGATCGAGTCTGGGCGGGAGGGGGAGAGAAGCTGCTCTCGGCCTGTCACAGTGGTGCTATCCACGAGTTCCATGGGCCTTTTGCCTTTCCCCGTGTCAGTGGCGTTTCCACGTCCTCGCCCGACTCGACGGAGACGGAAGAAATAGCCTCGTGCGAACAATGAGGCCCGTTGATTCTTATTCATCGGTGCGGTACTCTGTAATGCCCTGGTAATCTCGGGGAGCGGAGGCGGAGAGCTGGTGCGGAGAACGAGGTCCCGGTACCCGCGGGCTGGTAATTTACAAGTCATCAATTATGTAATCAATACACCGAGTGCCGGATCCAGCAAGGCACACGAGGCCTACCCTACCTTCCTTTTCTGTACTCCACTACCGCAAGTCGTCGATCTACGTCTTCTCCCACGTAGTGGATGCTTTGTTTGAGTATAGTGACGTTGACAAGTTGAGTTATCATAAAACAATCGCTCATAGCACAGCAGAAAATATACGCTCAGGGAACCGACCCGTTAGTCACCCCATTCGTCTCTCCGTTCAGCTCCTTCTCTGCAATCACAGACGTCGGGAAGTCAATTTGGTCATCATCCAGGTAATCCACACTGATAATCTTGTGCCTCTCATCTTCTGCCCAGCCGTCGCCAATCCAACCATTAGGGTTGTCGTTGACATAGTCATATGTATAGTCTTCCCACCTGGGGAAGGCAAGAGCTTTCATCGCGTGGAGAGAAGAACCTATTGCACGGTCAGTTGCTGTTATCCATTCCACAAAAGCTCAGAGCTCACCAGGCCACAGTGCTGTAACTCTGCCGTTCAGCGATCCGCCCTTATACCAACTGCGGCATTCCATTCCGAACACCGTTCGTGAGAAATACTGATCGCAGTGCTTGGTGAACCTTTCAACAGCGTCTCTCCGCACGCTCATTGCTCTGATATTATCTCGCTGCATCTTATCGAGGCAGTACGTGATGTAGTCGATTTCCTTCTCAATCAGGAGGAGCAAATTGCCCTCACCTAGCGCTGCGTTGGGACCCAGGCAGATGAAGTAGTTGGGGAACCCATCCACTGCGAGGGAAAGATAGTTCGCCGGTGTTGTTTCCCATCGCTTTGCCAGAGACACTCCATCCTTACCGAAAATGGGAAATCGTGGTGTGAAGGTGGTGTTGAACCCAGTGGCACAGACGACAACATCTGTTGGATGATGCTTTCCGTCTTCAGTGACTATGCCATCTTCGACGATCTTGACAATGGGATTCGAGATGACTTCGACCTTGTCGTCTGTTAAAGCCTCGAGGTATCCGGGTCCAGGAGTCAGTCGACGGCAAGCCGGCGCAAACGATGGCAGTAGGTCATTAATAAGCTCCGGCTTGTTCCTTAGCCGGCGCTTCATATTCTCTGTGAAAAAGGCTGTGGCCCCAACTTGCTCTGGCGAGCCAACAAGCGTGCAGCCATGGACGGACTGCAACTCGGTTTCGATTTCTGCTAATCGTCAATGACCGCCAAATTCACATTTGAAAAGCTCTCACCTTTGCGGAATTTCTGGTATACAGAGTGGTCCTTTTTGAATGTCTCGATCTCCTCTGGGGTGAATGAAACTGGCTAGTTGTCAGAAAATACCGATGAACATCAGGCTGGGTACTTACAGTTCTCAAGTTCCGAACTACGCTTGTCCACCTGCTCACGTGCAAAGGTAGGAGATAGCCATGTGCGGCCTCGAATATAGTGATCCAGGTGTGTCACTTTCGGCAGCATTCCAGGGACAATCTGGATACCACTTGACCCGTTTCCAATGACAGCAACCCTCTTGCCCTGTCCAAACGCTTAGTATTTGGGCATCGCAACAATCGAACACACTTACGCTGTAGTCATAGCTCTCGTCCCAGTTGGCGCTGTGCATGAGCTTTCCTTTGAAGTCGTGGAGGCCCGGAATACTGGGCCACTTCCACTCATTCAACGCCCCGCTGGCTGACACTACCACATCGCACACATCTTCAATGGTATCGCCACTGTCGATGTTTTTAACCTGATACCAATTAGCGTTGTACGAGCAGAACGCGGAAACAAACTCACCTGCAATGTCCACTTGCTTCGGGCATCATCCCATGTGGCGCTGACAACCTGGTGCTTGAACTTAATGTGCTTTTCGCAGCCGTACTTGTCCGACACATGCTTCCAGTATTTGTGAATTTCTGGCGCCGCAGCGTAAAACGTTGACCACTCCTTGTTCGGCTCGAAAGTGGCCTGGTAAGTGTGAGCAGGAATATCTGCAGTGCATCATTAATCTCAAGTCTCTCAAGCCTTGTTGGAGCTGTCCGGCCAGCTGGGCAACTCGCGACTCACCACATGCGCAGCCGGGATACCTGTTCTCGAGCCAGGTGCCTCCGACATCTGCGTTCTTCTCATAAACGCAAAGATCTAACTTGCCGATTCTCTGTCGGAGACGAATCGATGAGATGAGACCCGAAATTCCAGATCCAATGACCACAACCCTCATGGGACGGCATGCGTCAATAGAGCGCTCTTCCACAATCCAGGGTTCAGCAACTGCTGGCGCAGTCACTGGTGGCTTTGATATCTCGCCATTGGGCACATAATCGGTCTCTGTCTCGCCGTTAGGTAGCACAGTCACCACCTGCTCAACCTTAGGCTCAGAAGAACCGCGGCCAAAGACTCTTGATAAACGTTTCATGATGCTGAGTGTTGGCGATATGAACAAAGACGGACAAAACCTGACAGAACGGGTGTCCAACAGCAGGCGACCTATGTTAAATAAGAGGAAGCTAGGGAACCAGGGGACGTGGTGAGGTGGAAACGCTGACCGGACTCCCCCCCGAGATATAGGTACGCCAGGTCCGTTCCTCGGGGCCGAAAAAAATAACCAGACTAGCGTCTATCTCGACCAGCTAAAAATGCGGAGTCTCTATGCTTACGCCTACTTTATCTCCTCCCCGTCGCCTTCTGTAGACCTCCCCGAGGCAAGCCGGGTCTCGCCGTTATCTGTGAAAGGACCCAGAATCCACTGCTGCTATGCATGCGACGCTCCCATCCCTCAGATCGCACGTTTGGAAGGCTGGAAATCCGGAGTTGTGCTGAGGCGGTTGGGAAGGTGGATCCCCGGTTCCAGCAAGAAAGTCAGGAAATCCCCCCTTCGCCTCCATTGCGGGGAAACAAGAGCTTGGGCTCTGGAAGTCTGGAGCCTTGGATCATATACGGCTTCTATGACTGGCTGCTAGGGCTTACCGCGATGAGGGGTACGAGCAAACAACGTGCCATTTCCGCCGCCGTGCCACCAAGGTTTATTGCGCGGTTCTATTGGTACAGCAGGCGAGCACCTGCATCAACCTAGCTAGCTCATTTTCGCGAACGTCTGGGGTATCCTAGCCGCAGTACAACTTGAGGATTTTTTTTCTCATACTTTCAATACGACGGGGCGTAGGGAAGTTGAGGAACCGACACCCTGCAAAGCGGAATTGAGCCGCGCCCAGAGATCGGCCGGAGAAACCCCAGCATAAGCCTAACGCTCAGGGAGACGGATAACGTCCATGATGACTACGATGACAATCCCCCATCTGCAACATCTCCAATTTGATCCAAGAGAAGCTGGAACCAGGGCTAGGAGTATCATTGGTTCGTCATCACTGAGACGGTTACGGAGTGCTGGGGATAGTTTGATCGGAAATACCCCAATTCTTCAGTCCCCCATCCCCCAAACCAGCAAACGCGGGGTGTGAAATCCTTCTCGGAGAATTTATTTTGTGGTTACTGCCTGATTACTTGTCTTGGTATTCTTGCTCTTAAGAAGTTAAGAGATCTCTACGGACGGGATGGTATAAAACTGGCCAGCAAAGCTTGAAGTCCACCTTTTACTAGATCCTCTCTGATTGGCTAATATGTCTACGGAGTACTAGGCAGACCGACTCACCGAGGCCCCGGCTACGCAGACCCCGATCTTCGTTAGGTGTTGGATAGGTCCGGTGTCGGTCAGACACTGAAGTGAGAGCACAGTCCTCTAGTCCATCCCATATTCTGGCGCAAATCCACACCGACTACGGATACGTTCTCGAGGATTAGGAGCTCTGAATGACGATTTACCTATGCTACAGTTTCAACCAATAATCGAAGCCTAAATGACGGTGACGCGGGGTATATTGCTCCATTGGCCAAGTTACGCGTTGATTTCCCCCAGGTTTTCCCCATCCGGAAGCTCGAGCTCCTCCGGACTGCGGGTTATATCCGTATATCCGTATCAGTTACTCGAGTCGTTGAGCAACGAAGGGACCAACAGTAAGGACAACAGACCTAGATTCGATTTTCTTGCAGCTAGACTTCCACGACTGTTGAGCTGTACCCAGTGTCGAAATTGCGATCGGCCAGTAAGATACCGGGGTACCTATAGTAGGGGAAGTAATGGCCGGGGTTTCTGCATGTCCAGCTTATCGGATATAGATCGCGGACAGTCAGCAAGCATTGCAGAGTAGCAGCAGCAGTCCGTTCCTCGCTCTCTTAACGGGAGGAATACGAAGCTCATAGGCATGAGTATATCGGTTCTCGTTATACAGTCTGAAACTGCCGAGACATTCAATCATTTCTGTCTCGGCGGTACAGCTCCCTAACAAGACCGATTCCCTATCCCTGCAGGATTAGTATGAGAGACGGAAAATCTCTCCCCAAGCGAACGACCATGCCATTGTCCCCAGCCGGATATAAAGTGCTGTCAAAGCCGGGGAATGGAAATCTGGGAATCAGTCATCTCTTAATAATTCTCTGGACCAGGCACTGTGGGGATTGTCCGACCACGGCGATCCCCTATATCAAGCAGTCGTGAGTCGCACTTGACTGCTCTAACTCAGTTAGATACAGAGCAATCGCTTCTCGAAGGTCACCATCTCAATCAATTGCCGCCATGCCTGTCTTTACAGAGTTCTCCGCCTCCTCACGCGAGCTGCGCGTCCTCCCCTCGTTCGCGCCGCCTCTCCCCCGCCTTTCCCCGCCCTTCGCAAATCCTTCCCCTTCCACCACAACTACCTCTTCGCAACCCCAACAACCTCAGGAAGACAAATATGAAGTTGTCATTGTCGGCGCCGGCCCCGCCGGACTAATGCTAAACCTCCTCCTCGCACGCTACGGCCTCTCCGACTCGTCCCTCCTCTGCGTCGACGCGAAATCCAGCACCCTGCGCTCCGGCCAAGCAGACGGTCTACAACCACGTACACTTGAGGTCCTGAAATCGCTCGGCCTCGCGGACGAGATCCTTAACGATGGATGCCACATGGAGGAAGTTGCGTTCTGGAACCCCACCGGCAAGAAGGAAGGCGACGTGATTGAGCGGACGTCCATCGTGCCGGACGTCAGCGTGCCCGCGCGGTTCCAGCACGAGGTTACGATCCACCAGGGACGGATCGAGCGCATTCTGGAGACGGATCTTCTGCGGTACTCGAAGCGCGGCGTACAGCGGAATACGAGGTTGATTGACGTGAAGATTGACGAGGAAAGCGATGCGGAGTTCCCGATCATCGCGGAAATCGAGACTGAGCACCCTGAAAACGGGCAAAAGGAGAAGAAGATAATCCGCTCGAAGTATCTCGTCGGCGCAGACGGCGCGCACTCCAATGTTCGGCGGTGCATGGGGCTAAGCTTGGAAGGCGAATCGCTAGACCATATCTGGGGTGTCGTTGATCTTGTCGTTGATACCGATTTCCCTGATATCCGGCGCCGGACGGCGATCCATTCGCCTGCGGGCTCGGTCATGGTTATCCCGCGCGAGCGCATTGCGACGGGTGACTACCTGACGCGACTTTATGTGCAGGTTCCTGAGATTGAGATCGAGGCGGGCGATGATCACAAGGCAAAAGATGCTGCGAAGGCGCGCAGGGCGGGCGTTACACTTGAAAGTATCTTCCAGCACGCGGCGGAGGCATTTAAGCCGTATTACATCAGACCTAAGGAGGACGGGGCTGTGGATTGGTGGGCGGCGTATCAGATTGGGCAGCGTGTGTCTGGACAATTCACGGTTAAGGATTCCAAGGGGATTAATCGGGTATTCATTGCTGGTGATGCGTGCCATACGCATAGTCCTAAGGTATGCTCAGCACAAACTTCATCTCACACATCCGATACTGATACCATCGCAGGCTGGCCAAGGCATGAACGTCTCCATGATGGACTCCTACAATCTCGCCTGGAAACTCATCTACAGCATCCACGGCCTCACACCCGGCGAGCTGGCATCCGCAAAATCCGACCCCGTCCTCGACACCTACCACCTAGAGCGCCACACAATCGCCCAACAACTCATCGACTTCGACCGCGCCTTCTCATCCATGTTCTCCGGCAAGATTGGCTCGGAAGACGGGATCGGGCAGGCCCTGACCCACGAGCAATTCCTCGAAGTCTTCAGCACAGGCAACGGGTTCACGAGCGGATGTGGCATCGAGTACCCCGAGAACATCACGGTCGAGAAATTCAAGGATGACGCGAAGAGGAAGAACCCAATCACGGGCATCGACTACCTCAGCGGGATCCTGTGCCCCGGACGACGACTCCTCAATGTACGTGTTAAGCGCTTTGCCGATGGAAATCGAAGGGATTTACACGATGGTATGCACATTTTTATACTTATCTTACATAACCCCCTGAAATGTAGGTGGAAGCCGTTACTGACTAGACGTGGGCAGACTTCCTCTCAACCGGCCGCTTCCGCATCCTCGTCCTGACCTCCTCCGATCTCCTCAATCCGACTGGTATATCAGCAAAGACCCTATCCACACTCTCCGAAAACATAATCCCCTCATTCCCACACGGCACCATTGAACAAGTCGTCGTCCACCCGCGTCTTACCATCTCCAACAGCTCCAACGGCTCCAACGGTGCCAACGGTACCAACGGCACAAGCAAGGCGCACGCGTACCCCTACGACACATTCACATGGCGCGATCTCCCCGCCGCGCTGAAAGAGCGCTCGGAGATGCGCTTCTACAGCGGGATTGCCCTTGACGATATATACTCTATCTATGGCGTGAGTGAGAGCCATGGTGCAATTGCGGTGGTCAGGCCGGATGGGTATGTGGGTGTTGTTGCGGCGCTGGATGATGTGGTGACTGTTGAGGGGTATCTCGGGGGTTTGTTGAGGAGGGTTTAAGCTTGATAAATGGTTGAGAGGGTGGGAGGGTGGAAATTGATATGATATGTACATTTGGCATGCTGGGTCCCTTGTGCTGTGATAGGAACGGCTTTGTACGTATTCTACGCAGAGTGTTGATGGAGTCCTGGATACGGTACTTAAGAACATAAAGAGCTTTGATTATTGTATGGCATAAATGAAGCTATATATATAATCTATCATTCAAACAACATACATACGTATAGACGCTATCATATGTTTAAGTCTGCTTTACAAACGAATCTCATCCCGCCCTCATCCATTTCCATTGCTAGGTCATACCGCATTTAGAAACCTGCATCGAAAGCTCAATTAGCCGGACGTTCCATATCATCGGCAATTGAAGGCAGACAAGAATAAACTTACCCTTCTCCGTGTTTCCCTCGCCCATACTCTTGCTGCTACTGCTGCCACTCTGGATGGCACCAATGATCCCATCCATATACGGCGCGCCACTCCATTTCTGATGCGTGAGGACATCAACACCGAGCTCCTTCTCGCGGGCCTGGATGAGCCGGACATAAGCGAGCATGCCCTCGTCCTTGAAAGCGCGGGAGAGTTCCGCTGTGATGGTTGCGCCGCTGTGCAGGCCAGCGAGGGAGATGAGTTGAAGGACGAACCTGGGCTCGTCAGTTTGTGATCTTTGATTGAGATGGAAAAGGAAAAGAAAAAGGCTCACCCATGCTGCGCAAGGTCCCAAATAAAGGACTTGAGCGATGCCTCGTCGAAGCCCTGACCCATCCAATTGAAGGACGGGCTGAGGTTGTAGACGAGTTTCTTGCCGGGGTGAGTGGCTCGGACTTCGGCGGCGAGCTTTGCGGCCTTCTCGACGTTGGGGTCGCCGGTTTCGACCCAGAGGAGGTCGGCGTAGGGGCCGAATTCCTTTGCGCGCTTGGTTGCCGCGGGGAAGCCGGCGCGGTAGTGGTAGAAGCCTTCGCGGGTCCGGGGGATGTCGCAGGACCAGACGACGGGGGTCTTGGTGTAGTCGTTGGCTAGGTCGCGGCGGCGGGTGATGGATAGGTCGGGGTTCTCTTTGACGTGCTTCTTGTATGCGTCGCGTGCGGTCAGAGGGGCGCCTTCGGCCTCGAGGTGGGCGTCGACGGCTGTGGAGGTTAGTAGCGGATCTTGATTAGGGGAGGCTTGCGTACCCTCGTCGAATGTCACGAGCTTATGCTTCTTGACCCAGTTCAGTTCGAAGGCGTCGATCTCCGCGGGGGCAGCGCCCTCTCTCTCCATGGCCTGGAGAGTCTCTGCGAGGGGCTCCGACTCTTCGGTGACTCCCAGGATGAATTCGTGGTCGCGAACGTCGATAGCGCTGCTCAGCAGCTTGCCACTCTCGGAGTCCGTCCGAGCAATCACGAGATTCTCAACACCCATTAAGTCCCACTGGAACCTTGCCGCGACGAGTCGGTTGATGTGCTCTCCCATCGGCACCAGGACTTTACCCGCCAGATGGCCGCACTTCTTTCCACCGTGCATCTGGTCCTCAAAGTGGACAGCCGCCGCACCGTTCTCGGCGAAGAGCTTAGCCAGCTTCAGGACTGCTGTCAAGCCACCGTGCCTGAAAAGGTTAGCAGGGATACCCTAGGCACTTGCAACCACTCACCCCGTGTCACCGTCGGCAATGATCGGTCGCATATAGTCAACGTAGGGAGTAGACTTTCGCTGCTCCGGGGTCATCTTCCGCCGCGCATCCCAGTGCTTCCGATCGTGCAACTGCTGCGCCTTGAACAATCTCTGTACCTGATTCGGCACCGTGTTGTAGGGGTAGTCTCCGAAATCCGGCGAAACCTCGTTGGTCGTCGTCAGCACCGAGGAGCACGCCCAGCCTGAGATATACAGGACCTCCTGGTTAGGAGCCTGCTGTGTCATTTGCACGGGGTCAATGGCGCCCACTACGCGTACTCGATTAGCACATTCTACCTTCCCATGCAGACAGAAGACATACTCGTATGAACTGGCTTATTCTCCGCAGCTCTATCATTCAAAAGATTGAAAAGCTTCCTCGCCATCAACGAGCTCGGATACGTCTGCTGCAGCGACCCGCGCTTGCTAACAACATCGGCAGCGGAGTACGGCCGCTTGATCCCCTCATAGCGGGGAGAGCTCCACCACGCCTCGACATCCTTAATCTGTTGTTCATAGAGTGAATCCTCTGCGTCTCCCGCTTTCTCGGCGGTCGATAAGAGCTGGTATGAATCACTGGGCAGCGCGGAAGAAACGGGGGGCTGGACGGGAGGGAGCGATGACGGCGACATCCGCAGATAACCGCTTGTGAATGGGCGCAGGGCGAGGCGAGAGGGACCGCCAGCGGTCGCTGTGAGGGTGGACAGGCGTCGGGGGGTTCGACGGGGAATTGATCGTAGCATCGTTTGGTATAGTCGTTAAGTGTGGGAAATCGAGAGAAGGGAGAAGTGAAGCTCCAGGGAGGATGTTATGGATCGGCCGTTGCCCGCCCCCGACCTCGGTCCAAGCTGGGACTCCGGGGTTGCCGCACAACCGTTTCCCCGCGGCTTGCTTATGCACTGCTTAATGCTGCTGAGTCATTATTCCAGTGCATTCTACAAGAATATACTGCCGATTGGTTTGAAATCTCCGAGAATCGGTAGAATCAAGGACTTAGTCTGACCTAGGGTTTGTCGCCTGGTACTGGGAGGGCAGGGCAGGAAAGGTTATTGAAAATCGACATATCATCAAACAGCTCGTCTTTGCCTCTAATAACCACACCCAGTCACTATATACACCGTGCTAATTTACAACTCCTTGTGCAGCCTCTTCGCAGTCCGTATCCAACAAGCTTACCATCTCACAGCACCCCAGCCGGCTGTTCCTGCTGCTGAATCTCAACCAGGTTTCCATCCGGATCAGCAACCATCATCAGCAGAGGCAACCCAATGAGCCCCTGCGCCTCCATGAGGGCTTGCTTCGCAGCCTGATGCACGCCCGCATACTCTCCAATCCCAAACGCATTATTGACCGGCCCCGTAAACGTCTCAATCGCTTCCCCATACGGCTTAAGAATCTCAACACCCTGGCTGATCAAGTAATCTTGCGCCTTGACGATATCCGGAACAATAAGGCCGATGTGGCCGAAGGTATTTGTTCGATTCAGGGAGCCGAGCAGAGTATCGTCGGACACGTTGAACTGCACGATCTCAAGAAGTCCGGCGAGGTTGTTCTTTGCGAGATTTAGTTCTGCGCCCGTTTGGAATCCTGTTCCGTTTCGCCCGCCCTGGGAGTGGCCCATGTAGGTGATGGTGAACTCGGGGGTGAGTTGGACGTCGAAGATCTGGCGCATGCCGAGGATGTCGCCATAGAAGTGCTTGAGGGCGGGAAGGTTGGTGGTGAGCAGGCCGACGTGGTTGATGAAGTAGCCAACGGTCTCTGGGGGAGCTGGACCGTCTTCGCCGATTTGGAATAGATTGCCGAACTCGCTGTCGGGTTCTGGCTCGGTGCAGGCCGTTGTCCATTGGGCGGCCATTGAGAGGCCTAAGAGAAGCTTTATCGCAAGCATTTTGGGATTGTGAATTGCCAGTTTGGTGATGCAAGGATGTGTTTGTTCTGAGAAGAGTGTGCTTGACGCGCAGTTAGAATCATTCTCATCGGGGATATCCAGGGGTTTTTATAGCTGGTTTCTGTGGTAAGGCGTACTTCCTTCTCAGCCTTCAAGGCTCTGCAAGGCACGGTTTATGATCAATCCGCAGATTCCTCCAAAGCCCCAGAGTATAGAATCCTCAGAGCTTTGGAACAACCAAACCCGGCCAGGCCCAATGGCGGCTCAGCGGGCGCGATATTGAACCGGGATAGGGCTAGCTTCAGTGAGCTGGCACTTCAGCCCTACCAATCAGCTTATTCAAAGGAGGGAGTGTGTACCAAGACTCTTGGCAAGAGGCTCGTGTTCTGGAGAGATCCCCAATTCGGGAAGCATTCGACGCCAGATGGAGGCTGTGATTCCTTCGGCCCCCAAATTTCGATCTGTCAAGCTCTATCTTTCCCCCGGGTGTTGATCTTTCCCGTGAATGTTAGGAGCCAAGTTCAAGGCTAGGGCAAGGAGCTTTTCCGGCAATCATCTTAGCTTGTAGAGAGAACAGTGTCGGATGAAAATCAACCCGTTATATGTCATTCGATGAATTTGTCCATGATATCCGCGAGATTGACACTCAGGGAGGGTTTAGCAGCGATCTCCGTTCATAGCTATCGGTCATGCCAAATGATGGAGGATCGCTCTGTTCCTAGGGGAAAGTGACATTGGGGACCCAATATCCTGTACGATTACTCTGCAGGGAGCTAGCGATGTTACTTATGTTCAGAAAGCTGCTTCCGTTTGTTCTGGAGGTGAGTTTAGCACTCCGGGCACGGCACCACGGGTACCGCAAACCGGCAACAACCACTCAACATGTGGCTTGCCATTTGTGACCGATGTCAATAGCAATGCGGTTCGCTCTTTTGAACGCATTGACATGGGGGTGTTTCAGGGACTGAAAGAAGTCAGTACTCAGCAGAGCGTATTTGTCATTCTACCTCCATATACTAACGCACCGGACTTGCATTAACTTATCTGTCACCTTCTTGTCCGCTAGGCAATCTTGCTACTTGAGCGGATTGATATACCGAGCGCTAGCTGGAAGCAAGCTTGAGTGATTATAGCTGGCGGACAAGGTTGCAGCTCGTTAGGATACCCAGAGTCCGCATTCTAACAAGTTTCTGTCACAGGGGATAGCAATAGCTCCTTTGAAAACTCGATGGAAGAAGATGTGGCAAGTCAAACGAACCCAGAAATTGCATAGAAATGCATTAAAGAGAGGAAGAGCGCTCGGCGCAAGCCATGCATTGATCTTGACCCTACCCGATGAATGTTGTCGACCTCGGAGACGTGCTCAACGTTCCTTGCGTGAGTACACCGTACAATATGGGGAGCAAGCGCTGATCAGGTTGGAGTTCGTTGTGGCAGAGCACATTGATAGGTCGTTTATATTGGCGGGTCTCATCGGGATATTCGGATATTTCCTCGTCGGCCACTGGAGCCGATCTGCATATCATTCCTATGAATGAGCTTCATTCCTGGTGGCACTCCATTATTCGGAGGATATCCTGTTGCGTTCTGGACCAGGCGAGGTCAGGGGATCCTTAGGTATCGCCCAAAGTCCCCAACGGAAAGATGCCGGTCGACAGTCGCATATCGTTCCAATGTGATTCGCTTCGGGGCCGCCGAGGTCGACGAAAAGACGTGGAACACTCGCTCTTAGCTACCTCTTGCTCACCATCCAGGAAAGTTCCATTGCGGTCGTGCCCACTGACTTTAGTGGAGTCGATATCTCGTACTGGAATGCGGCGCAGGAACTCGAACTCGATTTTCAAGACACATTACTATAACAACACGTCAGCAGCTTGGTTGAAAGAAATTTAGACCGTTTGCCACGTCTAAAACTATGTGCATTAGGTCCGCGCCGCCGCGGATGCTATGCATGTCAACCAACACGCCCTTGCCGGATATATTCTCCAGTATCTGGGATCAATCGGCTTTCAGAATCCGGGGACACCGTCGACTGTAGCTGGATGCTCAAACGCTTAGGATTTGTTGACGTGGTTGACTCTCTCGCAAGGGGTGGAGGAGGCCCAAGAATGGAAGGAAGAAGTGGGCAAGAACGCGTCCAGGTTAGAGCCGATCTCTGGATCCATTGGGCCTTCGTTGGCCTTCCTGAGCCTCGAGAGTCGCTTAACCCCAAACCTTCCTCCACACCCGAGGTCACTTCAGACCAATTCCCTAAACGGGTTTCATGGGACACCCATCGGTGGTATCTTCCTCAATCTTACCGCGGTCATAGACATTACTGTCAAGACCATCGAAAGACCAATTGCCATAACAGGAATAACAATCACTTGCACTAGCCAAAGTATCTTCGCCGCCATCCCCAAGCATTCCTGAACCGACAAGCTACCCTCCACAATTTTCGGATTATGTCTCCTCCCAATAATGTCCTCGAGCTCACGAAATATGGAAGCAAAAATGGATCAGCAATGCCAGTGCGCAAGGCCCGCGCCGCGGACCCTATATTCCCGCCCTTGCCTGGAGCAAGAGGTCATTTATATAGAGCCAACATCAGACCCGGAGACTCAAAACACAAGGTCTGAAACAGTCTGGTCTTCTTTTGTGTGCCATATTTGCTTTCAAATCCCTGTCTTGCTCCCCTTGAAGACATCATGTGCGGAATCACGGCAATTCTCAGTCTCGACGGAGGGGCAAACTGCCCCAGGGTCGACATTAATATCGACCCCCAGGTATTGAACCATCAAATGGATGAGAGTCTGGAGCTAGTAAAGCACCGTGGCCCAGACGCAAGAGGCCAGTGGTTTAGCCATGACCACCGTGTGGGTAAGCGTCCCGGAGAATGCAACTGCGTCCACGGTCTCGGTCTGATTGTATACGCGAACTAGGTCTTGGTCATGCTCGATTCTCGATCATCGATCTCAGCCCTGCCGGCAACCAGCCTTTTCATGACGCCGAAGAAACCGTCCATGCGGTCGTCAACGGAGAACTTTACGATCATGAGAAGCATCGCGCGGAGCTCGCTGGCGAATACGACTTTACCAGCAGCAGTGATAGTGAGATTGTGATTGCTTTATACCGTCATTATGGCATCTCGTTCCTTTCCAAGTTACGGGGAGAATTCGCCCTCGTACTCTGGGATGCAAAGCGGAAGCTCTTCTTCGCCGCTCGGGATCGTTATGGTATAAAGTCGTTGTACTATACTATAGTCAACAACAAACTACTTGTGGCAACCGAGATGAAGTCATTCTTACCCTTTGGCTGGCAGCCAGAATGGTCTGTTGAGAACCTCCTTAGGAAGGGTTGGTTGTGGGACAGCAAGATGTATTTCAAAGGGGTACACCGGGTACGTCCAAGGTTTCCGCTCCTCTTCCATCTGCTCCTAACAACATGCTAGCTCGAACCGGGCCGATACTTGGTCAGCCGCAACTTTGAGTCGCCGGACGTGAGGACGTACTGGGATATGGAGTACCCAGACAAGGTAAGCTACTCTGAGTCTAGTCATAGAGCTCTAACTCACTAAGGACAGAGGACTTCTTGCCCTTGGACTGAAAAAGACATAGTCCTGAAGCTCCGAGAACTCTTGCTTGATTCGGTCAAGCTACGGCTTCGAGCCGACGTGGGAGTCGGAGTCTACCTCAGCGGCGGCCTAGACTCGTCTGCCATTGCAGGAATGACGAAGCACCTCATACAACAAGGTGAACTCTTAGGAAACGATGTCAGCGGTGACGTGTCGAAGATGAGCTGCTATACCATCCGGTTTGGCAAGGACAGCGGAGTGGACGAGTCAGGTAGGAACAATTGTCTCGATAGCCGGTTAATGCTGCAGAACCCCGGCTGAACGTACCTAGATGTAGCACAGAGGACGGCGGACTGGCTAGGGGTTGACCTACACCCAGTGACCATGAACGAAGAGGAGCTTGCCTCGCGGTTTGAGAATGCTGTTTGGTACACGGAGGCGCCTATCCCTGATGTCAATGGAATGGGCCGAGTTGCCGTGGGAGAATTGGCTCATTCCCACGGAAAGAAAGTCATTCTCACAGGTAAGCAGACACTACGTACCCTTCCATGGATCTTCTCCACTAACAGATCGAAACCAGGAGAGGGTTCAGACGAGCATTTCGGCGGCTACCCCGACATGCTCTCAAAGATGTTCCTCGAGCTAGATCTCTCCTGGCCTGCACCAGCCTTCGGAATGCCCGAAAGCTCAAAGCCATTCGAAGCAGGAAGGGAAGCCATCCCACCACCGGTAAACTCACCCGCCTCGACAAAGCGAATACTCAACAACTCCTCGGTATTCGCCCGCGTGAGCTCGTTCTACAATCTCCCATTCGCCGCATGGACAGCAAAGCACGCAATACCAGATCTTGATCTTGAAACCGCATTCGCAGAACACTTTGGAGCCCAAACCCTATCTCATATGGCTGAAAAATGGCACCCCCTGAACTCGGCAAGCTACCAATGGACCAAGTCTATCCTGGCAAACTACATCCTCCGCTACATTGGTGATGGCGCCGACATGGTCCATCAGATCGAATCAAGGCCTCCCTTCTTGGATCACCGCGTTACAGAGTTTGCCAACCAGATTCCCCCGAGTCTGAAAATCCGCTATGACCCGGTCAACAAAGTTTTATGTGAGAAGTACATTCTCCGCGAAGCCATGCGGCCGTTCATCACTGACGAGGTCCTGAATCGCACGAAGCGTGCGTACCTGGGTCCGTCGAACTACAGGGAAGGCGGACCGCTACACCAGGCCGTGACGAGGCTACTCACAGAAGAGAATGTCAAACAGCTAGGCTTCGTGGACTGGGATCAGCTACAGGAACACGTCGTCAAGGGCTTTCGTGACGGCGACCAGAGATGTTTCCGAAGCTCGCTCTTTGTGGCTCAGCTCGTCGTCTTGTCTCAACGATTCGGCGTCAGGCCGGCGACAGACACGAACTCGCCCCCTGTGTCAACCGAGACGCATAGAGCTCGTATCGGGTCCAACGGTGCTGCGCCCATGGTCCAAATTACAAGCCACCTATAGCACCCCATGAACTAGGCTTGGGATACAACTTTTATTCGAGGGACACGGACAAAACGCATGCTTTGAGATGCAAGCTGCGCTGGGCTACGCTGGGCCGTCTTACTTTTCGGCATCCCAGCAGCCCCAGTGACCATAGAGCTAGACGGGGCCAAGGCAATGTTTTCACAGCTGAGCAGGAGGTCGGCTGATACTGAGCTCGAGGCTTAAGCGTAGCATAGCAACCCAAGAATCGTCATGTCATACCCTCCCCTACCTATCCGTTCCGTCTCATCTGATCGCATCGCAGCTTGGGCACCCAGCCAGCCGCATCTCGTGCAACGTATTTCTAGCGTGTGACGGGTGGATAAGGCCAGCTTCCACTGCACCGCATATAATCTTATAGAAAGCCTGCGTTACCCTTGACGTAAACCCCAGTGGGAGGGGCGTGCGCATCCATCCACTCTGTGACAGTGTGGGGGGTGTAGGCTCTCCCTTCCCGCGTGGCGACAAGGAGATAGCTTCTGGTGCCGTAGGGGGCTGGAGAATTGGACGGGATGGTATCACTGAAAGCTAGATTGCGAGATTGTTGTGCTACCACTTCCAGTGATGGATGGAATCAAGGTTCAATTCCAGGATAGGCGGAGCCTGTTCAATAGGCTCTCGGGTAAAGTAATGCAAGGATGGGCATAATTGCCACCTGCAATAGGGGTTCGTTAAGTAGCAGTGCGGTAGAGGTACATGCTGACCTGTTCTGCCCGCCCGGAGTGGGTTGTTTGTCCACAAGTCTAAAGATAGCAGCAGAATAGAAGAGCCGGAGGAAAGTTAGCCTAGATGATTGTTATGTATGCAAGGCCTGTCGTTCCCCACCACTGAGGCATTATAGAGCTCTTCCAGGTGCTGTGAAAGCTGTGTTATACGGCATGGGATGACGCGAATTTGCATCGGGACTGGCAGCGACATATAACCCCTGACCATAGAGTCAGAATTAACATGGGGACTAGCGGAACGGCCCATCGCAAAGGAGCGAAAGACATTACCTGGAAGTATCATGCGTCTGAAGATTACCAAGCAGACCGGGATTATCGGAGCGGATGGCGAATCGTTTCGTTCTGCATACGTCGTCCCTTGGCCCAACAAGGTACTTCAGAAGCATTGATGGTACAGCATGAGGTACGAAGGAGGACGTGGGATATGTCTGCAATTCGTATAGCAAGGTAAGCCTATGGAGTCTCTATTAGTGAGGATCGCGCGGTAAAGTCTCTCATTGGAAGATCCAGGGGGATGACGAGACTCTCTCCCCCAAAATCCTCTCACATCCAGGTAAGTGGAACTCTCAGCTGGATGACTTGTTTTACCTCCAGGCCATGTTACAGCGAAGGTCATCCCTTCTGAGTAGGAGGCCTTCATCCAACCGGAATCTTTAAGACAAAGTTGGGTTGGTTCTTCATCCATTCAGAGATGCTGATCACCCTCGCATGAGTTCGATGGCGCTTAGCCGTTTAAACGAGATGCGCAATCTCCCACCCATCAAGTTCTGAGCTCTATGGTGATCTTAGAACAACCTGATATTGCCGCCAACCCCTGGCCATGTGTATACTCTGCTCGTAATGGGAGCGGTTGCAGCCACTCTTGAAGCCTCGGAATCGTCTTGGTCTCAGCTCTACCGAAGGGAGAGGGATTGTTGAGTACAGTCGAAGCCCGGCCGCTGAAGAAATCAAGCCAATAAATTCCAGATGCAGCGAGTGCGTGGGTTGACTGCAGAGACTGCGCATAACCCGTTCACTCTGCATTGGCTGCACGGCTGTAGATGACAAAGCTCTGGCCGATGTCAAGCAGAATGTCGCAGGATAGGTTCGGTATGGTCGAGTCCCGGTTGGTGCCGGAGGTAAATGGTATTCCGGCAGGATGAAAATTCTGCAGGTGTGTTTCTTTCAATTAAAACTAGGAGACTGGTGTTGCTGGACAAGTTAGGCGACGGTACACGACCGCGGTCTCTCGATGAGCGACGAGTACGGAGTATGGTGAAATGATGATGGGCTGCGGGATCCCTGAAGACAGGTAGCATAGGAACCTTAATGCACTGTTAAGGCTCTTTCTTGCAGGGATGACCCCATCCGTGCATGCAAGAGAGCCGTTGGGTACACGGCGGAAGGGTATCTCAAAGTGAGCGATCCGTGGGGATGGTGGATGTGTCAAGCTTCGCCTACTGGGTGGGCAGGCACTGTATTGCCACGTGCTTTCCGCTATGTGTCAGGTCATTGAGCGTTCTTGCTTCTTCCGTTCAACAACGCCCACAAACAACCCCAAAATAACGCTCTCCCAGTGCGGCAGACACCGGGAATTGCTTAATTTCTAGCGTCTTTCCATTTCGTGCCTAGTACCTGGCTAGGAATCCTGCAGACCATCCCCATTGGTCTCTTGCTCCAACCCGTTGGCATTGCATCTCCAGATCACCGCTCCGATCTGATCCAGTCACAGAAGAACACGATAAGAGGCCACCCAGGCTGCGCTACCTGTCCTGGAGAACAACAAGGGTCGTAGGGCCCATCGAGCCGCTTGTTTGGTATCCAGGAGACATTTCAAACGGGCCCAGGATATGCACGCCCACCGTATTTGGGACCTTCAGCTCCTCCCGCCGCCGTTACACCGTGGGGGTCCCCTGTCAGACTCGAAGATATCAAGGATTGAGAGTCTGCGATTCTTTTATTTCAGCCAAAACTTTGAGATCGGTCAGGCTGATCGAGATGCAATTTAAAAAGCCAAGGTTTGCTTTTGTGCAAAGCGATCACGGGATCCCTGCGAGCCAACAGTCGACCTCGTTCCTCGTCATCACCAGCGTCTTCCCCATCCCAGTGGCGCTTTCCATCCTATCAGATTCGGTGCTGTCCTAGAGCCTGCTGCATTGACTTTCAATGTATTCTGATCTTGGATCATGCTGCCTCCAAAGAAAAGCGCCTTCTCCGGGCACAAGCTGAACCGGATGGAGCGGCAAACCAGTAGGTAGGAGGAGAATTTCTTTTGCCCCTCGTTACCATCTGCGATCCTTCGGTAAATCTTGCATTACGGAGTCATAGCTACCCGCTACCCTCATCGAGTCTGAGACCCCGATCGAACTTCGGCGGGATTGTCCAAGCTACGCCTGATAGATCGCCACATCCGCGATTCGCAAGTCGCTCCAAGTCTCCGCACTCCGCTGCTCTAGTGCCAATCCTTATCAGGCTGATGACAGTTTCTCCTCACGCCTCGGGGTCAAATGGGGCATTATTCGACTTTATCTCTCTTCCCTCCGAGTTTCCTCACTATCTCAACGACTAAGCAGCAGCCTTATCTGTGGACTCCTACATTAGGTTGGATAGACCCCAACTCTCCCAGACGTCTCCGCAAATCGGTATTGTTATCTCGCTTCTGCCGACTACTATACAAACCTATTATCGCACAAACGTCACTGCGCTCTGAAATCTTCCGTTCTATTCCTAACTTATTATTGCCTCTTCGTCACCGCGCGGACCTCGGATATACGCTACATTGTTAGCATGGAAAACATCAGGATTCCTTCTCCGTCTGCTATTCTAGACCCTCCTGCCGCCCCGTCTTCTGGGCGTCTCACGGTTGCCGACTCCACACAAAATGCAGCGCCTGTGCAGACCTCTACGACGGTGACAACTAACAAGCCCAAACAGTCAAAGAGCCGTAATGGTACCGTATACCGATTCTTTACTCGCATTCATGACTAGAAGCAGTCTGAAAGAGATGGAGAAGCAGGAAGATGGCATAATGATTTGTGGTGCCCAGCGCGCTGACCTTCTTGCTGTTGAACACATCCAGGTTGTATCACCTGCAAGGCAAAACGACTGAAGTGCGACGAGTCAAAACCGACATGTCTACAGTGCAAAAAGCGCAACGTTGAATGTGGAGGATACAAAAAGGACTTCAAGTGGCGTTCATTTGGAGAGAACAACATCCCGGGGAGAGGTCTTGCGCCAAGGGAAAAGAAAGGTCAATACACACCTTGAAAAAGGGAGTGGCAGCGAGCTAACAAGCCTCAACTGATACAGGAAGCCTGTCGCCACCCGCTTGCAGCACGACTTCGCACAGCTGCGGGCCTGCAGAAAGCCAGAACACTGCAATGGAAACAGTTGTGCTTTCTCATTCCCAGCGAAGCTCACCACGAGAAGTCTCTTCCAGACGTTCAGGTCATTCGCCGGCGAAGATAGACCTTGGGCTCTCACTGGATCAGATCCTCGGCTACTCGGGTTCTGGAAGCTTCAGTGATGATTTCTTTGCATCGTCGTTGGCGGAAACTAACTCTTCAGGGCAGTCCCCATGGTTTCCGAATACAATGCTTACTCCAAGTACTGGCAGTGATAATACACTGAACCACAGCCTGCTAAATGGGCCTCGGGAAAATGATGAATTCAGTTTTGAGACTCTGCTAGAAGGCGACGGCGACGACATTGAGGAAATTATACGACAGCCTGATCGGCCTACACGGACGAGGAATCCAACCTTCACAGGGCAATCTGTCACCCAACTTTCCGAGCAAAGCATTATGCCCCCAAGTTCGCTCGCGAGACCGGCCCTCAGCATCGGAAATCCAGAAATGCTCGTTCTGCACTTTGATCGGTCCACATGTGGCATTCTATCTGTGAAGGACGGTATTCACGAGAACCCTTGGCGGACCTTGGTCTGGCCGCTGGCCAAAGACACCCCCGCTCTTTATCATGCAGTATTTGCTCTCGCCGCTTTTCATGCGAGCAAAGACAATCCCTCCTTGAGGGTCCTCGGAGTAGACCATATGAGACAGAGCATTACGTGCATGGTGCAAGATATTCAGAGCATGAGGACAGATGCCGCGTTGGCGACAAGCCTAGCTCTGGCTTTCGCCGATACCTGGGACCAACACACTCGGTCTTGCATACAGCATCTGCGGGGAGCAAAGGCATTGGTAGCTCAAGTCGTGGGACTCGGGATGCAAGGCGGCCTTCAGGGGACCGATCTTAGGAGGGTGCGGTTCTTGTATAACACCTGGCTCTACATGGATGTCATCGCCCGCCTAACATCTCGCGAAGAACAAGGTGATCAAGAGATTGAAGTTCCTTCCTTTCCATTTCCACAGGGAACAGTGCATGAAATTGATCCTTTGATGGGATGTGCTGCCACTCTCTTTCCGCTCATCAATCAAGTTGCTCGATTGATCCAGCGTGTCCGCAAAACAGAGTCAAATTCAATTTCTCTCATTTCTGAGGCTATCGAACTCAAGCAATTGGTGGAGCATTGGGAGCCACCGGACTGGTTTGAACCTCCAGAGGATCCCACCTCTGAAGTTCAGCATAGTATACAGACAGCCTACGCTTACCGCTGGGCGACTGTGTTGTATCTTCACCAAGCTGTCCCTGAAATGCCGTCGGAGCCAACACAGGATCTGGCGAAACGGGTACTGGTTCTCTTGGCCACGGTTCCACCGAGCTCCCGTACCACAATTATTCAAATGTTTCCGCTCCTGGTTGCGGGCTGTGAGGCGGAGCAAGCAGAAGACCGAGATTGGGTGCTTAGACGTTGGAGCGCAATCCAAACCCGGCTGATGCTGGGCTCTATTGACCGCTGTATTGAAGTGGTTCGTGAGGTTTGGGCTCGCCGGGATGCGAGCGTAGCTCAAGAACGGCAACAGCAGCAGCTTCAGGCGGCTAGCCGCTCTCGCAATAACGCTGGGCAAACTCTGGGCATGAATAAAGTATTCTACACTGGCCGTGGTCCGGTAGCTTCTTCGCGACGAAGTTCTGCAGTTTCACCTCTGGGGAATATCGATTTCGATAAAACAGTTCGTGGCAAGGCACACTGGGCACATGTGATGCAGGAATGGGGCTGGGAAGGTATAGTTATCATGCCCTTGTAAACATTCAAACTAACTCATTCGTATAGTTTTCTTGGGCTAAACTTGAGAACACCGCAAAGTCACTATACCATCATTGCTTCTTGGCAGCAACCACAGTGCTAGACTTGCTATTACTATCAGAGCTCGAACTTTTCTTTTGAAAACTGGAAGCTCCCGGCTTCTGTGACACCCTCACTGGGATTCCCTCAATTCTTGTTCCTGCTTGACTTGGCATTGTGTCATCCCTCTCCAAATACTGTCGGAGGGAATCTAGATATGGCTCTAGATCACTGGTGACCGAGACAGTCGACATTCTCGCGGCGGTAGATAAAACTCCGTGCTTTGGTTTTGGGATTTTGGTTCTGGGATATAATATAAACGCGCCGGGGTTGCTGGATTGGGTTTGTGTTTCTGGGTGAATTTCGGTTCTTGGGTTCGAAAAAGGCTCTTGGTCTACGGTTCATCGCATAGCGAGTTAGCAAATTGTAAATAGCCCGCTTCATCGGATATCACTTGCTGCTTTTGGGGTTGTACGTAGCTTGTACTCGCCGGCGACTGTCTGGCTTACTGACGATGACGATAACACTGGTGCTTGGACACTACTGAACGTTGCTGCTTGGCGACAATGCTTCGAGTCTCAGGAACAGTTGGGCTTCAGACGTTATGTAGCTGAGGGGTCGTCGCGCAAGTGTGGGGGATGAATGTGATTCTGTTGACGGTCTGCATTGGGTGGTGATGGCTTTCGTCCGGGACGGCTCGTTCGGATGGATGGATGGTGCTTTGGAAAGGGGGACTTGGGTGTCGCATGCGGCGTAGTGAGGATCTAGTAGAGGAAACGCCGTGTATTTAACTCCAGTTGCTGTAGGAAGACCGTTGGACCCGTCATACGATCACGGAATGGATCAATACGGAATCTCCTGCCCTGATCAATGTGATCAGTTGGATTGTCCTGACTGGGACGATGATCTGTCACAATGGGAATAGGACGGACGCATCACCGAGTCCAAGGTTACCCGCCGTTTCGACTACAACTGGCCGGGGGTGAGATTTCGACCACTTTGGTATAGTTGTCTCACGACGAGGACTGTGCTTCTCGATACGGTGCACCGAGCACAGCGTGGATTAGACTAGACTGTACTGCAAAAGGACGTGGTAGGCGTAGGTGGCCTTTCAAGGAAACTTTTTTACCCCTGCAGGAGCTCCAGCTGAAGCCTGGGAGGCTTCTTCTCTGACCTTCCACTTTTGCACACGGATCGCCAGGGCGAAAGAGGGCAGATTGGATTGATGACTGGAGAGGACGCAAGATGCCCCTGGACGTCTTGCTGGGAGATGAGATGGGAGAGCCCGGGGAGGGAAATCGTAGCCCAGAATGGCAAAAGGATCCAGACCCCGCCTCTATCATTTTATCTCCCACTCTTATCAAGAGCAACCCCTCATCTCATCGCCCAGCTTCTTCCCCAGGATTATCCTTATCGGCTCGAAATCAGTGAGTAGGAGCCGAAGCGAGCGTTCCGCATTCGAATTGGTGCTAACTGGAGCAGGTATCGTTATGCCCTCCTCTCAGCAGTCCGGACAATGCCCCTCATCTGACTTCTCTCCCCTCACGCTCTCCAGCTGGTTGGAGGTCCACCGTCCCGAGATCTATACATACAATCCGGCCCAATAGTTCTCTCCGTGGGATAGGCTCTGAGTGTCCTACTGCAGAAAGTGAATCCGAAGCGATGGCTGAGCCGTATCGGATTGTTTAATTGTTGGCTCGGTCCTGGGTTCAGAGCCAAATCAGAAGAGATATAAATCCAGGGCCGAGCCTTCAAGTCCAGAGAGAAAGCTTGTCTGGTCATCCTCTACCTCCTCTCCTCAAACCATTCTCAACATCAAACAGCTTCCTCCCTGACACCATCTTCGAACCGTGAAAATGCCGACTGCTATGGTTTACCATGCCAAAGCGCAATCCACCTTCAAGCCTCCATTGATTGCGAACGAGAATGCTTTCCTGGGTGACGTTGACTCTAGGTATTTACGTGGCTGCGGGACTTTGTATGACAACGCTAACACTCTTTCAGCGACTCATACAACCCCGAAAAGCCCATCTCCGCCGGCTTCTACCGTCTCGAGAAGGGCACTCCCCTCGTCTACGAGTACACATACGACGAGATGAAGATCATTGTCGAGGGCGAATTCGAGATCTCCGATGAGACCGGCCAGAAGGTGACGGCAGTGCCGGGCGATGTCTTCCACTTCCCGAAGGGCTCCAAGATTACCTTCACGACGCCGTCGTACGGGCTAGCGTTTTACGTGAGTGCAGGATGAGCCCAGACCTGGTTCTGAATGGTTGCTGACATGTGGTTGGGGTAGACGGGCCAGCGGGCTAAGGGAGCGGCTTAGATGAGCGAGCTGAGCGAGGCTGCGAGGGAGGAAAAAGAATCCACCGCGGTCAATGAGATTAACGGGATGGCCGAGGTCGATGACATCAGAGTTCCAAGGTTCTTTGTGTGGGTTTCGAGTGATCTGTGCCTGGATCCATGGTTTGCGGTGGCTGGGTCCCGTGTATATCTTGGAAGATAAACAATCCCAGATCATCTCGATAGCCAGATGCGAGCATCCTCGCAGTCCTGACCACCATACTCTGTAGATTTCTCTGGCTTCTCCAGTCTCCATAGAGTAGTCTGCGGCTGACTCGCTGGCTCCACGATTTCCGATGGATCGACCGTCACCATCGAGGCTATCTCCCTTGTCTGCATTGTATCTGTGACAGCTCACAGAATCCTGGCAGGAACTAGGCGATGGTTGGCGGGAATGACTCGCATCTTGTCGAATCCGCGATCGCGAATGGAGTCAATGGACTAGAGGATCTGAGCGAGGGAGTTGCCGGGGAAACGGTCCAGGAACAAGGGAAGCGAAGAGGCTGGCTGGAGGAGATCAGGCTTCAATTGAATCTGGGCCTGAAGGGCGAAGTCTGAATTGTGGGTTCTCCTCAGCTCCAGTCACGGCGTCATTCTTCTTCTTCCTTGGTCGCGCTTTCCCCTCATCCTCAGCTTCATGTGCCCGCCATCCCTCGCGTCTTTTATTAGATGATCAGCCGGCTGTCTCACTCTCCTGTTTAACTTCAGCGCTGCCCCTTCTTCCAGAACACACCCCGTGCGAGACCTGTTTCTCCCTATCAACAAAGCCATTCTGCTTCTTCCATGTCGCACTGCTAACACACTTCCACTACTGTCACACTTGTTTGCTTTTTTCTACGCAAATACTTGCTTTTTCGCGGCCTCCGTCGATTAGCTGCTATTATTTTCCTATCTTCCGAAGCCTCCGATCCCCGTGTCACTCGCGTTTCTTTTAAGAATTGACGCTTGACCCCTCTCGCTGACGCCGCGTGGATCGTGTGTCCCACTGATTGTCGGCGACGAGGCGCGCGCTCGCCACGCTGTTCTCCGAGAAATTCACAACACCACGCTCACAAACTTCATGCCATCATGACTCTCGATTTCGACTCCAAAGACCGCTCCAACTTTCGTCTCCCTCACTTCCCTCCACCTCTTCACACCCGTTCCGGCAATGAGGCGTTTGATCGCCCCGCCACTCCCCGCGACGATGGCTTTACCAGTCCAATCTCGACTCCGCTAGGAAGCCCAAGCAAAAATCGCATGCCTCCAGGTGCTCTGGATCTGCCCAGTGTTTTCGATAATGCTCTGAAACTACAGCCTACATCTCCTACCAAAAACACGCATAACAACTTCAATCATCCCATGTTCACACAGCCCAACAAAAGTGCTGAGGACTTCAATGAGAGTGTTATCCGCCCGGCCAGCCCGAGTAGGAGAACCAAGAATGAAAACACTTTACCACAATCTACTGCCCTAGCCAGGGACCTCGGGCGCAATCCAGCTGCAGCGGCCATTTCTCGTCAAGAACAGTACCACACTAGGGACCTGGAAAGTGTGCAAAGGCGTCAGGTGCCGATGCGGGGACTAACGCCCGAAGAGTTGGAAAAACTTCAAAATCCCCGGGTAAAGCGACTGGTCAATGTCACCCAGCTATGTAAGTCTACATAAAATGGTTCTTCTAGGATTGCTTCTAACGTGACAGACTTCCTCGATTATTATTTTGACCTTCTGAGTTACGTCCACAACCGCCAAACCCGTTATTCCCAGTTTTGCGCCGCGAACCCCGAACCTCCAGCGACACCGATAGAAGAGTATGAGCCCGCTTTATCGAAATATCTGGGTCGGGAACGGGCCCACCTCCGCAAGCGTCGTACCAGACTTCGACAAGGTGATTTCCAAATTTTGACGCAGGTCGGTCAGGGTGGATACGGACAGGTGTACTTGGCATCGAAGAAGGACACAAAGGAGGTATGCGCTCTCAAGGTGATGAGCAAGAAGCTGCTCTTCAAACTGGATGAGATTCGGCACATCCTCACCGAGCGCGACATCTTGACAGCAGCGAAGAGCGAATGGCTGGTCAAGCTTTTGTACGCCTTTCAGGATGAAACTCAGATTTACTTCGCCATGGAGTTCGTACCAGGAGGTGATTTCCGCACCCTGCTCAACAACACTGGCGTACTGCACAACCGCCACGCCCGCTTCTACGTTGCCGAAATGTTCTGCTGCATTGATGCTTTGCATGCACTTGGCTATATCCACCGCGATCTGAAGCCAGAGAACTTTCTGATTGACTCGACTGGCCACGTGAAGCTGACGGACTTTGGTCTTGCAGCTGGTATGCTCAATCCTCGCAAGATTGAGTCTCTGCGTGTGAAGTTAGAAGAGGTGGGCAGGACCCCGGTACCGTTTGGCCGCCCGATGGAACAGCGGACGATGGCCGAGCGCCGACAGGGATATCGCAGCTTGCGGGAACGTCAGGTAGACTACGCCAAGTCTATTGTCGGCTCACCAGACTACATGGCTCCGGAGGTACTCAAGGGTGAAGAGTACGACTTCACCGTGGACTACTGGAGTCTGGGATGCATGCTTTTCGAGGCTTTAGCAGGCTACCCACCATTTGCCGGTTCGACGGTAGATGAAACATGGCAAAACTTGAAGAATTGGCAAAAGGTGCTCCGTCGACCCGTCTATGAAGACCCCAACTACTTCCTATCGAAACGAACATGGAGCTTCATCACCACACTGGTCTCCTCGAGGGAAAATCGTTTCAAGAATATCAGTGAAATCCATGCGCACGACTACTTCGCCGAAGTGGACTTTGACCGCTTGCGCGAGCAGCGCCCACCTTTCGTGCCCCAACTGGACTCGGAGACCGACGCTGGCTACTTTGATGACTTTGACAATGAGGCTGATATGGCCAAGTATAAGGAGGTACACGATAAGCAGCGTGCCCTGGAGGAGATGGCCGATCGCGATGACAAGATGGCCAAGGGGCTGTTTGTCGGCTTCACATTCAGGTTCGTGTCTTCTTCCTTTTTCTTCCCTTCTCACAGCAAGTCTAACCAGCAACAGACACCGCAAGCCGAACATTGACGGAACCGGCCGTCTTTCCCCACGCAAGCCGATACCGACGGAGGAAGCATTTGGCACTATATTCTAGGCCTCTGACCAACCCATCGACTCTTCTTTCACCGCTGTGGTCCGGAAAAGCTGGTCTTGGATGGCCATTATCTCATTAAATGTCCTAATGTATGGCTGATACGGTCGAACGGAGTTGAATTGTATGATAGAACGATACCTAGGTAGTTACTGATTGTGAGCTCGACAACAACCGTGACCCCTTCACCATTCCGGTCTGGCTTTTTATCCTTGTAATTTCCACTACTGGTAGTATCAAGGGATCAAAGGTTGAGCGGCGAGTATCATCAGGTTTCATCTCAATTCAATACAAATACACCCTGCCCAGCCCAACAAACACGTTAACATATGACGCCTAATTCCCCTCCGCCTGCCTGACCATCTTCAAAATCAGACTCTCACTATCCCCAACAACCGCCTGCCCATTCGTCCAATCCACCGTCACAGGCCTCACAAACCGCCCGCTATCCTCCTTGAACCGCTTCACCGCATCCTCCGCATCCTTCGCCCCCTGAATGATCTCGCTGACCGCGTACCTAGCACCCCCCTCTTTCCCCCCGCCACTGGGATCCCCCGTAACGTACTCGAGGATATTGCGCAGCTGGTCTGTTGTCGGTGGGGCGGTGGTGACCTCGAGCGTGAACTCGCCGCGCCCGATCGGGGTCGCGCCGTTTGAGGCGGCGGCGGAGGCGGATTTCAGGATGTTGTAGGCTTTGCTGCTTTGGGCGGAGGAGGGGGTGTGGAAGAGGGTTATTGGGTCGAGGGATTTGGGCTGATGGAAGGGAAGGGTTAGTTGGTTGGTTTGTTTGGGGGTTGCGTGGTGGGGAGCGGGGAAGGGGGAAGGGGGGCTCACGAAGCGGAAGACCATCTTGGATGTGTATGAGTTGGTTGTGTGGTGTTTTGTGTGGTTGAGCTGCAATTGGTGTCTGGTAGGAGTCTGATAGCTGGTCGTCGGAGAGCTCGGCGGACGGTGAGTCAGGTGGTTGGTGATTACGTCATTCCTTTCGGGGTCCCTTTTCGTTCACGGCGAATCAACTAGCGTGTATCGCTCGGATTGGGTGCGAAGCGCGATCTTGATGCTTTTTCTTCAAGAAATATGGGACATGTTTGCCAATGGCAGATTGCCGGTGATATTGGACCCTTATGCCCATATATGCTTGAACATGGCCGGGGCATATGTCAGTTTGCCGCAGCATGGCACTCAGCAAAAGGGCCAAGATCACCAGCAATTTGCTGATGGGCAATTTCTATATCTCATCTGCTGGGTATACTGTTTCAGACTCGTTGTCTGATCCTTTATTTTTTGCTGAGTGCTGTTTCCGTAGCAGATATCCCAGCTTGTGGGTTTAAACTTCCCAGGGCAGTATCCAGCTGCTTCCATCTGAGTCACGAGCAATCCCAACTTAAGCAGAACTTGCAGATGATGGATACAGAGTGCGTCTCTTTATCTGTTGGCTCCAAGTTATAGTCGAGTTGGGACAGTTGGGACTTGAGGAGCGTGGATGTTGATTCAGGTTTAGTAAGGAGCACTGCCCTTCTCCCCTATTAGGACCATCGACAAGATATCAGAGGGGGGTTACGGACTGATTATTTCGTGAGATTAGGTCCTCCCTCACTTGTTTCTCTTCGGTTGTGCAAGGGCTGGATATGTTCTCTCTCTGACGTATAGGTAGGGTTAGATCCGATTGCTTTGCGGGATGATTGGTCTTGCACAGCAGCTGAGTAAAATCGCTCAGAGGTTTATGTAGTGATTGAGAGGCAGGATGGCGAGAGAGTACTAGGCATCCGTTACTATATACATACTGTGACCTAGCTAGTATGGTATATGCTTGAGTATGGTAATGGGGCTTGCAAAGCAGATCGATGATGAAGCTGGTCGGAGCATATTCCCCGGGCGCGTGGTGAGACTGGACCTTTAGGGCTTATTCCGGTGGTTCTTGCCCTAGTTCTGCGATAACCCTACCTACGCATGGTTAGCTCTGCTTACTCTGCACCAGATGCCTCAGAAAGACAGTCGACAGCCAAAAGTTTAACAAAACTGCTTTTGTCCCTGTGAATGATGGTAATTATGTGCGAGAGCTGCGATAGCACTGCGCCCCGGCATTGTTACAGTAGCAGACGCCATCCATCCAGCAGAGCGTCCGCCGCTTCCTGGCTTTCAAAGTAGAACAGTAATGTACCAGTACACGAGAAGCAAGCCGCCATCGTGCGCGAGCTAGTCTAATCAGGCCGAAGCCCAAGCCGTATTCATTTGTCGACGGATCGGCTCCGACTCCTTGCAAGATACGGGCCTAAAGCAACCTAGATCCTGCCGAAAGACCTTGCACGGCGCTCCAGCTCAGTAGCGGACCTGCTGAAGATATTCCATGGACTCCGGCGTCCTCTTTTCCGTAGTTAATCTATCATCTGGTTAGGTCAGTCCTTCTCGTCCTCGTCCTGCAGGTCATCGATTCGCGCCTCAAATCGAATCTAGTCCGTTCATCGAACTCCGCGAACTCACGGGTTCTACCTTGTTCCTCGCATCTCGTTGCCCCGTTCTGTTTGAGAAGGCGGACATAAGCTTGAAATGCTCTTAGCTTCGATAAAGTCGCCTCGGTTCTTTCCGGCGGCTGGAGGCCGGATCAAGTCCGCTGGTTTTGCGATTCAGGCCGGCCACCTGCGAGCGTGAGTTAGATTGATCTTGGATGGAAATCGTTAGCTGAAAGTATATGTAGGTGGATGCAGAGACACAGGCGCACGAACCGGGTGGGCTGGTCGTGGCATGTTCAGCTGCGGATATAACGGGGAATTAATACAGGCTAGGGAGGAGAAAGGTATTGTGGCTGAACTTTGAGCACCTTGCTACTAAGACAGTATGAGAAGATTCTAGGGTGGTAAATTCAAAAGGCAAGGCGTGAGCCCTAGCACTGATTTAAGCCATCTAATCAACGAGAAGGTGTATGTATGATACACATGCACATACATACAAGTCAAAACCCATTTACCCAAGACCCAAGATTCATATGAACGCCGCCATCGAACTCCGGGATATAGTAGAGAAGGAAAAGAGAAGGAAATGTACAATCCAAAAGAGTGGGCAGTCAGTCTCAACGATTCAGAAGTCAACCAACAAGGGTGTACCACTGCTAGACAAGAAGAGATCTAGACAAGATCAGAGTAGCTGTACAGAGCAATCAATCAACAAGGCAAAGGTCGTCACTGCGTTAGACAAAGGAAAGGTGCTTGTGTATCGCGGTAGGAAGACATTTCTTCACAAAGATGCAGCAGCGCAAGAAATGCATCATTGCCCATGGCTTGCATGGTTTCGCTCTTGTATGTATGCCGCCCAACCATAACTCCAAGAAATGATTTATTATTAACTGGGCCATCGACCCGTGGGGAATCAAATGCTTTCGCGGATCAACCGCAAAGGGAAATACCACACAAACTGCATATCCGAAGTGCAGCTGTTGTAGGAGTGTCGCAACCTTGGAACGAATGAGGCGCGTGGATAGGACCGTTCGAGACGAGTTACCGCAAGTTGCGAATAACCTTCCGTCCCCGTGCTAGGAAAGGACTTGGCATCTCGTCTCGTTCAGGATCCCAGACCGCAGGTGGCTCACGATCAGAGGATCTCAAGGGAACAGAGCAGGCGGGACGGGAATCACTGGTACAACGCTTAACCTCGTCGATGGGGCGGCCACCAGCACGTGCTTGCGCAAGCTCGACCAGCGTCCTGCCACCCATGTTGCGCTGCATGACAGCCTTGAACATCTCATCGCCACCGTTCGCTTTCGACGGACTGGATCTCGTGGCACTCTTGCGGGTTGGCGACCCCGCATCAGCAGCAAGGTTGGCGGAAGATGGGATCTTCGACAACCGCCGATGAGGTGACCGTGACTTTGACTCCCTCACATCAGGAGCCGACATTTGAGGCAGCCGCGAAGGGTTAGCAGGGAAGAGGGGAGGCTGGGTGCTCAGCTTCTGCATCAGGGCTGTCGTATTTTGTCTCAAAAGGGGGCGAGACGGAGCCTTGAAAGGATCAGGCTTGACCTTTGGACGAGTGGGCGAGGGAAGTTCTGGAGTGTCATCCTCATCGTCTGAGTATGCCAGGGTGGGCTCAAACTTGGGACGCTTTCTCTCCCCTTCGGCAAATATGTTCTTGCCAGAATATGTTGCAGAGGTGCGGCGAGGCGACAAGGAAAGAGACGCGATGGAGATGGGAGAAGGCTCGGCCATTTGAATGTCCATTGGGGAATCAACAACCGTTCTAGACCGAGTGAATGGAGTGCGTGACTCCTTCTTTGGCAGCTTAACAGCTTTGTTTGTGGGGGACTCTAGCGACAACTGACTAATGTCTGTACTCGAAGGAATGTCGGAGTCCTCGCTGTTACAGGTCGAAGTCTGGGAGCTGGTTGCGCTGGAACGAAGACTAGTGTCTTCGCGGTAGTTGGCGTTGCGTCTGTGCTTTTCGACTTCGTGGGCAACGCGGTCCTGGACCTCGCATTCGAATCGTTTGCGGAGTTTATCCAACTCGTTTTGAACTTGGCGGTCGATCTCCAGTCTTGCCTTTACCTCCCACTCCCGTCGGATGGAACTCTCGAGCTCGGATCGGATTTGCTGCTTTTCTTTTTCAAGCTTAGCGAAGGCTTGTTCCACATCCTTTGCTTTCTGCATCGTAGCCTCCTCTCGCTTCCGGGCAGCTCGGGATATGTTGTTCAACTCCACCTCCTTACGCATCAAGCGGATGACGGGAGTATTGATCAGAGAAACCGTGTCGGGACGGTGGTCGGGGTTGACGCGCAGGCAGCTCGCAATGACGTTCTTCAGCTCTGAGGAGTAGAAGTCGGGCAAAGGAGCGAATTTCCCTTCACGGATCTTCTGGACGAGCTGGATGTGTGTGCGCGCATTGAAAGGCGGTTCTCGTTGGCAGAGCTCGTACATAATACATCCAACAGCCCAGATATCGGAGCGTAACGTGTACTTTTCGGCAGCGCAGATCTCAGGCGACATGTAGAATGGTGTGCCGACATATGTGGAGGCAAAGTCGTGGGAGTTCATCAGCTTGGACAAGCCGAAGTCACCCAACTTGACGGTGTTGTCTGACCCGAGAAAAATATTTTCGGGTTTCAAGTCGCGATGCAGGATAGTCATCTGTGCCTGTTTGCCTTTGAGACCTGATGGCTTTGGAGGCGGGCCTAACAGATTTGATCCCACTTCCGCCGGATCCGTACCGTAGTGACACCGATATAACGCTGTGACGAGCTGCGATAAAATGCGCCAGACGAAGTCCTCCTCTGCGTATTTGTTGGTCCGTTTCAGGTTCTTGATAACCATGCTCAAGTCACCTCCACCACAGTATTCCATGTACAAATACAAGTCTTGACTTGCTTTTAGGTGCTCACGGTGGTAGTAGGCAACGATGTTCGGATGCCGCAGGGAACTCAGGATGTTGAATTCGGCCGTCAGCTGCTCTCGCTCTTTCGATGACATCTTGATGTAGTTGATTTCCTTCCGGCAAAGGATCTAGAAAGCTCTGCGTAAGTATGTTACACCACAGGCGGCCCGGTTTTGTCTTACGAAGCCATCGGTTTTTCGCTTCACTTTGCGAATGATGCCAAAGGAGCCGCAGCCTGGAGAGATTATTGTTAGCGCAACGATCTTCTCAGGTCTTGATGGGAAGACAGGAATGCCATACCGATTTTCTCCAGCACCTCATACTTGTCTGCCTCCGCCAGTGCGATTGCCATTGTGACCGCTTAAGAGGGATCGAGTGTCGCTTAGTAGGTATAGGTAGGTAGTCGAAGGAGAAAATAGAAGAGAATGGCACGGATGAGAATCCTGGCTCATTGACGACTCGGTCCGGTTTGGGCGTTTCCTGCTGGTTAGTGGTCGAAGAAGTTGGGTCAAATCATGGAGAAGGTTGAAGCTTTCAAGAAGCCCGTATTGAATGGTCTTCGGGGCGAGTGTTTGGAGCGGATCTTGTTGCTGAGCAACGGGAAGCTCTGCACGTAGCCTTATCTGCATACAGAAAGCGGTGAGACTCAGGGAGGCAGAGGTGAAGAGCATCATCATTGAATCATGATGGTGCTGCAGAGAACCTGCATCCCTTCATGTGAATCCAGCACAGGATACAAGGAACTAAATCAATAATCAACTCAGTGCAGTTGTTGCCTTCAATGATGAGGCTGCAAGGACCTGATCAAGCTTGTTAGAATCAACCTTGGAAAGCCCCTTCGGTGGCCGGAATCTGCACGTGACTTCTCTTATCGATAAGCACTGTCCCGCATTTGTCTCCGAACTCTCCGCCACCTCCGAGCAGGATTCAACTCCTTCGCCATGGAAGAAAAGGAAGAAAGGACAGTTATACGCAAAGATCAATTGGAGATCAGCTTGCATAATGAGAAAAAGCTGATTCAGGAGGGGACCATCATTGATGACAATCCCCTCGACCTGAGCGAGCCGTTTCGGGAGCTCTGTGAAGCTTGCCGCAAGGGAGATCTTAAAGTTTGTCAGGAGAAGATCACAGAGGGGGTCAATATCAATGCACGGGATCCTTACGACTATACCCCCTTGATCTTAGTGAGTGGCTCTTTGTTTATTATTATGATTCTAAACTCCCTCCGTGGTCGATGAAGCAGTATGGTCGATGAAGCAGTAACTGACGGCTCAGGCGAGTCTCTGCGGCCACTACGAAGTCGCCCAGCTGCTTCTGGAGTCCGGGGCTCTGTGTGAACGAGATACTTTTCAAGGAGAGAGGTTCGTCATTTGCTTGTCTTTATGCCGACGTTTTTACTAACATTTGGTCCTGGTAGATGTCTATATAATGCATTGAACGACCGTATACGGAATCTGCTCCTTGAATATGACTACTCGAAATCGACCGACCCTCTTCAGCCTCTTGCTGCCCATACCGCGTCGCTCCTGGTGCGGGAGCAACCTAAGACCTCTGATATAGAGGTGGATGCGGGTGACGAGACTCTATATTTACACAAGTTCGTACTCGCTGCTCGGTCACCATATTTCCGTCAAAAGTTGAAAACCTCTCCCGAGACCACAGCATGGAAGCTTCCCAGTACCATACCGCCGCAGGCTTTCGGAACAGCGATCAAATACTTATACCTCGGAGAACCCCCGAGAGACTTGAGAAGCGGTCCAGGGACAGGGTTTACTGAGTCGGAGGTTTTCGCGGGAATCAATAAGATTGCCAAATATCTAGAGACTGACACTCTTGTGGACAGCATACTTGACAGCGGTGACCGAAGGCTGGCTCGGCAGAGGCGAACAACAGAAATCGCGCGAGGACGCGATCAACTGGAAGAATGGTTCCGCGACAATGTTCTTCAGAACAAGATAGAGATCGACACGACCAAAGTCAGCGACATCAAGTGGGATCACAACAACCCCATATTCGCGGATGTTATACTTCAGGCCGATGAACTTCCAGAGGACGACCTTTACGGAGAAGAGGTCGGCTCCACGGGTCTTCCTATCGGACCCATTGAGTCTTCTGGGGCCAACAAATCACAAAAGTCGGTCCTGTTCCCATGCCATCGAGCGATGTTGCTACGATCTGAGTTTTTCCAGACAATGTTCAACTCACCCTTCCGCGAAGCTCAGATGAAGGACCACCTCCACATCATTCCCGTGGATTGTTCTCCGGATGTTCTGGAAATCATCCTGACCTTTTTATACACTGAGAGGGCAGACTTTGCACTTGATGTCTCTGTTGAAGTGCTGTTTGCGGCGGATATGCTCTTCATTGAGAAACTGAAGACGAAGGCTGCCGTGGTCATCAGCACTCTCGGCAGTGGCAGCATGTCACAAGCCGAAGCTGCGAAGACCACTCAAGGAAGCGCTGAAGAGGATATAGATATATACGCCATTATCCGCGCCGCATGGATGACGCGAGTGCAGCGGCTGGAGGAGTTTGCCGCTCGTTACTTTGCCTACCGTCTCGAGGCCCACATCGACTCGCCTGAATTTGCAGAGCTAATACAGGAGTCAGCGTCTCGTATACAAAAGCGACAAGAGACCGATTCTATCGAGTTGCTAGATGATATTAGATTCTATCTCAACGAACGATTCAGGTTGAGGTTTGACGATGCGGGCATTGAGGAGATGATGGAGGAATCTGCACAGCAGCAGCTCATTGACCAGGTTGCTGCAGACGAAGATATTGAGAAGGTCACCAGTGGGGTCGAGGAAATCGACCTCGCTTCGAAAGCCCCTACCCAGGCCAATGGCGATCGATTGCCTGAGCCTCCTGCCGTGAACGGACAAGGTCACCATACCGTCATCCGGACCTTGGACGGAGAGATTGCGGATGACGAACTTAGCAGGGACGCGATCAACTATCAAATCTTGATGGAGAAGCTCGACCAGATCTTAGAACGCCTGAATTTGGACGCATAAGCTGCTCCGAATCCCCAGCCGCTCCCCACGGAAACAATGAGTTGACGATTGACGAGATAACGCCGGTATATACATTCACATTGGTCCCATGCCAAAATATAAACATAGAAAGCGGTAGATTCGGAATTGGATACATATTACACAAAATACAATATTCGGTCTCTTTGCGTCCAAAAACGGCTGCATCTATATGTTCAGGATTCAGATTTACACTGTTCATGTTCAACCAAGTTCAACACAGGCGTGGAGAGGCAAGATTGAGCATGTCGTGGAGCAGATGTCAACGTTTTGATGACCCCAGAGACAACCCTATATCTCAGCTCACCATCTTTCTAGGGCAACGGAGCGGCCGATGATTATGACATCCCGTAGTAAGCATCAACACACCTTCATCAGGCCTCAGGACGCATTCTACATTAAGGGCGGATTGACCAAAGTAAGGGCTAACAAACAAATGCCTACTTGCGCTGCCACTGACTAGGGAGTTTTCTACATAACAACCGCGCTCTCGAGCAACAATATCATGCGCCCCGGGCCGCAGAGTCAGTGCGATCCTCCAAGACGCCTAGTGCCTACTTGCTTACTTTCTATTCGAGAAGCGCCTACGCGAGGCAAAGTCAAACGATTTCAAGGTTGACAAAACGGGCATCAAAGCCGTGAAGCCGTAATCTTCTTGTTGGAGCATCCACCCTGGCGAACTTGACACGGAAAATGTCGCAGCAGGAAGTGATCCAGCTTCACTATGCAGCGAAGTGATAGGGCTTGCATATCATGCTGACAATACCTGAGAATATGTGTCGGATTCATGATAATCTCGATGGGTCGCTGAACAATCAGCGCTTATGCAAGATTCGCAAGCCAGACAAAAATCCAGAATTTACTCGCAGCGAGGCATATCACGCAGGAGGACACCCCACGAGATTTGACTTTTGCTGCTCCGACGTGTATGCATCCCAAGTGTGTATTGAATGTCACGGTGTGCTCATGGCGTGGGATGATAGACGCTGGTTGTCCGCACAGCCAACCAATATCCAACGCCCTGAGGTCATACATCAAGAAGGGGCCACTTCAGGAGGATCTCTGTCTCACTGTCCGTAAAGATGCTACTAACCTTAGGGGATGAGGCACAACCAACCTACTAGGCGACCAACCGCTTGCGGAGAAGTGGGCAAGGGAACCTAAACCTGCAGGTTTGAAAATCAGAGCGCGAAAACTCCGGAGATCACTAAGGCTGATTGGCGATCTGATATTCTGGCCCCTTCTTTTTTCTCCTATTGCATCCTGCCTGGCACAGCAATCGGGCATTACCGTGGCGGATCGCCCTCGAAGCGCATGGTCCATCTGGGTCGGAAGTTTTAGTTGCCAATCCGCAGCGTTGGAAGATAGACCATGGTCGATGTTGGGCGTCAATACAAGACGGGCCACCGCTATTCGAGTGGATGATGAATGCGCCTCTAGCTTTATCCCGAGGTGGATTGCCACGACACACAGTGAACACCTTGATCTTACGCTGCCAGAGCCGGTCGGCAACTAAGAATCGACGAGTCGACGGTGGGCTCGCACTTGATGTGCTTGCTGTGTCCCCACTGATTTGTTCCAAGAGGCAGATCGCCACAGCCACCGCTTCTGGGTGTGCGGGGGAGACAGACTGATTGGCGCGAAATTTGGCGATTCGGTAGCCGTTGAGCCATATGGCAATGACTCAGGTATGACTTTACGGAGTACGCCTTCTGATGATCGCTCATATTACGTCTGAGCGGGACATGGAAGGATTACAGGTTTTCGAGCTTACTCCGTAGGCTACGGAGTACATTTGGAGAAGCCTTCTCATCTCGCGCGCAGGCCTGGTATCAGAGCTGACGCCATCGTGCGATTCACGGCGGGGTTCAAGCTGAGGGGCAAACGATTGCCCATCAAACGGTTTGAGTCACCTTCCAGTAGTGGGCGGCAAACTAACTCGATACGGCAGTAGTCTTCTGTATGGTAAATCATGAGGCCGGGCGCTCGCCAACATGCAGCAGGATCCTGGCGGCTTATCGTACAACAAGAGACAGCGGATGATTCATCGGTGTGCTTGGACGGCCTTGCGTCAGATACGCATGCAAGGCTGCACTTGACTCCATTGATACTCGCCCCCCAAGCAACGAAGATACTGCAGTGGAGTACTTTGGCTCGACGATATCATGCTTTGGCAACGAGCTTGAATCTTTAACGGTGAGTACTACTCGAATAAGATGGGCGCTTGTTATAGCCCACGCTCGGCGGACAGGGATTCCCAGACCAGGTGATGCAAAGCAAATGCGGGCATTTGGAGCCGTTCGAATCACTACTCCGTACCAGGCGTCTGGTAATCTATTCCAAGATGGTCTTCGGCGCCTCCCTTTTTGAGTCTTGTCATCCGTAGCAGACATATATCTGCGACAAATGGATGATCTCCGGTGTGACAACTGACAACAGCTTTGTGCCTATCATGACACAATGCAATCTTCCTTCCGTCCGCCACTCCGTTCCTCAAGAAGACATGCTGACGGGGATCATGGGTCGAGTGTCTGTTTGGCGAGTAAGAACTCGACGGCCGACAAATGAGAGTAAGCAGAAGGGTCAAATCGGGTGGTTACGGTGACCCTCAGATCAGTGCGCTAGCTATACTCCGTAGCTCATACTCACGTCGAGCAGGATTGGGTGCAGCTAACCTTACATATAGTGAAGCAAATTGCATTACTCAATGAATGGCTGATAGACGGTACATCTCGTCTCAGCGGAGCTCATGGCGCTCAGTCAGGGGAGATTTGACCTATGCACCATCCGGAGGATCTCGGTATAACCCAAGGATCAGAGCTACATTGGCATGAAACTAGGATGCTCTGACCAAATCCTTCTGGACCCCCACGAAGAGACGCAACCCAGCCCTGCGATATGCGAGAGACGACTGGGATGTTGCTGCCCGCATGCGTGCTTCCGCCCCGTATCTATCAACTCTTTACTCCGTAACTCTGCTCGTCAAACAATTACGCAGTTGTTCAAACTTCGAGCCTGCGAGTAAGACCTCGTATTATTCCTGGGATGTCGATTCCTGACGCAGTCAGGGTTCCGGCAGGTGATCAATCTTCAACTTACCCTGTGCTGGAAAATAACTCAACTTCTCGGCCCTGCAATATTATCATCGGTCTCACGCCTGTATTGGCAGCAGCTGTCGCTCCAAGCCCTCTGTTTGCATTCATGTAGTCCACTTTGTGGCACAGGCGCGGGCAAAGGCAAGTACAGGACGCCTTTACACAGTACAGATATGCGCAACCCAACAGTAAAGAGAACAGCCTCAGCCAAGTGCAAGTGATCAATGATCACATGGCGCAGGCGCAGGCGCAGGCGCAACACCAGCCAAGCCTCTTGCAGATTGCAGCATGCCAGCAATGCAACTCGCTTACTCCACTGCACCTCGTCCTCGAGTCTGCAAAGCACAAACATCGCAGCGCACAAAGCTCATCCCGGTTCCTGGCCCTGGAGGAACCACTGCCAGTCCGCGAGCGCAGCCACTGCCAGCGGATAAGAGGGGGGCTGAAACACGAGTGATTCCTCAATGCAGCCCTCATCACATCTAATTATACGACTCATGATCACAGGTCTGTCTGACGAGCGGCTGTCAGTCCGTTGGAAAAGCTAATGCACTCTATGGGATCCGAGTAGCTAAGCTTCCTATCTGTGTGGCTGGGCCGGTTAGCTGAGATGCGAATCACTATGCTCTGCGTCGGAAAATTGCGGGTCAAAGCCGTTTGGTGGCGCATGGGCTGCTGCTTGAGCGTTTATTGCTCCCAACAATGCATATTATTGAGATCACAAACAGAAGCTACCTGCATTGCATTGCATAGCAATGGCTTATTGATCAATCAGACGGATATGACGATTCCGGCTCCCGAGCGAGTAGCTGGTCCTTGCGCAAAAAGACGTTGAACGGTTGAAGACGACGACAGCTTTCGTTCCACCTTCCAGAAGATCACCAAAACGCCGTTTAGCCGATTATCCTCGAAATATCCAGTATGGACACACCTCCGTCTGGACTCTGGAGACTGGAGACTCTGGAGCCCCGAGCCGCAGCCTGGAACCAGAACCGTGTCTTGGACTCTTGGACTCTTGGGCCTGGCAGGATGATGCACGGGTCTAATTTGGCGCAAGTCCCCCGTTGTCGATCCCTCCAAGACCTCCTGGACCTGATGATGGAACCCCTTGGCCTTCGGTCGAATTGGCCCCCGAAACTATAATAATATACGAGCAGAATCAAAGCAGCAGTGCCTGATTCGTCAGGACCCACGCTTAAACCTCGGCTTCGTCCATGGAAAACCTACCCACGGCACGGCAAATCAATTAAACCTCTTCTGGTAAGGCTCCGAGCTGCCACGCTGGTGATCTTCGCCGGTTTTCTTTTTTTTTCTTTTCTTTTTTGCTGCTGTGGAGACCTGACGGATTGGGCTAGTTGGTGCGAGACTGTCTTACGCATACGTACGCTGAAGCAACAAAAGTTCAGCTGCGTTGACTCCTGACATGCCAGGCATCAATTGTGAGTGAGATCTACTGATGACCAGGTCTCTCGTTGCTTTTGTCGTACACATTTCCGTTTTGCGACTACTATGCGAGCCAGGCTCGGGGGGACTTGCTCTTCACGTCTTCGGTTCCTCACCGTATAGATCTTCAGATCTTCAGGTTACACCAAATACCTCCAGATCAATCCTCTTAAATACAGTGTACGCTTCGTGTACTGTACGGTGTACTACCAGCCACAACACCGCCGTGGCTCTGCCGAGCCTGGATTCTTGAATCTGGATACGCTGCTGCGTCTACTCCAACAAACGTCCCACACCCACGCGACGGCGCAGGCGGCAGGCCTAAGGAGCTATGGCCAAAAGCCGTCCGTTCGCCTCCAACTTCTGGCGCGTTCTAAGTCAAACCAGGCTCTCCAAGCCCGATCCTGCTCGGAGTATCTTGGTCTTGATTCGGCCGGCCTGATT